CGCACGAGCATGCGTAAATAAAGATTTTGTTCATAGCGGCTAAATAAGACATATATAGGGCAAGCACGCGTGCTATGTTATAATTCAGTATTGTTCATAGCTGCGCGGATCTCTTATATTCGTTTCTTCACCGTTGTGCATATATATGATTTTCATATATCTACAATCATTATACAAATAGATTTCTTTTGAAGAAATTATATTTCTCATAATTAAAATCGTGAAGGTAAGGCGCAACGACATTGCCCCTTTATTTATTAAGTTAGCTCGGCCAGGTATTTCTTCGAACAGCGTAAAAACACTACTCGTTTTGCTGTCTGAGAATTACATATGGGAAAGTTAGATGGAAAATGTCAATGCTTTTCCTTTGTTGTTACCTTGAGTCTTTCTTGTTCCAGTTACTTTCTTCTTTTCCGTGGGGTAATGATTTTCTCAACCTAATACTACTCACTGCCTCGCTAACACGGAATGTTTCTATAATAATGTCTATTCTTCATGAAGTATTGAAAAGGAAATAATTATCTCAGAAATTCAGGGAAAATTGTTTGAAAAATTATTGTTCTTTGAAATCTAACAGTAAAATAACACTTCAATCATTAGGATGTCATCATTTTCACTTCTTCATTTCTCCTTTTTCAACAAAACATCAGTCGACGGCCTTATTCTAACCGGCCTACGTAAAAATAATATTTTGGCTTCCTCTTTAAAAATTGTTGCAAATTTGAATGATGGCAGAAGAGCAGCTTTAAGAGTTAAGATCACTAAACACCGTAAAATGAAAGTAATACAATCTTCGATTGACTGTCGAAAGAAGTGCGCGATTTCTCTGTTTTTGCATAACTTCGCCCTGCTATTGGTCCAAAAAAACCAATCAAAGGCTTAATAAAAACCAATTACGACTTGCTCACTCGTGTTTTCGCGCGCTTGAAACTGTTTGCGTATTTTTATTTGAGTTCTCATTGGCTACTCGTAATATTTTTCTTTCATCTGATTGGTCATTGTGATTACTTTGGTTTTGGTTTTATGACACTTAGTCGAAAAGCGCTCTAACAAAGAATTTCTTTTCTCATTTAAATCATGCCTTTCAGCCAAAAGGAGAGACGATTGAAATGGAGTGCATGCTTGCCAACGGTTAGTCGTTTGACTTCAACTAATCTCATTTAATACTGATTCTCATTTGACCAGCTAGTCATTCGTCAATAACGACATCCTTAGTCATGGCCGATCGACGCACTCTTGTGCAATTTAATGAGATGAGCACTACTTTTCAAAACAAAGACTTTCCTCAGTCTTTTCTATTACTAACATTTTTACTAATACTTATAAGTTCGAAACATCATTTGAACCTACCTACAATCCTAGTGTCCAGAGACAATTAAAAAAACGTCCGAAAAAGACCCAAGTCACGGATTTCCGTAACTAGAAAATCTTAGCTTAGCTTAGAATTTCGAGTGGTTATTTACAGTTTGTGCCAATCCTCTCTGTCCTCAACCATTTTCGTTGTTTTTAGGTTTGTTCTTAGCATTTTTATCTTTTTTTGCTTACCCGACCACTATGTCTCGGTGGTTTCCATCAGGCTATGGGTGTATTCGCAAGTCTTCAAAAATGAGTCAAACCATCAAACTTTACAAGCATTTTTCAACTGCAAGCTACCCATGTGTCGATCATTAAAATATTTAAATTAGGAAGTATTTAACTAAATAATTTGAACTCTTAACACCTTAACATGTCTCTGAAAGAGCGGGGCAGGGAACAACTCTCATTTTCTTAATCAAAAGTTACTCATCTCCCCATATTTCATTAATTCTGCTCGCATTTTTTGTTTTGAATTTTAACTTATTGATACCGCGAATTAAATTTAAAATCCTGAAACAAATAGAAAAATAAAGATTGGTAACTATTAGCACTCTCAAGGGACAGGCCTTTTTGCACTCCTGGTACCAGACTGATCTTCTTGCCAAAATTCTAGTTGGCCTAACAATGGGCTTTTTAAATCCCAGTCTCCACTCTGTTGTTTAGCATTTTACGAAAATCATATGATGCTCATTTATCTTAAATTCCGACATTATCGTTCCGATGTCGTTTGATAGGCACTGGAAGACGAGATGGAGACAGAAAACTTTGAGAGTTCATCGCGTTCTTCGACTGGACTTTCCTCCCCTCTCTCCCTACCCATGGTGAGAATAGAAGTGACGTCACCACAGCCAGGTAGTGCCCAGGATCCTGCGGAGGAACCAGCGCCACAAGTAGCGCGCGAAAGACTAATGGTTCTCGATTTCCCGGATGTTATTAAATCGGCGGAAAGTAGTCCTCGGCACTCATTAATACCACTAAGTGAGTTTTACGAGTCGCACCGAAGAACGTTAAATGATCGTCGAACGAGAGAAATAATCAATCAAATCAATGCTGAAGTGGCGCAAGCTATTGACAAAGGGCAAAGTCCGTATTTTATCTATGGAATAATGGATAACGACGAGGAGACCTGGTGCTGAGAGTTCAAAGTTGAATGCATCCGGGTTAGTCACTGAGCACTGAGTTTTTCTGCGTGAAACGCAGCGTGCGTGAAGGAAATAATACGCTAGCTATCAAGCTGACGGTAAATTTCTAGTTCTGAGAAACGTGATCACACAGAGCAGTTTATCCAACATGAAGCGAAACAGAAAGTCAGAAGCAGAAAGCCAGCACAACTTTTTAAAGAGGAGACAGTTTCCGCTAAGGTTTTATATGTTCTGAGCAATAAAACAATTTCGGAAATCTGTGGTGTTATCACCAATTGTTGAAAATATTACCTCCATTACAATAGAATCAAATTTTGGAAGTTATTAATTTAATTTCTGCTTTTTCATAAGTTAATTTTTATAACTTTATTGTGTATAAAAATATTGCAGGACAAAAGTTTTCCATAAGGAATTTATAAAGTTAAAAGATTACTCATGAATGCATACGCTCGATCATATCTTCAGCTCATTTGCCTAATCTTACGACAGATTTACTAGGGAAACGTTTTGGTTTGATTTTGAAGCTGATGAAACTGTCAGTGTTATATCAGTGTTTTTCTTTTCTCTCTAATGCCATGGCAGTCAAGTCTTGTAATCACATTTGTGGTATTTTCATTGAAATAACTTTTTCATTCCCAAGACCGACATATCAACTTCTTGCACTGATGCTGTATATCTCCTATAATTTGGTTTTTCATCATAAACATACCTAGGTTAATACTTGTCTTTTTCTCTAACTTATTTTCTTGAAAATATTTCATGTTTTAAGGAGGAATTCATCTTAAGTTACTCCTGGAATGAAAAGGTTGCAAAACAAATCCATTCCCGTCACTTCCAAAAAGTCCTTTTTTAAATATGCTGTAAATTTTAGCACATATGTAGTCCAATACTCCTTCCTTGATAAGTTTCTTTCTTCTCACCACTTGTCAATATTTTGGCATTGTAAGGAGAAATTGCTTATTTGTCACTTCTAGAGTGATCAGGATCACTGACGTAATTTTAACTTTATCGCGTAAGGTATGTTTACTTATTCGCCTGACAAGTCTAACTATTTGAAGACATTTCTGAATACTTGTTTTATTTGTAAAATCGAAACTGAAGACTGTTAGCAATTACTCTGTATTTCTCTTTTCTTGATCCACCACACGTGACATTTGTCTTCTTCTATACAACATATGCTAAGGCATACACAAGAATAACCGCGTTTTGTAAAACAAATATATTGATATTAAAAATTGATTTTCTATTGAATCGCTGAGTCGCCTTTTGTAATAATCACTTAAGCGTGTTTTTTAGGCTAAGATAACAGAAATATAAGTGAAACATAGTGGCTTGAGCAATACTTTCAAGATGTCGAAGCTTCCTAATAGAGTATCGAAGTATCTTTATCCTTCCTCATACCTTTTTTTTACATTCTTGATCCCCTTCCAACTTACGGAAGTAGCATGTATCCTTGACCTTTTTTCCCCTAATTACTCTCATTTTTAGAGATCACAGGAGGACGTAGGAAGAACCGATCATATGCTGAACATTTTACTGTCACCAACATCTCATGTCGAGTTTTGTCTTTCTTCCACGTAAATCTTCCAGCAACAACGTAATGCAGGCCTATAATTAAGGGGAATTCGATTCTTTTAAAAATACAGACAGGAAAAAAAAAGTGAAGGACACAGACGGAGGCTTAAGGTCAAATCAATAATCTCTTTGTCGATCTGATGTTCTATGTGAGAGCAATGTCATAGCGGAAAGCATTTTGATTAGTTTCAACGAGGAATAATTAGAACGGAAATGGTTGAGCCTTCGTTTACGACGAAGAAGTCCAGTGAAACAGATACAAATGGATATTTCTGAGCCGACGCTTTCATTGTTTGTCTCTGTCGCTCATTTTCTCTTGGTGTCTTAGATGATCCTCTCTTGGGTAATGTGAGAAACCACCGCAATTACATGGCACAACACTTTTCAGTGTTTTGTTGATGGTCAAGCCAGTGGCCTGTGACTAGCGGTTTTACTTCAGAAAAACAACTTTTCATCTACAGATTTTGGCGCAGAAAATTTTTTTTGAAAAGCAGAAAGACGAGTATAAAAGAAGATTTATGAAGAAAGTATTTTTATGGTGAAAACAGTTTCCTTCTCATTTGAATCACATCTTGTCAGTCATTCCTTTGTTCGCTCTATTGTTTTTCATATATTTTTTTTTGGTTGAGTTCCCTGTGATGTTTTGAAATTCTTTAACAATGACGGTTTTGATTAATTAATGGTTACGCACGTGCGGTTTGGTTTATTCCTTTGTAGTGACTGAATATAGGGCGGTGATTTTATACGCTCCAATTTGTTAGCCGGTCCTTCGTGAAAAGAGATTGTGATAATTTTCATTTGAAGTTTAAGGAGTTGCCAAATACGACTTTTTCGCTTCCGAAATGATTATCATGTTGCCATTTATGATAAGCAGTCTCCAAATTAATTCAACTGATAACATACATCGAAGCTATGATTTGTTCAATTACCAGGATAATGTTCCTTCCTGATGCAAAAATTACCACCGTTTTCCTTTTTTTGTGAAGTTCACCACATTCCAACGCTTTGAGCTCTCGATATTTTAGGGGTCAGTACCCCTCATAGATTTTCTCCCATAGTTGACGAAAAACCAGAAAAAATCTTCGCTTGAAACGTTTGTTCGTGACCGTGAAGTCTTTAAAATAAACCGCTAAGTGGGCAGAACGCTCTTCGTGAATTTTCCCTGATCGATTATCTAGAAACATGTGCGACGTCGAAACTAATTCTGGTCGGGTAGGAAGGCAACATTTGGCAAAGGTTCTCGCTGAAACATGCCACACCATAGCAGTTCTGTCCGCCGTACGACATCATAGCCAGATCGCAATGTTCGACGTCGCAGCATTTTGCGACACATTCCTTCATGTCTTGAACTTTACCAAGATGTCTAAAATGATCAGGTTTGAGTGAATCATCAGTTTGTTGTTTTTCTGATTCGGTAGGCGTTGAACACTTGTGTTTAGGAACAGAGTTGCAGTCAACCACGAAAACAACTACGCGAAAAATACATGTAGAACCAAATCAGAAAATAAGGGGAGCAAAGCTAAAACACTGAATATGACAACATCAACCTTACCATGAAAAAAAGCAAGAAACGCAAGTGTAGGCTTCAAGATGGTCATATTCTTTATCTGTTTGAAAAATGTTTCACGCTCTTAATCAAGCGCTAGAGATGGACACTTTACCCAGCCAGCTATTCATGCGATAATATTGATATCTGGCACGCGTAACACCGCTGTTGCAGGTCACAAGGTTAAGTAAATGTACATGTTGATTGGCTGTTTTTGGTGGCGCGGTACCTGGATGCAATTTAGGTACCAAAAGTTTATTGTCAAAGCATTTTTTAAACAAGAATTTTTACTGATGAATAGGTTGTGTTAGTGACCCTTAGCTATCAAACTTTGACAGTCCGTTGCTTTTTTTCCCATAATTCGTTGTAACATATTTTTGAAGAGGCTGACATGGTGACGCCTGCATCCTTAACAAATAAATGACTACAAGTAAACCCGTCAGCTAATTTATACAAATTGTTATTCAGACTTATTCTGATTACGATACGTAGATTTTTATAAACCATCTAAGTGAAGTAAGGCCTTGTTCGATAGGGTTCGAACGAGCAAGGAAAAACGGCATTGTGTTACTGACTATAAATCTGTGTATTAAGCCTAACATTGTCTAAATATCCCTCCATACAATCGCTTGTAAGGTTCACATGAATGTTTGTTTCACAAATGCTCAGTCAAACCATCATGGCTGTACAATTTTTAAAAAATATCCTGGTTGACTTGCCAAGCATCACCCAGACACCGGTGCTTATATGATATTTTAATTATGCTTGTTCTTGCGGAAACACAAACCAAGATAGTTTTCCACGCCCTGATAGTTAGCGACTGACTTAGTTTAGCTTCCTGTGAATTAAGCCTTCCAACTTGAAGTGAAAGAATGTTTAACGAACGAATTAGATTCCATTATGGTCCTAATAAGATTTCCTTCTTCCACATCGGCGTTCTATTTTACATGGGTAAGTTGATACCAAATTAGCGGTGAAATTCATTACTTGAATGAAGCTCTCGGATTAATCCATAGATGAATATATTTGCACTAAGGGTTTGTTGGATGTTCGCATTCCACACGCGAGCTGAAACAGTGTCTTCCAGTAGCCACGTTCGACGATGCTGTACTTTCGAGACCTCAGAATGCTTCAATAATAAGGCGACAGCTCGGACATTTTAAGAACCTTTCCACATGCGTATCGCACTGCTGCAGGAGTTCCAAATGCGATGTTGCCTTGTTCGACGGCACTTTCTGTTATGGCGTGTTTTGTCCAACGGAAAACGTTTGCCATTTTGAAAAAGCCCGGGAAGGACAGAGGTCATATCAGACCGTGTTGTTAAAAGATATTTTTGCAGGTAAGTGTTGAGATCTGTGACCTGTGATCAGTACGTATTTGTGACAGATCAGTATTTAAGGAACCATTTTAAAATGAAAAAAGATTAAACTGATATAGGGTAGCAGTGCACTTACTCTCAACTAACCTGTGGAAAGGCAAAGTACAGCATTATAAGTCCAGAATTTTGTTTGGAAAATTGGCAAAGTTCTTGTCTTGTAATTCTGTTGAGGGTATTAAAAGTTCCTGTTTAAATTATGATCTGTCGAAATGATTTTGAAAACGACCGTAGCAGGTTCATGGCAGTTTGCCTCGTTCGCCCTGTTAGGTATAAAATGAATCTTCTTTACTAAAACTGCCAGTTTTCAAAGAACTGCTTAATTTTTCTGTGATCGACGGTCGATCACAGAAAAATTAAGCAGTTCTTTGAAATAGGCAATGTCATTTTTTAAGTGAATTCTTATGAATTATAATATTTAAGTGCTTGGTCCACATGAGCGGGTACCAGCCACACCACTCAATAGCTCTTTAGGTACTGGTTGCCTTCACTTCATTAAAACAGACTGATATTTTATCTCAATGAAATTTTAGAAAAGGGTTATCAGTTACTAAATGGTCAAAACTAAACAAGCTTTAGAAGCTCTGTTAAGGGGCCGTTCCTAAGTAATGTTAGATCACGCTGAATATACGTGTTAGTGCATGGAAAGGAATATTGACTTGTTCATAATATTATATATCCATAATGATCCCGGCTCCGCATTACAGAGTGTCCCTTGAAAAGCTGTGCTCCGTTAATGGGTTTGAAGTTGAAGGGAAAATAGATGCTTGATGTTAAGCTTAATGCCAAATTCCACATCCACACAAAAACGTAAAATATGTGGACGATATATGAATATATAATTTTTTTCCAATGATTAAGCACCAAGATGAACCTCCATTTAATCTTCGGAATCACCTTATCCCTCCCCCCGCCCTAAAAGAAGAGTTTCTTTAACGAAGGCAACAAGCTGTCCCAGAGAAAGACCAATGTAATTCTCATATCGCCATTGCATTACTTAGGAGTGGACAGATTCCTAGAGGGAAGAGCTCCACTGGGATCGATACATCCTTCAAATCTCAAATTAAAAAAGCTTCAATTTTCTTTTGAGGAAGGGATGAATAGAAATAAATCAAACATCAAAGGAGGCAAATATAAAAAACAGGGTGCTCATCAATTAAAGCGGATCTTGTCAGCGAAACGAAACATTTTACAAGAAAGGAAAAAGCGTCTTAACGATGATAAATGCCACATTAGACGAATCACAAACAATACCACCTTGCACTCAGGTATGGATGCTGGGAAATTCAAATCACATGGAAAATCAAAGAGCATTTCAGCTTGTGCGAGGCTGTGTTGTCGAGACCAACTGTGTGATATCGCCGTTATAATGACTGGTCGCTGTTACACTGTGCAATGTTATAGCATGACGGACTGCCAATCAAAACCTTTAGAGAGCAAAGCTACTAATATTGTGATAGCATACGTTTACAATCCCAGGAAAGCGTTCAGCAATGAGAGCAGACGTAGGAAGCGAAAAGAAATTAGCAAGAAAACCGTCGTGTCCAATCCTAATGAAGGTAATGATTAATAAATAATACATCATATGACAAAACAGACAATTTATAACTAACCTTAAGTGTCAATTACACTCTTCATATCTTCTCGTTCCTATAACCCACGCGTTACAAGGGTAAGGAGACCACCCTACCCCTCATCGGACAATGACACGGAAACAGTGAACTCAGATAGTTCACTAAGTCTTAGCTATTTGTAAAAAGACCGCGTTATCAACTTAAGTTCGAGAGTATGGTGGTCTCCTTCACTGCCCTCCATTGGATGACGGAGATTAATTCAGCGCCTGTGTGGAAACATTTTTAAAAAAATTCCATTTTTTCCGATGTATGATAGTCATATCGGCCCACTGTCATTATCCAAGAAAAGCTAAAATAATTATACAAAACCACAATTTCATTTTTCCCACATCTTTTGAGGGATATAAGCGTGCCCACTCTCTTTGGTTTTGAAATGAAATGCAGAGCGCTTCTCCTTTAAGCAATACTCAACCTATTTGTAGTTGAAAACGAGCAGAGAATTTATACACCCAGGTTCGAATTCTCATTTCAGGTAACATAGGCGATATTCTTGGAAAGATTAGGTTCCTGAACGGTCCATCTACTGTAACATCAGACATGCACTTCAGTTTTCTCCAACAGTGCGCTCTCTATGTTGAACCAGAAAATGTAACAAAACCTGTTCATGGCTGGGTTACTCCACGATATTCCCCCGTTAAATATCTTTACCAGGCTCCCAGGAGTACACCTCCGCCTCTTGGTATGAGATCTGCCGTGCCTCTTGGAGGAATGGGGACAGGTGAAGTAGTTGAAAAAAGGGAAATATGTTGATCTATTAAGATCTAACGCTATCAAGACACTTGGAGTGTGTTTGGTGCTATCGTCTCCTAGAAGTGATAAGTGGGTCGTAACGTCCATTATCCAGCGGTGATAAGAATAGAAAAAGCCTTTCAGCGAGAAGTTGATATCTTGATGTAACAAAACATATTTTTAAAAAAAAACATAGCAACTGGAAGGAAGAATAGCTTTTGTAACTTGGCTTGACCATATTAAAAAACTCTAAGAGGTAGAATGGCGCTGCATTGCTTATGACTTCAGCTTCTTCTTTGTTTCGAAGGATCGTTAGAGCTTAGAGCCGACGGATCATTTCATGAATGGACCCTTGAGAACCAGTCACCAGGTGGATCGGCCAAACTTGGCCCAGGCGCATTGGATAAAACAGTGCTTGGTGTAAGAGTGAGTTCCTCTTTGGGAACAAAAGCCGCCCTCTTGAGAACACACCCTCCTCCTGGGTACCCTGGTGTGAAGGGCTTGTCATACTCAGGATCTTTTCCAGTGTCAAGACTTAGTGTTAAGGATGAAAGATTTTTTGGAGTTGAAATAGACTTGTTTGCATACGGCACTCTCCGAGCGAGGAAAACAGAACTATCATTTGTTCCTGGAGTAGTTTTTACACTAAGTGTTAAAAATCCAACTGATAAGGAAGTGGATGTGTCTTTCCTGTTGAATATTCCTCTTGGTGAGCAACCAGGTGCGATCAAGAACTGAAATTGTGTAGAAATATTAACGTAACTTTCATAACTGATTCAAGACCCGGAGTGGTGAGATAGTTAAGAATAATTTTTATAGCCTAATGAAGAAAACTTAATTTGCATGTTTTTCTTCCTTACTTCTCTAATTCCAGTAGGTATCTGTCCTCGTTCGTCTTTGGAAAAACTACTAATATATCCACTAATTCTATTTGTTCTTTTATCTATTTTAATCATTATTGCACAAAGGTATATGCGTTATGATTCAATTACAGCAAATAAGAAGTTATTCCGATTGAACAAATCTATAAGTATCGTCACTAGTTCCCCTGAACGTCTTGAGCGTCAACTACACCTTGTGGTGGAAGTTAACTGATAATCTTTTTTCAAAGTTACCTTTCGAAGTCAGTAAGTATTTTTTTTTGTTTTTGCCTTTTGTTTAGACACGTCAAGAAGAGGCGACAACATTGAGACCAAAGTTGATGTAGTGTCTTCAGCTCAGTGTGCAGCCATGTGTAACGAGGATGATCGTTGCATGGCCTGGAGCTATGAAAAGGACAGGTGTTCGTTAAAAGATGCAATGCCACTTCACGCGTTTAAGGCGGGTGTCACTTCCGGTCAGTTGCTAGAAATTGGGGTTTCTGCGTAAGCGCTGCAGCTGTCGATGAGACTGGGGCGCGAAAATCTTCTCCAATGTTTTCTCTCTTAGCAGGCACTCAAAAATAATTTTATTTAATTTTTTTGAAAAGAATACGACTGAATTAATAATTGAGAGGGCAAACGAGAACGTACTTTACACCATATCTTCTCTAATGTGACTCAGAGCGTAACGCAGGGCGCTTTGTGTCGCGTTTGGGGAGAGTAAATTTTAGAATTTTTGTTTATTTAAAACATCTTCTTTTAAAAATACCGTCTAGGCGTTAAGGGACAGTGGAGATTAAAGGAAGAAATGCTAACTTGTGAAAGGCCCAACAAGTTCCCAAACAGTGGAAGCACTACGCTTCTGTCAAGCAATACAAACAAACCAACATTTGGCGTCACGGATGACTTCCGGTCCGTTTGGGAAGCGTTTGAATCGAGCGGAAAACTAAGAAAGAGGATAGACTCTTCCGGCTTTCATGGCACGATAGCTGTTGGAGCAAGACTTCCTTCTGGTATAAGTGAAACACTGACGTTCATTTTAGCCTGGTATTATCCTTATCGAGACCACTCAGGAAAAAGCGTTGGGCAGTATTACAGGTAATGTATTGAAGCAAAGTACCGGACAGTCTAAAATGCCATTTGTTTTGGTTTGTCATGAACTACTAAACATATAGTTCGAGTTATCGAAAATTAATTGTTTAGAAAATGACCTGCGGGGAAATTTACATTGCTTCGATCTGGTGTGTGGTTTGAATTATCTAAAATTCGAGTTAATTATCGTGGGTAAAACTAATCGACTGATAATTGACGGAAATCCAATAGAAATCGATTTTGGTTTAAGGAAGCGCAATGTTCGAATTAGCGAGGGTTCGAGTATCGGGAGTTGAACTGTTAATCCCCACCGATGTTCGAACACTCTCAAGCTCATTTATCGACAAATGTATGAAATTCATTTGGAGCTGAACATGGAAAAGTAAGTGAGAAGATTCTAGACGAAGAGTAACTCTGTTTTGAAGACAGGTTCCAAGCTAAGGTAATAATTTATCATTCAGCCAGTCCAGCGTGACTGGGAAAGTCCATCTTCGACCATTTAAGGCTCAGGATCTTCTTTGAGAAACGTTTCTTGCAGATAAATATATGACTTAACTCAAATTAAGTTTGACTTGATGAATTTTCAAAATTCTATCAAATATTTCAGGTGTTTTGTTCGTCCCTGTTAATCGATAAATTACTCTTGGTGTGAGTGAAATTTGTACTTTTAGAGGGGAATGAGCTTTTCAAAAATGAAAATATTTATTTAAAGGAAGAAAATATAAGTAAAAAAAGAAATAGAGTGGAGAAAAAAAAATTGTGCGACGAGGATGGGATTCGAACCCACGCGTGCAGAGCACATTGGATTAGCAGTCCAACGCCTTAACCACTCGGCCACCTCGTCAGGTACATGTTACTGGGTGAAATTTATTTATTTATACATTTATCCTTGATAGACGCTTAAAAATTTACATAATCACGCGCCGTCACAAAACAGTAATTGGACTATCTCTATTATCCTTTTCTTCTTACAACTCCGGAGGAGGATTCTAATCGATTCGTTGCTTAGCAAGCAAATTAGCATTTAAACTCATAATTTCTATGTTTTGTTTTAAATAGCAACCTTTTCAACTCCAGCAGAGACGTAGCTGAGCACATCCGAGACAACCTTCTCTCAAACTTGAAGGACATCATTTCATGGCATTCAAATATCATTCCCTCGACGCCCTTCAGGACTTCCCTACGAAATTATGGTGTAAAGTCTTCTCTTCCTGAATGGCTTCAGGATCATCTAGTCAACAGTTTGAGTTTTTGGAGAAGCGGATTTCGAGTGGCTGACGGCAGGTAACTGTTAACAGTTTCTCTCCCATCTTCATGTGACAAAAGGAAGGAAAGAAAAGAACATTACATGATAACAAGAATTGATTCCAGTAATTAAAACGACCATGTGCCTTCATTTCTGTAATTTTGATTCCTCTTTTTTCTTCCATCCAGATGGCGGCAATGGGAGGCACTAGACTGCAATGATGTCGATTCGGTTCACAATGATTTCCAGAGGGAACTACCGTACCTCATTTTCTTCCCAGAACTACTGGAAAACGTTGTGAGGGCCTGGGCTCGATATCAGCACCCAGGTGGATGGATACAGGAGACTCTACAGATACAGTGGGGATGCCATAACCGTACAAACCGGTTAGATACCCCAGGAGGAAGAGTCATGGCTGATGTCACGCCAGCTTTTTTAGCACAGGTATCTGTAAATAAGTAAATAAATGAATAAATTTAAAATTGTGAAGAAGTTTGAATAACCTCGTATTTTAGGTTTTCAGACACAAATGACGCATTTTCAGGAGCCCATCAAGTGATGGGCTCCTGGCATATCACTGAACATCTTGAACTCAAATATCTGGGTAGTTTGAACATTTCTAAGAACTTTTACGTGTTGCCTTTTATTCGGCTGATTTCCCAGTCTAATATATAGATTACAGAAATAATCTTATGATTGTAGTTCTGGGAAGTTTTGCATAAATATCAGCATAAACAGACAATTCGAAAGTGCAGTTATAAGTCACATTTGGGAGCCTAATTGGCCTAAGCACTGTGTTAGAAAAGTGCTAGCCTTATAGCTGCTAATGCCGTCTACAGACAAGGGCAGTCAGCTAAAGGCTAATCGTTCCCAAGCCATTCTGGTTTTTTTCTCGCCATAGTTCTACCATCTTTACTTATGGACGGGAAACCAACAGGTCCTTCGAGATCTCTGGCCAGCAGCTCGCAAGGCACTGATTTGGCTCATGCGTGACAGCACAGGGGACTCGGGCCTCCCTTTACGTAAAACGTGCACTTACGATATTATTTACCAAGAGGGCTACGACCACACGACGTACAACAGTGTTATGTATCTGTTAGGATTAAGGGTGGGCCAAGTCCTTGCAGACACCTTAGGAGAAACTGAATTGGCTCAGGCCATTCAGCTAGCGTTTGAGTACGGAAAAGAAAAATTGGACAGGACTTTATGGGACGAGGAGGAAGGATTTTATCATTCATGGTGGGATCACGAGAAAGGTTCTCCACCCTGGCTGATGGCGGACTCTCTTTATGGTCAGGTAAGTGAGATGGATTCAATCTACGCGCTCACAGAGACAACTTCAATCCCCGCTCATGTATGAAATAGCTTTATTTGAACCATGGATGGTGGGTGATCAGTTGATTTTCTGGAGTAAGATGCAGCAACAGAAACTAAAACTGAAAAAATATAAATATATTATTGGTCCTCGAAGAAGCCTGGTCTCTATTTCATATGGACAGAGGTAGTTTAAAATTATCAGTTAAAACTTCTACAGTGCCTTAAAGTTGACAATATGGAGATTTGATGTCATGGTCCAAGCAAAGTCAGTCGCTGATTAGTCCACTAAACACAAAAACTAAAAAAAACCGACCTTGTTCCAAAACAACAAAAGTAATGGTGAAAAAGAATGTTTCGCTCTCCCTACGTTTTCCTTATTTCTTCTGTTTCAGGTTTGGGCCTACGCCCTAGGTCTTGGACACCTTCTTGATCCTATCAAAATGAAAATGCACCTGAATAAAGAGAGACAGCTAAATGGCACACCCTACGGACTTCGCGTGCTTGCTCAAGGGATCAATAAAAGAACAACGAAGACTGATAAAAATGCACAGCAAAAACTTAGACAAAAGTGGAAAACACGCAAACAAGAGGAGGCCGTAGCAGATTTGGGCAGCTTCTCCAACCAAATTTCAGAATTGAAAGATCCACATTTTAATAAACTATCAAATTTTACAGCGAAGGAGAGTCAGCTAAGGACAAAAATGTTCTACGATAATGATAAAATAAATAGACACGCTGCACATCATTTTTCAGCGATTAAAACATCAGTGACGAAGATCGACATGAAAATACAAAGAAGAAAACTAAATGGAACAGGCAAAATTGTGGATAACCAATTCAATTCAACATCAAATTCAATTCTATCCGTTACACAAAAATCTCTTCAACACGAAAACTGCTTTGCCCTTGAACAGGAGAGCAAGTTTAATTCCATTTGGATGGGAAGCGATGCAGATTGGACCACTCTCAACATCCATCTAGGAATGGATCCTTCTAAAGCTCTAAAACAAGCTGAAAGAGCTCTGGAACATTACAGAACCAAACTGAACGACCTATGGAATATCCACGGTTTGACCGCTGGTCAGGGTTACGGCGTAGACGGCCAGCCGTGGTGCACGTCGCATTATAGTTTCCACATGGTCCTTTGGCACATACCGTTGGCTCTTTCTGGCCAGCAGTTTAATGCAATAAAACAAATATTAATTTTTGAACCGAAATTGCAGGTCCCGTATAATCTTCCGTTCTTCACTCCTTTCGCTAGTGGAACAGTTCAAGCAAGGAAGCTAAAGGAGAGAATTAAGCTTACTGTGACCGTGACATCCGGGAGACTGGAGCTGAAGTTTTTAGCTGTATCAAAAAGTATGTTTCCAAACAAAAACGTTGAAATACGTGAGGGTGAATTTGTAAGTTGGGAAATGAAATGAATATACCTTTCTATCCGACATTTTTTAATAAAAAAGATAACTTTAACTATATGGTTATTCATCGCTCGTAATGATGAAAGAATAGAGTGAAAACACAAGTTGACTGCTGGCCTGTCCCCTTGAGACATGCAGAACCTAAATAGCATTGGAAAGCGTCCCTATTGACCTTAATAATGCAGGCTACAAACTAGTACGACTTGAGAGGGTGGGATGAGTCAACCATTTTCCCCCTCCTCCCCCCCATCTCCCTTGCACTATCCTACCGCGAGAGTTATCCAAAAAGCTTCGAGTCGTAAGTAACTCTTGGCGCTAATGACAGCATTCCCGTCCCCAGAGCCCGTCAAATCTCTTAACCAGCAGGACCTTAAAATGAGAAATGGGTTCCATGTTTCAAAACCTTTCTGCCTAAAATAATTGAAGGGATTTAATAACAAGAATTTGGGAACAGAAAAATTAAGAACCGTTCGTCGATCGAAGTTTGCTACCTCATATGGCGAGGCATTGTTCAGCTCATTAAACCTTCGGTTCATTCCTCTCCGTTCCCCATCTCTCCCTCCTACCCTTTTAATGGCAAATACTGCAAAAGGTTTCAAAGGTAGTCAAGTCTTCTGATTTTTATAATACACAAGAACAGGGCCCCTGTTCTCACAATCCTAGTATTCTTAACCATTAAAATGATGAAACAAGCACAAAGTGTTGTTGCTTCCTTTTTATTGTGAACAGTTTATCCCATGAATATTAAGGCTTTAGGAATTATGTTCAACACCGGTGTTGAATCAGTTGGTTATTTTCACCTTTGAAAAAATATTTTTTTCATTGATACTAATATTTAACTGTCAAAAAATAAATTTTCGTCACAAGAATTATATATGATAATCTTTCTAGGTTGCCTTCAAAGTGCATAATAAAACTCACCATGAAACTAAAGAATTCCAATTAAACGTATACCAATTAGCGATCAAAATTCATGATCGAAATTCTCAGAAATATACACCGTTAAAAGATTCCTAAGACAAAAATTCCATATTTTCAAACACGAAAGATTAAGTTTTTTAAAACTCAAAAGCTAGAATAAAAAAAATGAGACTAAACACGGTGCATTTTATTGAAATTAGGGGACCAAAGAAAAAAGTAATTACCCTAGAATCTTAAAAATTATTATGAAATGCGGAATAACACCAATTTGTTGAGCTAAAACGATCAAATTTGGATTGCATTGTTCCTTTCCTTATGAACAACCTAATATTTCATGTTATTTGAATGCATATGTTGGTTTTCTCTGTATTATGTCTAAAAAAAACATCATCAAACTGTCCGACTCAGTGTAGTTTTCCTACAACTCAGTCGTCGCTTCGTTCAGCGAAAAACTTCGCAAAAACCCACCACTACGAAACGTAACCTTTGGATAACCAGTCACTAACTGGTCTGTGCTTCCTGTAGTAGAGTCCGATGGAGAATGGCTTAACACGGTCTCATTGACATCTGCTACGTCATCTGGGTTGTACTTTCCCGAGTACTCATTTTCATAATCACTTCGTGATCCCATCGAGATGCTGTCGGCATCTTCGGAGTCTTCCTCGTCAGAATCCGGTGGCTTCGGCGGCGGGCCTTTAGGCGGAGGGGGGAAGAACGCGTTATGATCTAAGTCAACATATTCTTCCGGATCTTCCTCCCTCATGGCTGCCAGTTGCGAACCGTAGCCGAAATTTAAAAAGCTCATTTCGCCGCGAGAACCGTCATCACTGCCTTCAGAACTGTTGTCATCCTCGGCTGGTATATGGACTATAACCTCTTGAGCTTCCTGTGAAAATGAAAGGATATAGCGAGTTAAATGACTTGAACCTGGTGTGTTGATTATTCAGTAAGTCATTATTTACTGTGAAGTCATCAGGGCGTCAAGGCCGCAAATAGGAACGAAAAAGAGATAAACTCCAGGAGCCTGGGACATGATATGTTTACGAATTAAATATCTATATATTTCAAAGGGTTACTTCTGTAAAGCAAACTGCGAGACTTGACAAAGAAATGACCGTATTTTGGTAACAATCTTATGAACAAAACATTACTATAAACAAAAGCTGAGGTCACTGGACATTATCGAGCAAGTGATAATAGTTGTTTGGTTACCAGTACCTCAAAAAGACAACAATGCCTGAAAATATTGTTTCTACCATTGTTATAAACTTCTGATTAAGAAGCTTCTCAAATTATTTGCTGGTTATTATCTTTTAGCATAATTGCTCCGGTGATTATAGAGATGCACGCTCTCTGATTGGTCGAGGATTGCCTCATATCTCGCTATAATCACCTCGTGCGAAGTGATAAAAGCAGGAGCGCCAAAGTAAAAAATGGCTACCTCGCGTTTTGTCAGTGTTGCCGAGGTACTGATGAATACGATAACGAAAATTCAATTCTGAGTAACACTTTTCAAAGAAAGATATGAAATTTGCTGATTGAATTAAATGAACCTGTGAAATTCGAGTGGAAGGTGGCTGTTTATCTCGAGTATCGAAACAATTGAAACTAAATGGTTTCAGCATCAAAACGAATATTTACAACAGAATTCGAAAGCACTAGAGCAATTATGCTAAAAAGATTATTCGCCTCAAGCCCAGTGAATATTGTTGAATAATTCCCTTGACTTCCTCTCGGGGATTATTCAACAGTAATCACTGAGCCAGAGGCGAATAATTGTTAAATAATAGTTTACTGCGTATTATAATTTAGAAATATTTTTTAAATACTTTCATTTTTATAGTTACATTTTATAACATGGTGAAGTCGTATTTTATGTCTGCCTGATAGCACACCATGTGAGCGCGAACATCATTAGATGTTGGACCATTCTGTAAAAGTTTGATAAAGTAAACAGGCTTCTCCAACGTAATCGATTGTCTATCATTTATAAACGAAAAACATCGATTGATCATATCTACAGATTAGCACTGATTGAGAGGTTTAAATGATTAAAATCACAGTCTGCATCATAAAATGTGGTGGGGTTCTATAATTATGGCTTAATCATAACTGGCATGCAATGTTATAAGAGGTTAAATGAAAATCGTTTTCTGTAAGTCCAGTTTTTATATGACTGAAACTTTTTTTCTGGTGTCCTTTATGTATGAAAATGCTCTGAAAGTCAGGAACAAAAATATTTTGTGATAAATTTTTGTCTGTTGCTGGTCAGAAAACTATTTCTAGAAGTTATAACAAAATTAGTTTTATTCAGGTACCAGTTTATGCTGGTAACTAACTATCTACAATGCACAGTGCGAAAACTTTAAATGATTTCAATTGCCTTTCTCTAATAATATAGGATGTTTGGGAATAAAAATTTATTTAAAATACAATGGAACATCATCTAAACAGTTGAGTAAGAGTGTTTAGCAGCAGTTATTTGTCATTTTATATTGTAGCACTACTAGTACGCAGGGAGCTGAGACTGAATAATGGGAGATGTTACCTGTGCGGATTCCACGTGGTTTGATGTCACAGCAGTCTGAACAGGTTCAATGCTGAGGTAAGGAGAAATAAGGCTAGTTAACTAAAATATGCCGACAGAACAACATGACTCTCTATTAAATAATAATAATAATAATAATAATAATAATAATAAGGATTTCTATAGCGCCATATCCGTAAGCTCGTGGCGCTTATAAGGCCATTCTTTATGAATGTAACTGAATAGTGAATCATAATCTAAGCTCAGAGGTCACACTTGCAGATACAAGAATATTCGCCTATCGAGACCTCAAGCACATTCCACTCAACTGAAAGATACTAAATTTGACATTCTTCAAATAATCTTCGAGGTAAATTATTTTAAACCAAAAATGAATGTTCGTGTTGTTGTGTAGTACGTAATGTAGGCTGGAATGTCAGGGATGATGTGCGCATCCTTAAATAGCCATTAAAGTTGAAATTGTAGAAATGGCATAAGGAAACATACTAAAGTCCACAAGGCAACTAGGTGGACAATCAGACATGGTTTGATGCTACTCTGGTTTAAAGAATGAATGTTAACCGAGAAGTAACAATTCATAGACCCAGGGTCTATGAATTTTAACTTCTCATTAAATCTTTAAACCGGAGTAGCATCAAACCATGTCTGGTATAAGGAAAGTTTGACAAGTTTTCTACCGAGAGAAAACTCATGAATGTTTCATGTCACTTACAAGAAAGGTTTGTCATTGAACGTCACTCTTGTTTGTCTCTTTTTCTTGAACGGACTCTGACCATTTCTTTTTCTCCTAAAACAAACATAAAAAGGAATGAACTTCCATTCAAGCACAATCAGAACAGCCCAAGAAATTCCTACATTAAACTTGTTAGACCCTACTCTTAGTAAGAGTGAGGTAATTCACCGATTATAGTATGTAACGATTATGGCGATAGCACCAATTTCAGCCACAAGATTGTCTGAAACACGAACTTGAAGCCATTCATACAGGTGCCTTTTTCATGCTCGTATTATCTGTATATTGCTCTGAGATTCACTCAATATAATCATCATAATTATGGCTCTGAGATTCACTCACATGATCAATATAATTATCATAATTATCGCTCCTAGACCAATAATGACACCAAGGCAGATCATGGCTCCGACCACGGCAGATAACTCCTCCTCAGTACCCTTACGAGCCTCTGTTGAGGGAGGTCCACCTGGGGGCCGGTACCATAATATATTGAACTTTTTATATGTGGTTTTTAAAGCTTCTTCGTTGTCTGACAAAGCCCTAAAAAGGGAAAAAATATTGTAAGACGTTACACGATAAAGCTGTTCGCGGGTAACAAGTTTAAAGTGTCAGCAACATTGCGAAGGGAGCTATGATATAAGCTGAAATTTATGACATAAGCAATTCACTGGCGCCGCCGACTGGATTTCGATAGGAACGAGATCTTCGAGCACGATGAATTGGTTGGGCGTAATATTGTTGAACATTAAGACGGCTTTCCTGTAAACTGATTGACTTCCACTAAATAGAATTTACAACATACCACATCTAGGGAAGTTTATCAAAAAGAGGAATTAAAATGTTTTAAACTTTACCAAAATGGAAATGAACTCGTCATGCAAGTACTGAGATTTGTCCAGTGTAAATTCAATGAATACAAGTCGTCTGTCTTTGATGAGAAGTAATCCCACTGGTTGTACAATTTTTTCTCACCAGTAAAAGATGTCGTATGACCAATCAGAAGCCTGATACGGTTTTTTTCACGAGTGAAAAAATCGTACCGGTTTTCCCGCCTTTCAGGGAAGTAACGCCCTTAGACTCGATAAGTGACTTGCACCTGAAGATTATTTATTTGAAAATTTAACCAATTTATAGCACTAACCTTGTAATATCAAATCCCGACATTACTTCGTCACCTCTCACCACGTTGAAAGTCACAAGAGTCCTGTAGCGTTGAAATACACACTGATTATTAGCTTCTACGGACATTTGTGACTGTTAGTTAAGTTCTAAAAAATGATTCTTGCATTTGGAGACCGTAATGGGCTTTTCAGTAGTGTCAAAAACGGATAACAACAAAGCTCGCAAATTGAGCATTATAAGAGCTAAGGACAATTTTTGAGTCAATCAAATAACTGGTAACACAACAGTTTATTAGCTTCCTTGTCAACGGGCTATCAGTTCAGAGCTGAACCAACTTCGTTTTCAAAGTTATCAATAAGATTTCTCTATTCCTTTAAGGAGGTCTTGCCGGTTTGTTTTGAGAAAAATGGGAATCCATTTTTCTTAAAAGAATAAAGGAAGTGAAATAGACATGGGTGAACAGTAAATATAACCGAGCGGATTAGTGATCAGGTGATACTTACGCGTTTTCACCATCTTCTTGCTGGAGATACTTTATAAGGGCATCTCCTCCCGTTATGGATTTAAGCATTCTGTCCAAGAATAGTAATAGTATTACTGCTATATATGTGTTGGCCCGAAACAATCAAATACAACTGTTGGCCTATTTGCAGTCTGATAACATATGTTTCGTTTTCACGTAAGGTCACGTTGACCATATTGATTGTGTGAAACAATAAAGACTCGACTATATCGGTGGTACATATCAGATCTCTTCTTCAGTAATGCTAATCTTTTCTAATTTCCAATGAAAATTATGCACGTAGGTAAAACCTTTCTAAAAAAATTAATAAATTGTGGGATTACATTTTTTTAAAAGCTAAGTTAAGGTTCAATTTTGCTGCTTTGCTTGCTCTATTTCCTTCCCATCCTCCCACTCTTTTGGTGTTCATTCCACACACCAGTTTGTCCGTGTTGAATTTTGGTAGGTGCCTTATAAAGGGCTGTGACGCGGTTGTCACGGTTACCTTCTTGCTTCTCTTCTCTGTCGCCACTTTTACGACACCTACCCTACAATACTTTTGATGAAATTTTTTTATCAGTGTTTATCAAGAAATATATTCTTAACTAGTTCGGCTATGTTTGTGAAATTATTGAAGATCTAAATCACTACGCATACTCAAGAAATTCCGCTCTGCTTTTCGTGATCTCTCCCGGGACCACACCTGCCTTTATAGCAATGGAATCTTCATCACGGAGAACAAAAACCTAAAGAAATATGCAAGAAAGTCTTGAGACGTTCTACTATGTCCACATTTCCTCTAATAACACAGTTGACCAACCTACTACGATACTACAGGAAACATATCTCAAACATTTCCAAGTGAAACTGTTAATTACTGCTTGACTTTACTGTCAATCAGCTAGATTTAAGAATTCTTCAATCTCTTACGGAAGGGCATGCTAATTCACTTATCTTGAGCAATCAGGAATGATGCTCGCACTCTACATGTACCTCACTCTGTAACTGGTTCAGAAAATAAGCGTCACCTGATCCCCCCCTTTTGCCAAACAGAGTCGAATCCTAATCTGCGCCTCAAGAAATGATTTTGTTGGTTTCCTTTGATATTTACTACTTTCTGATAGGCCATTTTGATTACGGCACTCAGACAAAAAACTGTGGTGAAGAAACGAAGGTCTAATTATATATTTCGCAAACTCGAAAAGACTTTACGGCATCTTTTTCATACTTACGTTTACAATTGCGTTGGTGGCTGCCTTTTTCCGGCCGTCCGAGGCACTTACTTCTAGAGTGAACTTTGAACCATCTTTACCAGCCAATGAGGTTGCAACTCTCACGTGACCTGTGTCAGGCTCTACGTGAAACAACCCCAGCCCATTGCCATTGACAAGTTCGAAGGTAATAGCGGATTGCGAATCTGAATCAGCATCGCTCGCCTGAACACAGAATATGTCAAACACAAAGCGCTGACAACCCAGCTTCATACTGATTTCTGCTTAACTACATTTCTTCTTTAAGTTTTGATAAATTTCTCTCTGCCAAATTAGGGTATTACTCGTTCATAAACTGTATTTTAAAACTAAAAATATAATTAGTCAATGTCTACTAATCTTCTCTATCCACGACCATCCCTGTTCCCTTTCAGTTTCTTGTTTCCCTCTGTCTATATACCCTACCATCGACACGATTTTCAACCCCTATAGGTTTGGTAAAAATTTCGCTTCGAGAGAACAGAAGTCAGGTCGAGAGTGGGTTTTCAAAATTTTATTTCTTTGGGTCGTTAAGTCCTAAGAAATTTGCAAAATGATCCAAAAACTTTGGAGATTCTTCTTTCCCAACTAAACAGGATTAAGTACTTAAAAAAAAAACAAACAGACAAACAGATAAGAACATCTCTGGGGATTGTTACCTGGTTATCAAGTTATCAAATGGAGTTATTTCCTGGTTTATAGTAAAACACTGGGAACATCTTTACAGAGCAATTTAGAAAGGCAAAGGACTTTATCCAATAACACGTACCTTAACAGTCGTCACTAGCGAATAGTAAGTCGTATCTTTGTACACACCTTGTAAAGGACGATGAAAAATTGAAAAAATAAATAAGCTACGGATACCTTTTCAAGGAGAAAACAACAATTTTTTGTCCTTTTCTTATCTTTACAACTCTTTACAGTTAAGAGAGTGTGGTGAAAAGGTTATTTACTGGACCTGTTGGGGCCTGGGACCTAGACCAACCTCCCTCAGCTAGGCAGGGTTATGGACATGTAAAAGCACTTCGGGAGAGCGCGAAGCTCTAGGACAAAGTGAACAAGGTGTTTGTATTAAAAAAGAATTGAAAGCAAATGTAGGCTGGAAACAGGGTGTTTATTGACCCGAGCTCGAGTTCAAGTCCCATTTGTTGTCATTGTGTTGTATTCTTAAAAAACACTCCACTCTTGCTCCACTAGGAGTAAAAACGAATAGAATTACCAAGGAAACTTACATATGCTGAGGGGAAAACACCGGAGGACTTGTATCTGATACAGGGAAGTAATTAGTCTCCTGGTCGCTTTATGTTACAGAAACTGGGATGAGCTCTCTGGGTAACTAAGCTTGCAAACAGACTTTAGGCTGTGTATATGGTGGTTTTTACACTACCTCTGTCTCAAACTACACATGCCCTCTTGACCGCTAACTGAGGTAGCCGTCTTCGTAACTATCGCAAAATCTACCCTTATTTAAAAGTTTTTAGGCATTTCACATTTTATCATTATAGTGTTTTTACAGTTTAGTTAAAATTTGGTTATAATCTCGTTTCCTATCCCTAACTTAGCCTTTTCACGACACTTCCTCTAGTATCTTACCTCCTACGTATAATTCCGGCGCGAAGACTGGAGAATGTTCGTTTACATTAGTGATATGAACAACAACAAAACCAACATCAGAACGGGGATGCTGTCCATTGTCTTGGGCGTTCACTACGAGCTAAGGGCAGTAGATTACTTATTACTTATAAGCAAATGTTCAGTTGATTTAAGGTTGGGCTATTGAAGCAATAATGATGCAAGAAACTTCGACTTAGAGTGCAAGGACTCCTTCGAAATAAAGAAAGGTAAAGAAAATATGCGACGGTTTGTTGACATGGACAGATTTTCGTTTTATTTTTTTTTTAGTTATTACGTTACGATCCTCTCTGGTTTCCTATGATATGTTGTTACCTCTTTAGGTTTTTCAACACTGGCAAACTGTTATCTTAAGCTTTACTTACCCCAAAAGATAATTTTCTATGAATTAAATTAAATTAGGGAACTTTTGCAACTTCGTGTAAGAACTGATCTGGATCGCATTATTTTGCCATTCTGCACTTTTACGGAGCAGGAATGTCAGCTCAGTTTGTTTCCTAAAATCATTGAGATCATGTATCACTGGGAGGAGGGGGGGGGGCGTTTGATCGCATGGTGCGAAACCTGATAGAGTGATTATACCTATAGAAAAATCTACACGAAACAAACTTCGACACACAAGTTTTTTCCTTGAAGGAGACAAACCCAGTTAGCTTACCTGATGTTTCTTTTTCACACGAAGATAAAGTATCAAATTATTAAGTCTTAATAAAAGCCTTACCGTGTACAGCTCGGGATCAGTCTCCCTGTCAAACGACCTGGATGTGGTTATGACACCTGTAATGTTATCAATCGAGAACCTGTTGACCGCGCCTTCTACAAGCTGATAAGTAATCCGCGCATTTACTGCAGTGTCGGCGTCAGATGCATTACACTGAGCAACAAATGAACCAGAGGAAGCACCCTGCAACAGAATAAGGCGACTACTGAATGATACTGAGCTGGTATGAAGATAACTGGAGAGACCTTACTGATGGATTCAGTCTTTCAAAATACAGTGGCTGGATCTTTCATGCAGAGAAAAACATTAAACGCTGGGATCTTAAAAGCGATGATCTTCCTTATAAGGATGAATTCTCCATTACGTGCCTTTCTACCGAAAAAGGCAGATTCATAATCTTGTAGTCATGGCAAAGTCAAGTGTGCTTCGAATTTACTTACCTCTGCAACAGAAGCTTGAATGATCCGTGCTTGAAGAACCGGAGAGTTATCATTGACATCAGTCACGTTTATAGTGACGTTACTGAACGCACGGCGCCGAGGCTCTCCCATATCAGAAGCTGACACGTTCAGTACGTACTGAACGGCGGCTTCAAAATCGAGTGGTTTTACCAAAGACAATTCTCCAGATTTATTGTTCAAAGCAAAGAAAGCTGGGAAAAGAACGAAAGGAAAAGCATAGGCTGTGAAAGAAGACATAACTTACATAACTAGTAATCAAGAAAGAGATTCTCGTGCCAGTCAAATTAAGAGACGTCGTGCACTAGCATGCACCAGGGGCACACATGTACAATCCAAATTGCTAAAATGAGTAATATAGCAAGACAAGCACGGTGGCCTTTGCTTGAACAAAAATTTTTAGACCGGGCACAATGCAAACTTTGAGGGCGAGATCAGCTGGGACATCGACTAGACATTTAAGAAATCATTACTCTGTTTTAAAAATGTGTTGCAAACACGAGGGACCATGGTAAAGAAGATGAGAAACAGACGGTGCGCGAAACTTGCGATTGAAAGTTATTTTCTGACTTTGGAATTCATATTTTTTATTTAACAAAGTCTAAGTTTATTTGTCTAGCGATAAGCACCTTGTTCATTTCCTGCTATGATGTTGTACACCACAGAACCATTAAGCCCTGCGTCTCTGTCTACGGCTGTTACTGTGAGGACAACAGTTCCCTCGGGTGTGGTTTCTGGTACACTTACCAATGTTGGGTTTTCAAACTTAGGAGTGTTGTCGTTTACATCAACCACGTTTATGTTTATCTTAGTAATGAAAATAATGCAGAATTAAGGGACGATAAGCGAGGAAGATATGGAGAACCTGCGATTTGGGCCCAAGATATATGAAATATACGTAAGGCGATGTTGTGCATTAAGCCTACCAGTCAACTTGACCTGTTGCGTTACCCCAGTGTTCGATTTCAAACTAATTTTAATTTGTTCCAGAGAATTAGCCTCTTGATAATTAAAAAATTTCGAAATTTTTGAGAAATGCAGCGATGCTGAAGCTGAATTGGCGCTTAAATAAGAGGAAATCCTTCTATTGGGCACTAGATCATAATAATGTTTCTCCTCACTTCCCGCGCCACTTTTCAAAAATCGTTCAGTACGAAAAATTGTCAAATAAAAGAACATCCAACCCTCAGTTGGTGTCTTTCTTCATGTTCATCACCTGTCTTCTCAATTTATCAATGTTGTTAGAAGAAATTACGAGTTGTTCATTCCGGAAAGTAAAGGGTTGAAAACAGATATTGAACACAACAATGATTATATGCGGTCTAACCATTGCGAAGCCTTTGTTTCTTCCGTCTTTCAGAAGCTCCACGATCAAAGTGTACTTCTCACGTTGTTCTCTATCTAGGACTCGAGAGGCAACTCGCAGTTCCTTCGAAGTTTCATTTAAAAAAAAATTGCCATCTTCGTTGCCTCGGTGGATTAGGAATTCGGGAGATGATATGTTGAAATATTTCTCCAAGTTCTACGAGTGAATGGAGGGGAAATTAAGGAAAAATAACAGATAATGTCATGCCTATCACTAATTTTTGACAGTGTAACGTAGTATGCTTGCTAATATACTCAGTACTGTTCCTTAAGGAGAGAAATGCCTCTAGATAGAACAATCATGGCTTGATAGCAATTATTATAGTGACCATCATAATAATGATAATTGTTGCTAAACACGATATTATTATCAGGTGAAATGCAACCTTTTATTCACAAGAGTGCTTTTCTTAATTCAGATATCCACATACCATCAAGTCAAACACCGTGATGTTTGCTTCATTTTCTATCACTGATGCCACAAATGTTCGATTGGGCATTGAACCGACATTTATCATAACCAGTGCAAACGCAACAGGCTGGTTAGTTGATTTCGCCTGAAAAAAAAATGAATAATAAAAAAAACAATCGATGTAGCATTTAATCTCCTGAAACCAATTGGGCCTTTACTCTACAGCTGCCGAGAATGTTTACGTGTCCTAGTCTTGTCTTCAGGCGTCCTCTCTTTTTTATTTCTGCGCAACATTTTGGGTTGTGATACGGCCAGTATCGCACAGTGATTATATGGATTAAAGTTGAAGGAACTTACCGTCACTATAATAGGATACGACTTTCGAGTAAGATTTCGGTTTACTGTTATTATTCCTGTGGCGTTATTGATTTTAAATGATTCCTCCGGGTCACTGGCTGCAATATGAAACAATGAAACTCAAAGATATGTTTGTCTATAAAAGACTTTTTCAGCTAAAGGCGGGCGACCTGCTCGTTTACATGGGGACGTCTGTCAAACGCAATAAAAACCACTAAGGGTTTAAAAGGAAACTATGTTGTCCAGGAAAAAGTCTTACACTCGTAACAAGACGGCAAAACTGCTCAAAAACTATAGGCTATCTCAATTTCCATAACATTAAGCAGCTGGCGTATCAAGAAATGGTCTACCCTTAAGGCTGCACGTTTCATATAAGGCATCGCACAAAGCTCCTTTAATCATTGGTGCAAGAGCTCGTGACTGATTGTGATGGAAAAAATTATTGGAAACAATCTAGCTACTGTTCCTACTTGGGTGGGATTCTAATCATATCGATCACATGCCCCCCCCCCTCCCCACCCTTCCCCCTCACCCGCCATTTCCCTGACAGATCGGTAGACTATAGCTGAGAGAAAAGGGTAAGTTTCTGAAGAAACTGTGGTGCCGCGTCGGTGGGGGGGTGTTACAAGATATTATGGTTTTATCAACTGAGTTGATAATGTAAATTGGCCAGCGCAAAGAGTTTCACGGCTGACGTTTCGAGCGTTAGCCCTTCGTCAGAGCGAAAGGCGATGGGCTAACGCTCGAACCGTCAACTTTTAGCCAGTTTTATCTGTAATAACTGAGACACTAACCTGGGTATATGACGTATGACACTGAAGCCTTTAAAGAATCCTGGTCTTCAGCGTGTACTCTGATTATTTCACTTCCCTGCGTTTGAACAAAAGAAAAATAACGGTGAGACTAATTAACTATTTAAGGTTGCACGGGTTTGACTTGCGCGTCATGCACTTAGTCAGATACAATACCTCTAGAAAGATTATTCACTTCTTTTGTTTAGGTTTAGTTGCCTTTAGTTCCGTAAGACTAACTGTTGTGATAAGTTTAACTCTGAGAAGCGCCATGAAAAATTTTTAGTTTGTACCTCCTTTTGCCCCATGTAGAAAAGTAAATGTTATTACGGTCAAAAAATAACACTCTAGGGGACAAACTACAACGCGATATAAAAGTTTAGAAGGTTTATCAAGTCATAGTTTATTGTGGGTCGCTAGTATTATGGGGGAGGTTAGAAAATTCGCAGTCGGATAGAACATCAAAACCAATCGCGACTTTGGAGGGTTGTGGTATACTTTCATAAAAAGCGAAGCTTGTACGTGGGGGAAGGGGAGGACTCCACTAGAGTATTCCTGACGTTTGGGTGCTGGGTGCATGTTAGGTTGGTTTATCATAATTACAAAGTATCGAATTTTGTAACCAAAACGGCGGTTCATTTACACCCTTGTAGTAAAGAGCAGGCCTCTTTATAATTCTCACCTGTGGTGTATCGACGTCAATCAGTACTTCATATAAATAATGGGAAAACGCCGCAGGAAGGTCGTCTGCATCGGTCACTCCTATGTTAACCACTGTCCAGTTTTGATTGCCCGTAGATGCACCATATTGATCCTAAAATATGTCAAACAGCTTTTTAGGTAACGCAATGTCACCGTTTCAATATTTCATGAAGCAATGCAGGTATCCATTGTAGCAAGGCACAATGATGATTAACAATTAGATTAAAACTCGAGGTTTCTATCGCGCAAAGGTTGGCAAGGAAGAGGCCCGAATCATTAATCAGACCTTGAATTAGTGTTAAAATAATTGAACTGTTTTCAAATAAATTTACAAGCCGTTCGAAGAAGAAAAAAGGACCTATTTATATCCTTATTTTCCAAGTATTTATGTTTCCACAGCAGACTGTTAGACTACTCAATATACTATCAGCCATCTATCATGGAATAGATGGTGAGCAGCGTAGCTGATCACATGGAAGACTTTGTGATAGAGTACTTGAATAATAAAATAAAATATAAAATATAATCAATCTACTTTCTGCCATCTATCATGGAATAGATGGTGAGCAGCGTAGCTTTAATAAGACTTTATAATAGAATACTTGAATAATCATATCAAATATTATCAATCTACTTTCAGCTATCTGTAATGGAATAGATGGTGAGCAGCCTAGCTAATCACATGGAAGGTTTTTAACAGAGTACTTGAATAATCGTATCAGATATTATCAACCTACTATCAGCTATCTATCATGGAATAGATGGTGAGCAGTGTAGCTGATTACATGGAAGACTTTGTGATAGAGTACTTGAATAATAAAATAAATTCTAATATGATCAATCTACTGTCAGCCACTTATCATGGAATAGATGGTGAGCAGCATGGCTGATCACATGGAAGACTGTGATAGAGTATTTGAAGAATCATATCAAATATTCTATTTTCAGCTATCTATTATAGAATAGATGTTGAGCAGCGTAGCTAATCACATGGAAGACTTTGTGATAGTGTACTTGAATAATAATATCAAATATTATCAATCTACTATCAGCAACCTATAATGGAATAGATGGTGAGCATCATAGCTGATCACCATGAAGACTTTGTGATGGAGTACTCGAATAATCATATCAAATATTATCAATCTACCTATAGCTATCTATAAAGAAATAGATGGTGAGCAGCATAGCTAATCGCATGGAAGACTTTATGATAGAGTAATTGAATAATCATATCAAATATTATCAATCTACTTTCAGCTATCTATCATGGAATAGATGGAGAGCAGCATAGCTAATCTCTTGGAAGATTTATGATAGAGTACTTGAATAATCATATCAAATATTATCGATCTATTTTCACCTATCTATCATGGAATAGATGGTGTGTATCGTAGCTGATTACTATGAAGACATTGTGATGGAGTACTCGAATAATCATATCAAATATTATCAATCTACTTTCAGCTATCTATAAAGGAATAGATGGTGAGCAGCGTAGCTAATCGCATGGAAGACTTTATGATAGAGTAATTGAATAATCATATCAAATATAATCAATCTTCTATCAGCTATCTATCATGGAATAGATGGTGAGCAGCCTAGCCAATCACATGGAGGATATGTGATAAAGTACTTGAATAATCATATCAAATATTATCAATCTACTTTCAGCTATCTATCATGGAATAGATGGTGAGCAGCGTAGCTGATCACTTGGAATACTTTGTGATAGAGTACTTGAATAATCATATCAAATATTATCGATCTGCTATCAGCTATCTATAGTGGAATAGATGGTGAGCAGCCTAGCTAATCACATGAAAGATATTGTGATAGAGTACTTGAATAGTCATATCAAATATTATTAACCCTTTAACCCCTAAGAGAGACCTGCATCTTAAGTCTCCTTATAATATCACCCTTGAATCTCATTTTTAGGTCACGAGAAGAAAGAAAATGATCACCAACCAAAAAAGCTCTTGATTGTTAAACAAAGCAGGTTTTTCTTACCGTTGCCGTCACGTTTAAATCATATTGCCGTGTGGACCCTTCGAAATCAAGAGGTTTGTCCAAGGTTATCCTTCCCGTGCCACCATCAATTCTAAAAATTGCATCCTGAAACCAAAATCAGGGATAAAATGATACACTAATTATTTTAAAATCATTTTCAAAGCCCTTCTTTTGCCGAGAGCAATTATACTTTTGAAATATATTTTCTTGATTAAAATGTTGTAATAATCTTAACTTCTTTTTCCTTAGAACTTTGGGGAAGATTTTCCTTTTACTGGAGACGTATATAGCTAAAACGTCTTAACACTTAACTATGTGAGGACCAACCCATATTAAAACAAAACAGGGAAAAATTATACGAGATCCTCCTCCAAAATGGTTACTGGAATAGATATGAACAAGATATGCTACTAATGTTAACCGTGTTTCCATCCACAATCCTGAAGAAAACGACATTGTTATAACGATCTGAGCTGTCTTTATCAGAAGCTGAGAGACGCAAAATCTCCTCCCCAACTTTCGTGTCCTGAGTAAAAAAAAAATTGTGTAAACAAAAGAAAGAATATCACATCTCCCCTCAGTAACCGCTAAGACACCCTATGGACGTAAAGAGAAATTTGAGCAGGTGGATACTACCTAAGTGTGTGACTGACATTTGGTTTATGGTAGGTTTTGTTGATATTATCGTCATCCTCATCTTCATCTTCATCGTCAGCTTTGTCATAATCATCGTTATCGTTATTGTAACGTTTTTTTTTCTTTGATGGTGGCGTTGTCATATTCGTCATTGTGGTCATTATTATGCTTATTGTCGTCAAAAATTATCATTTCTTTTATTGGCAAAACATCTTCAACAGTCATCTTGCTCGTACCTCAGGTATGTTGAGCCGATAGGGCAGGTTTTCAAACTGAGGATAGTTATCATTAATGTCCTGAACTATGCACAAAATATGAACTTCAGCCTGTCATAAAGATCAAAAGAACACAATAACTATGTTGTCTGCACATCAGCTGTGTAATAGTTTGTTTAAGATAAGTTTTTTTCAGAAGGTTAAATTTGCTTTCTCTTCATTAACTCTTAGTACACTCCCCAACCCAAACTGGTGGTGTATTCTCAGGGACTTATAACACTTCAGCTACCGACAAATTTTCAATTGCAGAAAAACCTTTGAATACGGGACAGATGCTTGGCCAGGCTATTAGAGTTAAAATTACCTTTATAAAATATATTTAATCCATGATGTCGCTTTAAATGTCTGTTTCATTACTTGCGGGCTGCTGTGCCATTTAACTTTAGGTATATGTGTAATTAAATATTTCGATTCCGCTGTTTTTAGTTGTATCATTTGGATGCAAATCTTATAAGGATGACTTGTAGAGGACAAAAAGATAATACAAAGTCGGGACTCCATGTGGGAAAATATATTCAAAATTATTCTCTCTTCTTGGAATTTCTACAACTTTCCCCAAAATCTTTTCTATGTCTTTTTCCATAGTCTAAATCTGAATCACTCATGGTTTCGTATTCATTTAATTATCTCTTACCTCTTGTTCTCCTGTTTTTTGAGCCACAGCTTTTAAATTCAGAGCACTTCCCGTTCCCTATGGAAACATCAACAATAATATAAAACACATAAGGAGACGAAATAGATAATTAACGTACCTGTACACAACGGAGAGAAAAAAGTCATGAAATAATTATCAATATGATATAACAAAAGATTTCAAACTGTAGTTTATAATCTCTTGGGAATAATAAATTTCTGTAATGAAATGGAAAGATGAAAACGAAAAAAGGAAAAAACGTTGTGAGGCTTGCGATACTAAAGAGTCATAACGTGGTATACTCTCCTAACTTAACTATTAGCCCATGGTAATTAACATGTTTTAAGTCTTCAGCTGGAGTTTATCAAACCCTCACTGCTGTCGATGAAATAGAATGATGTAGTCGCTAACGCCCGCAATTCATGCTCGGTGGTACAACCATGATGCAACACGGTACGAAGTAAATGGATTCTACGCAGCATTAAACGATGCTGTGATAAGTCCTTGCAGTCTCAGAAGGCTCCAGGCTGTGAGAACCGTCATCAATTTTATCATCATTTACTAAACCTAGGCCTGCTGGTATCCCAAACAGGTCCTAAAACCGCCAAGGGACCTTGTGTACTACACCTACCTCTCTGTCTAGAGTCCTTGCAGTAGTAATTACACCGCTCGAGTTGTCTATTTGAAACCACCCTATGTCATCTCTTAGGGAATAAATGATTGGATCGGGATTCTGCACCACAGCAATAGCTTGCACTCTTGTGACGAAAGTGCCTACAAACAACATTAGTCGAAATCACAAAATAGTCTGATAAGTTTATTGCTAAATGTTATCATAGACCCCGGGTCGATTCGATGGCTAAGAGACACACTACACTATGACACAGAGTTCGCTTGTCCAGTCTAGCTCCCGTTGGGTCATCATGGTGTATTTCTCTACGTAAGCACGGCCGCTAAGGACATAGCGAGTTCATCAGACACAGTTTTCAAAATTATCGCTGCAATCGCCATTAAGACAGGAGAAAAATAAGGCAATCATATTACTGGCACAGTGTCCAATAACCACCACTCCTAAGTCCCTTTTCATCAGAAGCGCAACTGTCTTACTGAACCACCCGATCACAAAAAAAAACGCAATTCTAACAAACCTGTGCTACACATTTGAAAACATTACATAATGGAGTAGACCACATAGGTAAAATACCGTAGTTTGGTCGGACATTCTTTAAAAGTCGCCAATAAATCCGTGATTGCCCGAGTTTGTTTTTATAACGTGCGCATGCTACGCACTATACTCATCATCAATAACAAACAAAAGTACAACCAAACGCAAAGTTAGGTAGATGTCACAAGGAGCCAATAAGAAGCCAGTGTATAAACAATCATGCAATAATCTTTATACAATGGCTCTTTATTGGTTCCTTGTAATATCCATACCTTTATTCTGATTGGTTGTTGTAATTACTTTGGTTTTGACTTTTAGGGCACTCCATGAACAAAGTGTCATAGGAAGAATATTATTACCTTGAGGGCTGGTTTCATTTAATGTGGATTGATAAAATTGTGCTTGAAAGTAAACACCTGAAAATAAATAGAAAAGCAATCTCAGCGTCATTCACCCAAAAGAAAAATATTATCTCTTGACTTTCAGGCAGTTTCAGAGAACCTTTTGTACATGTTTAATCAGATACTATTTTGCCAGTTTCAGTGACTTAAATAACTTCAATATAGAACTACTGTAGGGAGAGTTAAAGAACGATTTCCTTCCGAAAAGAAATAAATAATAATATTGTTCAGGGGCAATTGACCTAGCTGGAATTTAGAAAAATAATCATTTCATCAAAAGTGAGTTTCTCCTTGTTTTCAACTCCTCCATCTGATTTCAAGTACCTCAAAGCAGAATTATCATGAGCACAAGCTAAGTAGAGATTGTTCTAAAATCTAAAGCAAGGGGTGAAATTAACGAAACCTTTTGGTGCGACCTGCAAACTCGAAACGGAAAAGAATGGAATTGTTGAGATTGAATTCGATCAACGATCGATGGGTTCTGTCAATTTCTTGGTTTTATATAGTGCAGTTTCCTGAAAACGTAAATAGAAAGATATTTTCATCCTATATTTATATTATTTTTATGCGCAGTCAATGTGATGCTTCCTGCATGAAGTGAACTTTTATACCCAGTCAGAACGATACTACCCGCATAAAGTGAAACCGACTTCCATTACACTCAAAGCAACGCAAAGACAGCGCCAGTAGTGTGACAATTTTTTTGAAAGTTGAAATAGGAGTGAATAAAGCAACATGTCTTCAAACAATTTATGAGCTTTATTTTTAAGGAGGATAGTTCACAATCTGTTTCAACCTTCCCCTGTCCTTAATCAATCTTTTCAATTTTGGTTTTGTCACCTCATCAAAAAGCTGTTAGTTAGTCATCCTCGAACGAATCCAACCTTGCAAAAGAAGCGACAAATTGCATGAAAAACATAATGCACACCATAAACATGAGATCAGCCATATGAAGCATTCATCTTTGCTGACACGATTTGCAGGACGGCAGTGAGACTGCCGCTCATACGTCAGTCTTTGTTTGACTAACATTCTTTTACGTCATGACACTTAACAGTGTTCTACGGTCCGTGTAAAAATTGAATTATTAGCTTTTCAATTGCTCCAAAATCTCAAGCTAAAATAAAACAGATCAGATCCAATTTTAGGAAGCTATTTTAAAAGGTTTAGGATCAAGTTTGACGCAAACACGAACAGCAGAAGTCACTTCAAAATCTGTTTTTGCTAACTTTTTGTCCATTTGAACAGATAAAATAATAAACATAAAATGCAAATATTTTCATATTACTGACAGGAAACTGAAAGGTAAAACCAAAAGAAATAATTCTTACGGCTTGCCTTTCGGTTAAAAGTGCTTTTAAATATGATCTCCCAACTATTTAAGAGTTCATGGCCATCGATATTAACTTCTTAGGCTTCCGCTCTGCCGCCGCAGTGATGACAAAATTATTTCGTATCACCATGGAACTGTCTACAACACGTTAATGATTTTCAAGCCGCTGGCAATGCTGGCAGCAGGAAATGAATCACATCTGTATTAAAATATTGCTTGTACATTGAACATCTACGCTTGTATTCCTTTCAAGTTTATGTGCTGCAGTGAATACAATAGCCATAAAAGACTGCGCAATAAATAGCTCATCTTGCATTTGGTATGCGCTTGATCTTTCTCAAGTGTATACAAAATATACAGATGTAAAATACGCCAATTAATCTGGATATTCCATAGAAAAATCTTAAGTACTGAATAGATGTATGGTTTGCCAGTATTGAAATGAGATAAGACTAATAAAAGGATCTCTTGAAGGAAGAAGTTTGCGATATCTTAACATTCGGCGCGTAAAGCTGGACCACATACATGCAGTGATTATTTCAATCGTTTAATTTGCGGTACGTACCTTCGATTTCTCCCGGCGTAAAGGACACTAAGGAAAATAGCAGAAGACTTAACATCGCTCTTGGACTTGGTGTGACATCGATGATGTCTGACAAACAACAAATTAAATTATCGTGGGCTTTCGTCAACAACTAAATCGTCTTTGCTTAGATCGACGTTAACACGAGTGCTTTTCTCGACATGAGACATGCATACTCTGCCAAGGTTTGTTATTTTACAGCGATTGTCTCATTTGTTATTTGCAGTCTGGCTTCATTACGGTGAAGGTACGCAATGGGGTGAAACTTGATCTCCTTCCTCGAAGCTTCAAAAACTCTCAAGTATGTGTGACTTGTAATGCAGAGAATCAGCTATTTTTCATTTCCTGTCTTCTCACACAAGTAATTATGCAAGTATAGCAGTTCTGCATGAACGAGCTTGGTTGTATGTAAATTCTTCAAAAAAGCTCCTAGGGGTAACATTAGTGGGATTATTAAATTCTTTCTTGGATTTTCAATTCAACGCTTTTAAGAACCGCAAGGCTGTTAGAACGAGTTAGCATGAGCTCCGTTATTCAAGATAATTAACAATGATATAATTGTTGAAAGAAGTTTGACAATGAACATACACAAATAAAACTTTAAGCTTTTGGATTCTCTGCAACCAGCCTTTTTTGTTATTCCCTTTCTACCAACGCATTTTTTTTTCTTTTTTTTTTTTCTTTTATTGTGTTAATTTTGTGATACAGAGTTATTACACAGAGGTCTGCGGTAAAACTCCGCTTACTAAAATTGCCAAGGAGACTGGAAAACAATTCATGTACCGGAAGAGTTTCAGTTGGCGAACAGTAGAGAAGTTAAAAATGTACTTCGAGTTCTCGCTGTAATTACTAAGCTGCAGATAAGTCTCAAGCGGTTAATTATTTGACACCAGCTCATGTCTTCTCTAGGGAAGAAACTAGGAAGAGAGGGAGAGAAAATAACTTTAGTCAGTAGTCGTGCCCTAGAAGCTTCTCTTTGTTTGTTTTTTTTATTGTTATTATTATTGTTTTTCGGGGATAGTACTGCTTGAATGAACGAGTGAAAAAATTTGGTTATATCAAAGTTTGGTTGTTAGTTAGATATGTTTGTTTTTCATTTGGCGATCCAGCCGTTACATTCCATACACTAAGAGTTAACTTGGATTTAGCCGCTGAATAATGGACCTAACAATTGGTATTAGACCTTGAGAGTAGATAGGTAAACCTGAAAAGTGGCGGTTGTCAGCGACATTTACTGACGTCGATTTCAGCGACCTGATCTTCAGACAAACTTTATTCAAACACCAATTATAACTTTTGGAGCCTCTCCAGGACATTTCTCATCCGCTTGATTAAACCGTGTCATGAAATAATAAATTATTTAAATATTGCTCTTTCTTTCATTACGTTAGCGTTAGAAGCCACGGAAGCGCAAGGTGGCAAAGTCATTGGTGACCAATTCCTTAGCCCATTCTACTTAGTATTATTGTGTTCTGTTGAATTTACGTCGTCAAGACCATACCTCATCAAGATATAGTGAAGATGGTCTGTCTTCCACTGACAGTAGCGAAGAAAGTTTTCGAATGAGACAACGAAGCTAAACTTAGAAGTCAACCTTTGTGTTGAATCATCACAGCTATCATTTGAGAATCGTTTGAAGGACTTCGAAAAACTTCCTTGCATGGAGGAAAACCCTAACACAAACCATTTCCAGAGTAAAAAGACAATAACGAGACAAGAATAAAAACAAGGAACAAGCTTCAGGGCTGAAAAGATTATCTAAGACTGCAAATGAAGAGTTAAAAACATTAGGTTGAATTTTACAAGAGATGGGAACTTTATCGAGGCTCTTCCGCTATTAACTGTAGAAGTCAGCTGTAGTTGTCGACAGAATTCGGCTGTTTCAAAAATTTGACTGGAGGTTGAAACTTTATCTGTAATCTAAACGTTTGAACGTGTCCTTTAGTAGCATGTCGTAATGATGTGGGATATTGATCAAATGAAGCCTTTAAGTGCTACTGTTGTTCTACCACAGTAGCACTTAAAGGCTTCATTTGATCAATATCTCTTTATCTGTAATCAATTAAAAGATGTACGACAAAATTTTGTATGAAATGATATGTATGTATACAGTTCCTCGGCGGAACTAGACCAAAACAGCTCTAATCAAAAGTACTGACGACTTGTAATAATTGTAGCCCAAGAACAGGTTCACTTCTCCAAGCTTTTCTCGTTCAGTCTGGAAAAATATCATTAGCTAACACACGAGAGGTTGAAAAAAATATCGACAAGTATTAAGGGAAAGTTATTCTCTGCTCCCTAGGGCCGTTAACAATAGGACAATAAGTGTTTTCTCGCAGACTTTAGGGTCAAGCGTTAAGGTCGTGGGAAGATGACGCCGATGTTTACAATGCGTGACCAAATTAATTGGAAAAAAATTCAAAAAATAAGCCAGCGGCAACTTAGCTTGCCAGAGCACCACGAAGGACAACATGGGATATCGTTTGAGCATGCGTAACCATACAACACGGAAACTTGCAATTAGTTCCGATGGCGTTCGTTCACACCTCGATACGGACGAGTCACCGTTAGGAAAGTATTTTGTTTCCAGACACCTTCTCTAATGTTTATAATCGTTTTAAATTATACGGTACGTGAGACATTCATTATTGATTTTTTTAAGATTATGAAACATACTTGTGCTTGGTTGGCAAAATCTAATTAGTGTTCCCATGAATCATACATTTGAAGTTCAAATACTGACGAAAGGAAACGTCATCATTTGTGACTGACGTTCAGGCCTCCCAAAAACTCTAACTCTTGACTTTTACTGGATTGAAGAAGATCGCATATGGAGAGATGTCGACACGAGCGTGGAGGAGGAGAAAGTCTGAATCACAAAGTGGATTGAATACTCTTCCACTGAGCTAAAATGACCTCGCCAGTCATTCAGACCACCAGCAATACGGGATGCGTTAGCGATCCACCCATTTCGTAAGAGAACGTTCAGCCTAAAGGCAGACGCCTACATTTTAATGAAAAAAAGAGAAGCCGGACCAGTGTACTAGCGAGAAGATTCCGTTCGTTCGTTGTTTATTGACATGTGATAGAGAGAAAACAAAAAACATCTAGCTTTACCGAAGTACTGCACAAATTACCTTTTTCCGCTTACTCCATAAATAAAAAGGCAACAGCGAAAAAAATTGCAAAAGCGTAACACTTTGACTGACTATCGAACAAACCGTCTGTAAAAATACCCAGGTAACAGTTAGATGCAACCATGGTTCTTCTCAAACTTTTTGATCGTGTAGCAATGCCTTTTAGCTTAGGAAAACCTTTATCGACAGTCTGCACCATTCCATTCTCTTCCATAGTAACCATGGAAATGTTATGTGGAACTCCTAGATTCATGAAGAGTTGATTGCCTTTTATAGAAGTCGCTTTTTTCTCATGAAAGATGCTTGTCCTGTAATCCTCTTCAATAACGTGTACTTGTCTGTCTTCTTCGAACAATTGCACTCTCGACTTTTCATACGTGGAAAGGTCATTAAACTGCCTCAGTACTTACAGATTAATACACACGACATAAGTGACATTTTAAAAAGGTTCCCAGTCACCACCAGCCGACAAGAAGGACAAGAGATCTATGAAGTTTTATTATATTACTCTTCTTATACACAACTAGGCCATAGTAGTTTGTTATCCCAGTTGCTAATTACATGATAACTGCCAGAAAAAGAAGTCTTATTTTTAGAAGAAGATACAAGATCTCCTGGAGATTACTTCTGCAATAACGATAAAACTTTAATTATCGTGAAAATAGTTATTGAAATACAACACGCTGTGATTTGCGTGTCTTAAGTGAAATTACATTGCAATTGCTTTTGAAAAAGAAAACTCTTTTTTTTTCTATTTTTGACCCAAAATATAAAACTGCCGATTAAATTGATAGTCGGTGAGTCTGGATGATATTTAATTTTAAAAAAATCAAGGAAACATGTCATAGTTGTCCATCCCTTATCAGTAGATCTGCAGAATTCCTTTTTCTTATGTGTGCGGGTGTGGGTGTGTGTGTAATGCTTCAGTCTTTACAGTGTACCTTATCTTTAGGGCATGATTTTCACACCTGTCACAAGCGCAGTTTTGATCCATGTTCATGTTTTTCAGTTTAGATGAAAAAACGCTTTTTGTAATAATTACCCCGTCGGGTTTTTTAACATCATGACACTCGACAATTTTCAAACTCCAAAACACAGGTTCTTCAGCATGAAATAACGATAACAAAAATTTCGATCGAACAACATCACAGCAACTTTTAATATATCATTACACTACACCTGAAATTTAGAATAAATAACTGATCGGGTTTTCGTTACATCACATCAAGAAGAGAGGCCACGTTTTCTCTCTAAAATACTGTTTACTAGCGTTGCTGTTAATCTTCGCCAGGTTTTCGAGCCATTTCGCTTAACATAGGTCTAAATGCATCGTGGAGTTAAGCCGAGGAAAGTGAAAGGGGAATTCAGCTCCCTTCACTGAAGGCAAGAGAGCGTGGTAAGTCGACGTACTGCACACACACACACACGAGCACAATGCGGACCTATTTGATACCAAAAAAACTCTGAATCAGTGCAAACCAGCAGACGTAGAGTCTTTCGCCTTGAGGGTGGACTGAACACATTAAGACAAAGCTGGCTGATAAGAGGTTTATAACATCGATCGTGATGTGACGATAAGAAGCAAAGGTTTTAACAATTTAAATGAAAAGAGTCCCTGCAGAGAGCGTGCGTATTAAATAATGAATTGTAAAATCAATTACTGACCGCAATTTTTTAGGTGAAAAAAACCAATTTCGTTCCGTCTCAAAAGATTTTTCTCCAACTTTCAGAAACAATTTGGTCTAACACGTCTTGAATTAAAGATCCAATTTGTGGCGTCCTCTCGTACTCGGCTCCAAATTGTCCATTCATTATTCCGATATGTAAACAGCCATCCTGCATATGTCTTTTCTTGACAAAACTGAGTTGCTCTTTTTATAATATGCATTAGCAAGACAGCTATGAATTACACTAAAATCCCATCTGAAATGCTTCTTAGCGGCCTGTCAAAAGGCCGATAATTTTTTACACGGAAGGAATCGATCATCAAGCTGTGGGAGTTTTTTCGCCCATCTTGTTTATATTTGGAAACGCTTTTTGGCAGCATTTTCAATATGTTAAGCAATAATATTTTGCTTTAATATGCTAAAATCTGGAGTAAATACTTGCTTTGTGTTTCCTTTTCTTGAAAATTTCAAAAATGAAACTGAGAAATAAAATAAAACTCGATGAAAACGGAAGTGGTATGCTTGATCCGGTTCAAAGAGCAACCCTTGAATTTTGGCTTTTTCCTGACATTAATTTATTCGCGGAATGAAGAAAAAATCACTTAAACCTAATTGAAGCGAGCTTCTAAAAACACAGCAGATACGCAGTCGATTCGAGAGGTCGTAAACACTTCTTGAAAAGCGAAGATTGAAAGAGAGTTAAAGTAGAGTACCTTGTTGTAAATGTTGGTTTAAAAAAGGTTGAATTAATAACTGACAGCACCCGTTGTTGACTTTTGGAAATGTTCATAAAAGATTGATGTAGATTCATAACACAAAGTATGTAAATTTACAGAGCCGTTTAAAAAGGCGAGATTAACTTAGGGATGTGTTCCTAAATTTGAATTCTTATACTTGCTCGAGCTGGAATCCTCTTTTGTTGGCTAGATCAGAAGTGTGGCCGGTACCAACTCTAACCGAGGCATTCTGTAACCCAAAGCTTGACTAATATCCACTTATTTTTCTTGGCCGTTTCTGTTGTGCACCCAAGAACTTCTCCTCGTTACTATTTACTCTGGAAAGTATTAAGTGTTATGTATTATGAAGAGGCAGCAGAGGTAACAGAACATTGTTTAGGGGTTCGCCAATTGCTGTTCAGTGTCGACCTGCTATCCATCTACTCGTTTATCGGGGTTTCCTTCTGCTAATTCATCGTTTGTTTTAGCTTGCAGTTTCTCGGAGGAATTCTTGGAGCTTTTCTTAAGGCTAGAACTCGAACTTCTTCTTCTTTCGATGAGAAGGGAACCTCTTTGTCGTTCTTTGGTGCTGCGCCTGCCAAAGGAAGACGAACTCCGTCGAAATGTTGTCAGGCTGAGCCCTTCCGTGGTATCAGTACAACATCCGTCCGTGTTGCAACGCAAGAGTTGCTTAAAATCGCGACGAAAATCCGAGTTCGTGACAGAGTAGATAATGGGGTTAGCAGAAGCGTTGGTAACCAGTAAAAGAACGAAGAAACGGAAGGCAATCGCAGTGTGTATAGAGCCTCTTATTCTGATAAATGATCCGATCAAGTGCAGAAAATTGAAGGGTGCCATGCAAACTGCGAATACGACGACGACAGGAGCCAGAAGACGCAAAGCACGACGGTTTTGCGTAATCCTAGAGGCAGTCTCTTTACGAGACACAGTTTCATGGGCTTTAAAGCTTGAGCGACGGTAGCTGTCATGTTTGCGAATGCTATCTTTTAGTTTAGTTCGGATACGAATGTACGTTAGCGAGATAATACTCAAAGGTGCGAAGTAAAAAAAAATTGTGATTGTTGTATAGTACATCTGTTGAGCTAACTTGGTGGGCCATAATGGCTCACACACCCGTATTCCTGTGAACGGCATTTTTCTCAGCTCCATGACGAAAAATAACGGCATTACAACGATGAAGAATGAGAGAAGCCAGATAAAGAACAGTACTCGCTTAGCTGTTTGCACACTCATTTGCGGTTTCATGCAGTGAACCAGCATTCTGTAGCGATGGAGTGCAATGGCCGTAATGCATCCGATTCCAACGCCATAGAAAATATCTGTGAACGGCTGGAATGTTTTGCAAAGGAACTCTCCAAAAGGCCAAGAGATACTGAATTCCTTGCTGATCCACATAGGGAAGCTTATAAAAAGAACACTCAAATCAGCGATGGCCAAATTTAAAATGAAACGATTGCCAACGATCTTCAAGTTCCTCTTTCGCGATGCAACGATGCACACGAGAACATTTCCGACAGTTCCCACAAGAAAGACAACAATCTGTAACGCAAGTATGATCATTCTGACTTTGTCGAATATTGGCCACCGTGCAAAACTATTCGATTCTGAAGAATTTGTAGAGTTTCCGAACGAGGCTGAATTTGTTGCATTTGAGTCCAAAACCATGGCGCCGTTCGATTTGCAATGAAATATTCAAACAGCTTCCAGGCAGATGCAGCCTCAGTTGTTCCAGATATCTATGTGTTGTCACTGTTGGGTTTGCTAGTCGTTTATGTGGGGTTAACTTGTTTAGATGCGAAGTTTATATAGCCACGGATATCACGGAATCTTCCGTGGTTTGATTGTCAGTTTTATCCCTTTCTTATTTGCTAAATTTTGAATTAATCTCTGTCACATGGAGAAATCACCTCCGCTCAGATGTTTCATGAGATACGATGAATTAGATCGCTTAAAATTCAGGAAATATCATTTACCTTCACTGAGCTTGTATCCTGTTAAGTTAAAGATTTTTAGGAAATCTGAAGCGAATTAAAAAAATTTAAAAATCTATTTCAATCTAACCTTTCGAAGCGATCTGCCAATGTGGCACTCAGGTTACTAAAGTTAAAAAAAGGGAACTGATATATATTTGGAATTCGCTCTCGTCCGACGCCCCCGGCTGATTTATTTTATTCTATTGGCCTAAAACGCCGCGTTGTGAAAATCTGTCAAATAACTGTTATTTTAGGCGCCGTAATGACCAGAACAGGTGAAAACAGAAAAATATTCCTTCGATTTGTGGCCGGTCAAATGTACTTGCACAGCACGCACATGAAAAACGTTTCCAATTGAGAAAATAAACGTCTATTCGCTTGTTCTTATGGGCCTCCTAGAACAAATAAATTATTATTTACGAATTCAGCTTAAGTTTGAGTTTCCGGAAACGACAAAAATGCACCTTGTGTTCTTTCTCTCCAGCTTTGATCCTCTTTGTTTCATGCTAAAGTGATTTGTATGTAAAAATATCTCGGGCAATTTTTTATCAAATACATGCATACATGCAAAACTTTTACAAACACATTTTTTTAAATTCAATTTCCAGATTATCAGTGTTACATTAGCTGACTTGCAAACAGCCATAGCTAGTCTAACTCGCCTGTTTTTCCCAAAACGGAAGTAACTGGGAACATTACAGGAGAAATAATATCCACCAGAACTTTCTATGTTTTCCCAAACGCCTTTTCTTGTTATCTGGGGTGGATCTGAAAGTTTTATTGTTCGTGAATTTCTGATCCTGAGAGGTCTCAATTCCCGACTTTAGTTTTGGTGTTGAAAGCAGTTAATTGATAATAACGTATTTCAGCGTTGAATCCAATACAAACAAAGGGTTTAAGCGACCCTTTCACAATGAAAGGTCACTGGAGTTTGGCGTCTCTGAATAAATTCAAACACTTTATTCACGCACCGCATTGTTGTTGTTCGCCGGTTCACTTATTTCCCCGTAATCGTCGGCAAGAACGTCGCCTGAACTGAGCACTTGCAAATTATCTTGTACGAATGACGTGTGTCTCGATGTGTCCGTTTCAATTCACCCTCGACCCTTGCGAGTAATGATTTACCTGAGGTCTCCCCTTAAAAAAATATCAGCACATGTAACTATACGTACAACAAAGATGGGATCAGAATATTGTCACTCATCAGCTAAAGAGATATTACCTCTATGCAACAAATTTCTCTCACTAACTGATGAAGAAATGTGTCGCAGTGAGTCGAACTGCATCTTCAAGCGGTTCAAAACTGATCCTGAAGCGGATGAAACTAATGTCAAACACAACTAGCAGCAACTCTGGGCCGTTTATTTCACATGGATATGAATTACAGTTTCCTTTGAATAGCAAAGTGTGGTAAAATTGCGAAATGTCTTGGAGTTTGCAGGAAAGGGAACAATGGAAAGAGCCATTTCAGTTAAATTGAGGAAAAAGGAAATGAAATCTGCGCAATAAAAATCGCGAAAATAAGATGCTTACTTTGGACGCGCAGTTGGATACGTTAGCCGGTACACAATGACGTAAACCCTAAATCAAAGCCTATTAGTTCATGAGCACTAACTTAAGGCGCAGTTTTAGGCGGCGAAAAATGGATCTCAAAATTTTTTGAAAACTGGATTACGAGATATGCATTATTTTTTTAATCATTGTTAGCTGTAAACCATCTTGATACTGTTCGCAAATATCAACTTTCACGGATATAACGTTTTGGTAGATTGAAGATGGTCTTGTACGCGATTTTAATAGCAACACTGGGCTTGGTTTGATTAACCGGCTCGAAAAAAGAAAATTCGAAACTAACGAGCTCTGCTCCTTTCAGCAAGCCTTTTTTTTTAATCAAAACATATAATTTAAGAATACGTAAAGGAGAAAACAGCTAAATAATATATGCAAAAGAAATAGGGGATTTTCACCAACGTAAAGTTCGTTCTCTCTTTTGGCTCCATCGTGTAATTTTGATCTATTCCTGTCAACAAAGCCAATTAATGACGAGAGTAAAAAATGGAAAGATAAAATGTGACTACATGTATTTTTAAAATATACCTAAACTATGTGAGAGCCCACATAACTCGCACATAAACCGAACACAGTGAGTTTCTTCCTAAAGATTTTGACATGGGAATTATAATTCGCTTGTGGCATGCGATAAAAATAGTTCTTTATAAGGACAAATAATGACGGTAAGTAAATATAGTAACAGGACGCGAGTAATTATTGCTCTTAAAATAGCTTTTATCGAGCCATCTCTTCTAATGCCGCTTTCTTACAACTTCCACAACAAGAGGAACATGGAGTTTTCAGTAATGATGAAAACCGAACACAAGGTGCCATTTTTGCTTTATTCCTTATCAACAAAGCCAAATAACGACGAGCATAAAAAATGGAAAGATAAAATGTGAATATACGTATTAAGTTTTAAAATGTGAGGATACCTAAACAGTGTGAGGGCCCACATAACTCGCACATAAATCGAACGCAGTGAGTTCCTTCCCAGAGACTTTGACATAAGAACTAGAATTCGCCATTGGCATGCGATAAAAATAGTTCGCTATAAGGAATAATTATGTCGGTAGGTACAGTAACAGGACAGAAGTAAATATTGCTCTTAAAATAGGTTTTATCGTGCCATTTTAAAAATCCATGGGTAAAGTAAAATTCGTTTTTTTATCGTAATTTGGGGATAGCAAAGCAGGACATAGGCTATCATAATGCTCAGTTCCTTTAGACTGTTAGATTGACAAGCTTAAAAATACTGATCAGCAAGTTTGGAAGGAATTCGTTATTCTCCAACCGATAGACGAAATATCTTAATTCCCACTTGGTTAACTTGGTCTTATTTAACATAAAAAATAATTTTCCATTCCTTTATTCTGTGCATTCACTTTATTTTGGAAAATAATTATTTGAAAGGTGTGATGGGTAGAATGGGTCAGCATCGTGTTATTTGTTTTTTTCTTTTTCAACACCGAACGCAACTCACACTTTTTCTACAATATCAAAATTTTTTGTTTTCCTCAAAAGCACCAAGGCTTAACAAAGGGTATTACAATATTACAAAATTTAATTCATACCAACAGACACCCAAACAACACACAAATTGTAGTAATAGCGCGTTTAACTTACAAATTTAGGGATACATCATTTAGAACAATGAAACAATGGCTACCGAAAAGCGGTTAGTATTAACTATAAACGTTTGTACCTTGCGGAAAAAAGCACAGTTGATTTCGTAATTTACAGACTCAATACCTTACAATACAAATTCAGTTTCCTTACAACGCTGATCGATGACCAAATTTCATCTAGAATATTACCAGCAGAGTGAAGGAGGACGTTGCGTTGAGCGGCATACCTTCTTTAAATACAAGAAAAAGTGTTTCACTGATTCGGAGTCAAGACCGCACTCATAAAGAGGCGATGCACAACTGTTAATTAATTTCAAAGAGACATTCTCTGAGACAAGGAAACCTAAGTCTAAGGCGGGTGTGATCAACAGATGCACGCCTTGTAAAAGAGCGGTCATATAAATAATTGTAAGTATGCGGAAAGAGAATTGACCGAATTTTCGCTCTAAAACTGGGAAGAGATACAGAGTTTTAGACATCTAAGTCCAGAGAATTCCAGCTAGTGATTGCGGATGGAAAAAAGGACTTTTTAAATCTAGGGGTTCTCAAAGGAAATTGCGTTAAGTTTACTCTTGATCTGAGACTAAAATGTGTACGTTCACTTTAGATAGTTTGAGAAACAGTTCAGTTGAATGACGCGGAGCAAGATCCTTGGCAATATCCTGTAAAATTAGCTTAAGTCAACATTTAACTTCGCAGAGCTGATTTCCCTAATGGCTCCTGTTACTACCCTTGCGGCTTCATATTGAACATTATTCAGAAAAGCTGAATCACAATTACGACAGTTGTTCCAGATAACATCTTCGTATTCCATGAGTTGTCTAATCAGGCTTTTGTACAAACATCTTAACGTGGATCTATCAACTTTTTATTGGACATATTTCAGTAAATTTAACCATTTAGAAGCTTTCTTGTACATCTTAACTATATGATATCTCCACGACAGAATTACTCTGCAAAGTTAAGCCTAAGTGAATGTGAGAACCAACGTCTTTGACGAACCTGGTGTCAAGAAATAGAGGGGTGATCTTGTTTCATAGTTACCAACCATTTTTCAGCCAAGTTGGAGATCTTCTTAAATCAGAACTACAAACAGTGTAGTATCATGGGCATAAATCAAAGGAGGAGAGGTGAGAACATCAGAAGTATCGTTGACTCTTGAGGGACTCCAGAGTTGACTGTTTGCTAAAAAGAGGATTATCCTTCTATAACTACCAGCTCGTTCGGTTAAGCAAATAACTTTCAAACCATTGAAGGGCGGTTGTATTCCTAAAGCCTCTAACTTACGCAACAAACCAACATGCTACACGGCCTTATCAAATGCTTGGCCTACATTCAGGAAAACAGCACGAACCTCTCTATCACTCTCTAAGGCTTCATACCTTGTGTAAAAAGAAAATCAGCTGGTTAATTGCTGAATCACCAGGCCTAATTGACATTCGCACTTTCCTATCCATCCATAGTTTATCCTGAGCACGTGTTGTTACTGTTTTCAGTGGATTGTACTTCTCAATAATCAAACGAATATTGCCATTTATCCCCCTGAATATATTTCATCTATGTCTCTAGTATTCACACTATAAATCCTGTCAAATTCCAATAGTTCTCTGTTCATATTTGTAGTGTTGACGTTATTAAAATTCTTCACCTGCCTTTTGTAAGATCGACTTCTGTAAGCGGAAATATTCATATTTGCGAAGATAACAGAATGGTCACAATTGAAAGGGAAACTTAAAGTCCCAGAAGAACTAAAACGCCCGAGGCAATTTGTGATGATTAAATCCAGTATCGTCGAACTGTAACAGGGGACAAGAGTTGGCTCCGCTATTAGCTGAACGAAGCTGTTACTCTCTACGAAAGTGAACAATTAATGTTAGGAGGTCACTGAGTTCACTGGTATGTCACCTGGTGTGTTTGATCAAATACGGAGAGGACATCGATGCATTAAAATTAACGAACAAGTCAAGAAGGGCCGTTATCTACTGCCTGGAGGAAGGGGGGAGGGGTCAGTGGATTTTGGTTGGGTATCGATAAAAGTGACAGTTAAGTGACATTCAATTTTCTATAGTCTTCGCCCCTTCCCCAGCGCGTGCGCTATGTATTCTGTTGGCCACGACTGATCCCCCGTCCGTTCCCCATGAAAACCATATGATCTCTCCCAAAATCCTCAGATCCCCCTCCCGTCCCCCCTCCGTCCCTAACCGATAGACAATCACTGGTCCCTCGCTCGTCATTCATGGTTCACCGCGCGCGACTCCGCTTTTTGTACTTTGGGTGATGACCAGAGGAACGCAGGCTCAAGTTGAGACACAGCATGGCTATCCTTCGATCTGACCCGGTTTGGATAATATCGAGTATTTATTACCGGTATCGGCTCATCTTTAATAATCAAATGGATACTTTTGCTTCAGTTGTTGGTTTCAAACTCAAAGCATCAAAATAAGCACTCTCTCGGATTTCTGAATAAAAAAAATTAAACACAATTATAAATGTGAACGATATCAAAGCGTCTTTTCTCTAGTAACTTAAGTTGTATTAACTTGGATTTTTTACATTTTACCCCATTTCTCTCAATGAGGATTATTTTGCCAGGAGATAATTTCTTGAGTCTGTCGGGCGCCAATCTTAACACCGGAAACAGTCCATTAACATGATTAAGGCTCCTATGTCGGTTGTTGTGGGAAAGGACAGAACGTGACAACCTCACCTAATAGAAAGAGAGCTCGAAATGCATCACGTGTAGTCACATTATATGAAATATGTGAGCCGACAACGTTTTCTTTCGCAGGCTACTGGGATGCAAAATAGTAACAAAGCACTGTTTTATAGATATGGGTTGCCTTGACCCTGTGAGAGTAATTTCATTTAAATTTCATTTCCGTAAGTCACTCATTGTTTATTTCTCATATATCATTAAGACATTGTTTTCCGGTTCCGTGACAGAAAAGTTGGGTGGGCCACACGACGATAAACATTTGGTGGGTAAAATTACCAGTAAAGGGAAGAAGATAGCCATCCCTGAGAAAGAATTATACTCCTCATACGCATCGCTTGGCATAGTTGTTAAGCTGTAAATAGTTTGAACAAAGGAGTAAAAAATGATCGTGACAGTACGATCAAAAGCCATGATATTAAGCTTTCTCTGGATGACTTTGAGCTAAAATCGAGGAGCACTAGTGACGAGTTTTCAGAATACCTATACCGCATCTAATGCCGCATTCACACCAAAGCTTAAACATGTTTAAAAGTTGTTTTGTTAAACACAGTTTAATTTTTTTTTTCTTTTTAGAAACTATTTAACCGAATATTTTTGACTTGAATGTAGCACATTGGAAATGCAAGTTAGCAAGTACTTGAATCCAATGGAAAATCAAGTTTTTCAGTGCTCTGTTTATAATTTTCATTCAATGAAAACCAGTTTAACAAAACATGTTTTGCTGGTGTGAATGGGGTATAAGTTACAAATTTTGTTTTTCTCTAAAGTCGCCGGTGGGCCAGACCGTATGATAATCACCTACCAATACGTTCATAACATTTGAGCAATTTGTCCAAAGTCTCCTGCAAAGCTGACTAGCAGATGTTTGATGAAGTTTGTGAAGTACGCGCTGAGAGCTGTAGAAATGATCTTGTTCTTGAGAATATTAGGCATAGCTGTCGCAGTTTGCGATATTTTTAGTATTGGCCATAAGACTTATTGTCTCTCTGTTTATAACTTTAGCCCGTCCCAATAAGTGATATCCGAAATACCGCTTCTTCCGACATTCGATCCGGGACACTTCAAAAGTGTATCACAAGTGCAAATATTGCGAAATGGTAAGGATTGAGAAAAATCAGGCGTTGGTAGAACAGCTCAATGGGACAAATTTTGCCTTTACCTATGGAATCTATGCGTTCTGTGAAAAAACTAACTTGTGGACATGTGGCTAAAAAGATAACAAATCTCAGTAAATTTCGAGTGATTGAATTAAGTGCAATTGAAGGCCTCTCACAATAACCACGTTAGTAATATAAACCTGACCACCCACGCGGGCTGACTCGATCAAGTTCGAACATTCTCACCTCACATACCACTGTCCTCTTTGTAAAAAACTTCGATGTATTCATATGACCGCAAGATGGGCTGGTTAGGTTCCCAAGATCTTCGTAATTACAACTGCGATCTCGATAATCGGGCTGTTAATTTTTCCTGGATAGAAATTGAAAGCTCAGTTTTAGAAAGCAGTTGCTGGGTCGAAAAAAATAGTTCTCTAACCGGGCTGAAATTTCCCATATGAACAAAAAGGCAAAGTTCCTTCAGCTCACCCGTTTCGCTTTTGCTAGTTGACCTGACTAAAGTTGGTCAAACCTGATGCAAAAATCATTTTAAAGGTGTACGCTGTTTTTTCTTTTTCCCTTGGGGGGGGGGGAGGGAGGCGAGGGATGGGAGGGTACTTTTATGATTTTTTTTTTTTTTTTGTTAAGCCGTCATCAGTTCCGTCATAAACTGAAAAGAATGAAATAATAATAAAATAAATTATTCTAAAATAAGCGAGGATCCGCTTAAAGTAAGCTGCTATTCTGTTTTTTTTTAAGGCTTTTGGTAAATTATGTCAATCCTCCAAATGAAGGTTTTACCAAAAGCAGAACAAAACACAGCGCATCGAGCCTGAAAGAAATCCGATTGCTGGAGAAGACAAATGTCGGTCAAAACATCAAATGGTAAACTAAACTCACAGTTATCAACTGAAGAGAGTTGGAACCAGTTTTGAAAAAAAAAAACTATAACAACTATTTTATTTCCTTTGCATGTAGTCAACAGTAGCGAGAGAAATAACAAAAACATAATAAAATAATGAAACAAGTAGCAATTTATAATCTCTTGGTTGCAACATTAAATTAAAAGAGCGTCCTTTTGTTTTGTCATTCCCTCTGACGAAAGGTTATCGCGCTTGAAACGCCAGCTTTATAGCCTCTCTTCGGTGACCAATTTACATTATCAACTCAGTAAAAAGACCAAATTTTCTTTTAATACCCCCCTGCACCCACATAGCACCAGTTTCTTTAGAAAATTACCCCTCAGTTCTCCTCAAGAATTACACTTGAAACTAGAATTTTCATGCTCCATGATCCGCATTGAGATTTCAGTTTCTGGTAACCAACACCATTCTCTAGAAAGGTTTGCAAAATTGAGAAACTGAATTTCAGTGAAAGCCTTCCATTCCTCCATGATGCTGTCTAAGGAGTCCCCCTGATTTTTTGTCAGTGATTCAGTTTTTCGACCGTCTGTTTTCCTCCCGTCTTTTAAGGTCGATATATTGTCGTAAGCAAAACTTCGCCGTTGTGTCTGATTGCCAAAAAGAATCAAGAGTTTCAGAAAGTTTGTTGAACGTGAATATTAGGACTTAATGAACTACAGTTTGGATACTTCTGACCTGCGAAAATTTGTCAGCTTTCTCCGCGATATTCTTTCCCGTTAAAAATATGAGGAATTTTCACACGTACCGTGACCTACTGATTTGATACCCTAACGTCTGATAAGTTTGAGGCCGCTAAAACTGCTGAACTATTGACTTTTCTTAAACAGGGCTTCTGCTCTGGAAAGTTTGGGGTAATTCTGAGAGTTCTATAGCTCTCGGATTTCTTATCAGTCGAAAAAGAAAATCATTACTTTAGTGATGCTACAGTGACAAAATTATCAGCGATTTTCTTCCAGTTTTATGCGAATGTTTTTCTCTCATCTTTTTTCCAAAAATGCATTTATTTATAGAATCGTAGAAAAATTAGAGAATTTGGGCTATTCAAACAACAACAAATACTTTCTCGTTCTCTAGATCAGAGGTTCTAATAAATCGCTTTCGCTGATCAGTTGCTCCTCGTAGTCATCAAAACAATGATCGGAAATCCGCGAAAAGCAATTACTAAAAAGTATTTACTGATATGTTCTGAATGGTGTTCAAGTTTAGAAATCTTCCAACGGAATGTTGTGCTTAAATATGGTCAAATATGGGTGAATCTTTGAAGGTCCTCATCTATAGGAGGCACGGTTTCAATTTGAACAGATCAATTCGATCCGTAGCTAACAAAGAGAAAGAAACCGCAGACATTTCCCCACAAAATGGCGCCCGTAGCCGAGTTCGTAGTCAAGTCGAACAAAGGTGTAAGTCGCATTTTCTTCCTTGGCTACCAGATAAAAGACTCTGTATGATTTTGAATTTGTATTCGGTGAAAAGACTGCTTTCTTTTAGCACCATATTGTAATTCTAGAAGAATTCGCTAATCCGTTCTGTGATTGGTCGCTATGAAAAGAATGATTAGTGTTTATTGTTCTCTATATGGCATATTTCCCTCTGCAAGTTCGAACAACACAAGCCGTCGCATACTTGTCAAATTCCGTGTGGATATCGGCTGCGCTGCACTGACTTCCCTCACTCAAATATCATTGTATTACGAGCCTTGACGAGTTAAATTTTGGGTGCCGAGGCAAATAGTTCGAGATCTTTAAGTTAGGCGTGTTTTTCGATCTAAGACTTGTCTCAGTAGGGGGTAGAATACGTCACTGCTTCTGTGTTGTAGCCATCTTCGAGCGAACTCCCGATGGCTATTTGTTCCAATCGCAGTTGATCAATATGGCGACGAAAGGTGGATTATGTTTCTTTTTCATGGTCTTCTTCGTCTTCCTTTACCTTCTAGCTCAAGGTAAGGAGTCTTAAGTGATTAATTTTTGATTTGTGCTTTCATCAAAGGTGTGAATCGTGGAAGTATGAACAAATAGAAACCCGTAGGCTTTGGTGGCGGCATGGCGGCGGGAATCGCTTCTGAGAAAACTTTACCGCAAACGCAACGAATTCATCTTCCCTTTATAAAATAACTTAGTTGATAGCTTAGGTGGTTTGATCCCTCGAAAAATAATATAAAGAATGGTTATTTAAGCCATTTAATCATTGTGTCGACTGATCGTCACTACGAAAATACGGAGCTAGAGTTACCACACGCAAGAGTATCACTTATAATTTTACTTGTATAGTGCTGTGAAAACACCAGCAAACGATCTCGATATAATTAGCAAAACGTAATCTGCGAATGATGGAGTTGTTAGGAGTTAGGAGATGAAGCTTTGTTACTTGACAGAAAGAAGTTTATTTCGCGCGCTCAGATCTTGCCAACATGCTGGTATATCCCTGTGGCGTACTCTGGATGTTAGACTTCGATTTGAAAATTTCTCGCAAGATTTGCTTCGCACATCTCATGCCTACAGACTAGACTGCCTCCTAATTACTTCTCTTAGTATGGGAAATTATGTTTCTTAAGTGTGAAGCGAAGTTTTCTTTTCTGAAGTTTGGTATCATAATAATCGTGTTTGTTCTCACATTTACACATTTACAATTTCATTCAGAGTGAAGAAATGCAGAATTTCATCATTCCAGTATAGTGCTTCTTTGAATAATATTCTTAGACTTTGTGACTGAGAAAGTATTTGCAATGACTGTGTATTTAGACTGATAGACATCAGGAGCGCCCAGTTTGTCGCCAGTGGGCATTGCGAACGTGCTTTTTTTGATTCCTTCACATTGTTGTTGTGTTGCAAGTGAATCCTTTTTGTTCTCTCATCAACGGCTAAATCTTCGTTAAACCTACTAGACAAGAGCTCTTTATGTTTTATTTTCAAATTTTTTTTAATGAAAAGCTCGTTATTTCTTCCAAATGTAAAACTTGTTCCTGAATTAGCGTCACATCTGCGTTTAATTTCACGCATGCATCTCAGGAACTCATGTATGAAAACCACTTAGCTGTGTTCGTGTTTTAAGTAGTTCTTTCCGAAACAAAAGGAAGTTGCTGTTTAGAATTTAAGAATAGATCTTTAGGCTTTGTTGGGTTTTTTGTTCTCTTATTGTTGAACGTTGACTTCATGAAGTTGGAGTCTAAAAAGTTGAAAAAAGTATTTGATATGAGCGTGTGTAGATTTCTGCGAGCAATCCTCAAGAGCTTGTACTCTATCTGAAAGTGAGAACTGGTAGATGATATTGGAGAGTATTATCACTTCACGCTGTTGTTTCTCAACTGATATGACCCTTTCCTTCCCTGAGCTTCCACTGAAGGCTCCACCAAGTGAATTTATCAAAGATCGCGTCAAAAAGTTGAATTCAAGTCAGAGCTGATGATCTCTCTATTCATTGAATCCAAAGTAAGGGATCGTTGAATTGAATTAAGTAATACGTTATCTTTGCATTCATCTACTTGTCACTGATCTCTGCTAAAAGGAAAAAAAACGTAGCATGAATTGTGCGTTAAGGGAAAGCCTTTATGTGGAAAGTCATCCATACCATTTCTTTTTATTTGCCTTTGCCTCAATCTAAAGCGCATTACGGATTAATCGTTAGTTTGCTAAGCAAACATGGATTTGTAACGGGATTTACCTGCTCTATTCTATCTAAAAAAGGTGTGGGAGCTGTTTTCTTTTCACCCTTCAAAAGAACTCTTTGTTCCTTACTGGGCAAAAGTAGAAAAAATTTATCCGATTATTTTGTTAACAATCCCAATTACTTTTTGTTAGATCCAAGTGAAGTTTTCAGTTATGCAAATTTATTGTTTCCATTGTACTTTGTACACAGGGCACACATGTTCTATGCTTAGTACAATTGGCAAATTGATTCACAGCTTTTCAACAATTTAACTCATAAGAATTGGTGTAACTACTTCAGATTTATGTTAGAAGTCTATTCACAGCCAGGGTATTATACATTTTTCAATTTCCACTCAATTATATTCATTTGTGGGTTGATTGATTTTTGAGTGTCTTATTCCATAACTAACCAGCTGCAGACTCTGCACAAGTTTGGTTTACTAATTTGGCATTACTGACTGGTCAACCAGTTAATAATCATGTACTGCAGACTCCACTTTGGATGCCTCTATATGTGCAAAGTAGTAACTCACTGTTATTAATTGATTTATCTTTTTACACTCAGGAAATTATTGTTTTGGCCATACTTTATTGAGACAGCATACCAATTGTTTCAATCAATTATATTGCCTTCGTCTCTAATTATTCAGTTGTAACAAGCATGTGCTCCTCACACATCTTTTGTTCATTTCCACAAAAAGTAAACCACTTTCAATCTAGTCCAGAGAAAATGGTCAGATGACTGGCAGATGTTGCATTTCTTGAAAAATGTTGAGCAATTACTTCAACACCTTTTTTCAATGGCAGTTCAAGAATATTATCAGTGTTAATTAGTTTACATTTTCTTCCAATGTACTTTGATCTTAACGAATCTTTCAATATTAAAGATGTTAACTCAGATATGGGAGACTAAATAATGGAGTTTTATCAAGATTTATTGTACTTCTTGCCATCACAAAATGGAAATAACTTCACTTTTTGGTTGGTTGGGTTAATGTGCAATCAGGATAAAGCTTTGAGCTGAAGTTTAATCATTGAGCAATGCACAAGTCCACCTATTTATCTTGAATTCAAATTGCAAGGTGAATAATATTGATCAATTTTTTGTTGGGCTTCTTTTAATCAGTGTTTGGAGTAAAAGCTTTTAGAGTAGTGCCACTTGATCTTGGCTGCTGTTGAAGGTGACATTGAAATGTGCAAATTATGATATTATAAGCAAGCCTTTTTCCTTCTTTGGGGTTTAAATTCATATATCTGTTCATTGATAATGGTGTCAAGAGTATATACTTTGATAGCACTTCATGGAATTCAAGCAATAACAATATCATAAACCTCCTGCAAAGGTTGTTTTCAAACAGTCTTACAAAGTTGCTGCTAGTATGAAAACTCATGCCTCTGGTCATATGAGGAAATATGTTGACTGAAAAACAATTTATTCTAAGCAGACAATCTGCACTAAACATACATACTATATGCAGTAAATGTACAAAAGATTAATCTTGATGCTTTTAAGTTATTGATATTTTGTTGAAGGTTGTCTCACACAATGGATATTCAGAATTTATCTTTCTCAATGACTGAAATAATGGTGGTTGTGATTGGTATGAGTGGAAAGTGGCTTTGTGTTTTAAAATTTAATGCAATCAAACCAGTGGTCAAAATCTTGATTTCAAATATGATGTCTGTTGAAGAGATTTATTCTGGTCTCCTGTAATCTAATGTCCTTTCTGAGACAAAAACAAGGTTTATAGCTTAGGGCCACATTGCTCCCAAAATAACCAACTACCAGGTCAAAGAAGACACAATTTGAATGGCGTGTGAAGACAAACTTAATTTAGGCAGTTTGCAATATCTGACTGTGCTAATTAAAATTGTATGATGACAATTGGATTCTTGGATCTTAGCTTATAACTCAAGTGATCCATATTGGTAAAATTTGAGTGAGGAGAACAATGTGCTTGTTGAGTAAAAGTGGGGGGCTCTTATTTTTTCTTTACTCTTTTCATCTTTAATGACAGTTCACTTAAGATGTTTTGATGCCTTAGGAATTTAGGGTTAAGAAAGAATGTTACAGTTTAGAAGCATGCTGCTTTAGTTTGCAATATCACTTTCTTCAAAGTCATGCAGTAACTGGTGATCCTTCTACTCCAGTTGATCTTTCATTGACACAATGTTCTCAGTTTATCCATGTAAATTCTTACTGCATACCAATTTTATACCTGTATGTTTTAAAAGTTTGATATTTCTTTAAAATAATATGAGAGAGCCAATACCTTAAAATAGAATGAAAATGATCATGAATAGTAAACAAAATGCCTTTTGATAAATAATATGTAATCTTTCCTCAGTTTAGATAGCAAGATGGTTTGGATATTTCATCATCTTTGAAACAAATTAAATAAACATAATTATCAGTAAATTTTTTTCATCCTCAGTGGTTTCCTTAGATTTGTTGTTGGCTGGCTCTCCTCGAGTTGAAAAAATAAGATTACATAAAGACTCTTATAGGACACTAGTAAATAGCAAGTGCCTATTAAGTATTAAATTTTGTTGATTATTTTCTTTTCAGAAGCACTGTATCAATTTTTAAAGACTTTCTTTTTTTCTTTCCTGTTTGTGCTGCACTGTTATAAAAGTTCAGCTCCAACTTTCCCTTAAGATAAACTAGTAAACATAAAATCCTTCGTGAAGAGACTTGTCTCATGAAGTAACCCCACTCTATGAATTCACATCTTGGAGACAAGCATTTTGTACTTAATTTTCCTCTGTCTCCATACTGTAAAATAGGATTAGGAATTATCCTGGAGTTAATTACTTTAAAGGATTGGAAAAAGCAACTCTTCTAGTTGTCTGCCTAAACACCTGTCAGGTTAAGGAATAAGAACAAAATAAGTAACTAGTGCAGTGGAATTTTTCAGAAAAGCACAACTTGGGAAATTGGCAAGAGAGATCTGATTATAATTATTAAAAAGTCACATAGAAATTGTTATTGTTTTAAAGTAAAGGCTAGTTTGTTTGTCGGTGTGTCTCTTACTATTGTATTTTAATTGTTATTATTTTTGTTTGAAGCCCTAAGTCTAAGGTGCAGATGTAGTACACATAGCTGCCCTGGTGACCATGACAATGAAACTTGCACAACTGAGGGAAAGTGCTACAAGAAGGTGGAACCTGGTGTTGATGACAGTTATGAGCTCATCACTTATGGCTGCCTACCACCTGATGAAAAGACCAGCATGCAATGCAACACACCAGATCATGTTCACAAGAAGCAACTGTCTATGGAGTGCTGTCAAGATGGCGACATGTGTAACACGTTATTAAAGCCCACTTTGCCAACAACTCCTAGTCCTACCACAGGTAAGGTTCTTCCAAAGCTTTATTATGCGCTTATGAAGTTGACCCTTATTAGTTTGTTCAGATAGAATAACACAAAATGAAATTGGAAGTCAGAAAGGAATGATGATGGTTATGAATGGGAAGACTGTTATAGAGTGCAAAGTTTTCAACATGCTCCTGCTCTGTTGTAGCCTCTTTAATTCAACACATGAACTATGATTTTGCCCTTGGTAGCATTGGGTGACTATGCTTATTGCTTTTTTCTTTTGGAAAGAATGCTAGCTTCTAATTACATGTTTTGTGGGACCCATTTATAAGTCTATTTAGAGAAAGTGAGCATGAGATCTGAGTGTCTCCCCTAAAGTGAAAAATGATTGAGGTAAATGGCATTTTACCATCAAGAATGGTACTGCCTTAGAATTTGTTAAGCAGGTATCTGAGTTAAGAAATTGACATCTCAAAGAGAGTAAAAAATAGATCTTTGGTTCTAGTACTCTCTTTCAAATGTGTGGGTTTCTTACTGTTGCCACTTTCTAGTGAAAATAGCAAAAGCATTCTAATAATTATTTATGAAAAAAATTGAAAAAATGTTTGTTACTTGTGCCTCTCAAGTTTAAATATCAGTTTTAACTAATGAAAGGTTGCTAATAATACAAGTAAGTTCACTCATGGAATTTGAGTGGAACACATTCATCATATTCTCTCTTAGCCACTTAGGTAGTTAAGTACCAGTAATTTACTAGCATGCGAACTCTTTTACAATCTTTTATTAAAAGTGTCTTATGATGTCAATGGCGGGTGCAATATTTTACAGATAAGGGATATTGTTTGACTTTCAACTACTAATGGATTTTCTAGTGATGATATGAAATCATGCTAGCACAATTTTTGTTTATGGGGTTTCCAATGGGGTAAGTGTTAACTTCAACAATGCTTTCATCCTGGTGGAGACTCTTGTTGTAACATCTGACTTTCACTCTTCACTATACAACTACCCATAAAATAAGACCAACTGATAGAGCTCAATACACCCCATCTGAATGAGGAGGACGTGTCCAGTTTCACCTTTGGTAAAATATCACTTCCACTTTGTTATACTGCTGCTATAGATGTATGTAACCATAAGTTAACTGTGCCTTGAGCAAATTTTGAGAGCAGTTCCTGCTTTAAAAATTCATAATTCTTTCTACTACATTATTATTTTCATAGAACCTCATAACCAGATAACTTTTTTTCTTCAAGGTTCCTCTTCTCACATGTATGTATAATAAATCATAGTTCATTGTCATCTTAAGGTTACTTCCCACCTTTAGAGGCTGAAAAAATTGATTTTTCTTTTATTTGACTCAACTTAATTCAAACATTTAACTTAACATTTTCATTAAAAAAAATTTTCTGAAATCTTTCAAAGCACCCGAATTATTAAGAAAAACATATTTCAAATTAATAAACCAGGAAGGTGTCATAATCTCCTGGGACAATTCCCTAGGGAAATTTTCGTGGCAACTGCTCATTATTATTGGAGCTCATTTTTCATGTTATTTCCATTACACACTTGACAAAATACACATGTGGAAGCTCTTTGACTATGGAATAATCTTTGCTCATTGAAAATCAAACATAGGCATGCTATGTTTGCAAGAGTTATTTTTTGGGGGTAGGTGGTTTTCTTGAAACTTTGTAAATGATGTCTACATTGTTATAAAAGGAAAGAAGATTATTAACACAGAAAAGAACGAAAATGTCGAATTAACCCACTGCAGACTGCAGAGTGGGTACAAAATGTTGACTGAGAATCTAAGGATATTTTTGTCTGGTATGTGATAACATAACATGTAATCTTCCAATTTCCTGAGTGTCACGCAATTGCTTTTCCACAATCTGCTTTCAGGATTATTTACACTAGTTTGGAATATTCCTGGCCCATTTCTTGATGAAAATCGATCATAATATAATTTCAAGCCTTGATGTATTCTTCTCACTTTGTGTGCGAGTAGGTTGGTGTGATTTCTGTACAGATTTTACCAACGTAATAAAAGTAGATGAAAATGTAGATGTAAATGAGATGTCACTATTGAATATATAACATGTGCAACATTTGAGAAACAATTGTCAGCTTTTTACATGGTCCATATTGTCATCTTTTTGAGCAGTTTATTTTGTTGACAAAATTGGGGACCAAGACCAATCCAATCCAGAAAAATATAATCAGCACACTCAACAAATCATGAATCTTGCAACACAGCTTGCCGTTAAAGAACTGCTCCAATTAAAAAAAAATACAACCTCTTATTGCTGCGAGATACATACCCTAATGTGGTGATCTGATTGGTGCGAGATACATACCCTAAATGATCTGATTGGTGCAAACAACATACTACTCTCTGTGTGCTAAAATAAATGTTATTTTTTTTTAATTAAAAAAAATAACTAAAAAATGGTAGAAAGTCCTCAGGTAAAAAAAAGGAAGTAAAAACAGCCCCAAAGAAGAAAGAAAGAGTACCATTCTGTAAAGATGAGGGAAAAAATCAGAAAAAAGAAAGTTGCCAGATTTTATCCCTGTTTTCTGTGGTTTATACCGATCTACAGTGACGTTTCTTTGTTCACCACAGGTGAGACTGTAGAGGAGGAGTTTGAAGATGGTGTAACGGAGCAGTACTCCATCCTCTTCATCAGTGCTGGAGTTTGCGTTGTGGTGTTCATAATCTTCCTCAGCGTTCTTTGCTATCGGTTAGTACATAGTGTAAGTGAAGTAATACCGTTCTCTCTCTCGAAGAATTCATATTCCATGTTTTCTTTAAGTAATGTGTAGATATCGATTGGATGCTTTAACATCCCCCCCCCCAGTAACTCCTGAGAATTTGAATTTTTGAAGATTGGTTTGTTCAACTTCCCAACCCCCAGGCCAAAATTATGTTCAAATGCCCCAACTAAGTGTGAGATTTGATTCGCAATGTTTTTTTGTGAAAGGCAAAAGTGACTGACTTTCTTCAAGTATCCTAGACCTTACAGACCTTTTCTTACCAAAGTAAACTCTTTACCTCTAACCCACCTGGATCTAACACTTGTATCTGACTGCAAAAACCTAACACTTCTGGTTCAAATTTCCCTTGTCCAGCCAGGTAAGGTTTAAATTTCTCCTTTTCCCCCTCTCCTTGTTTGTGTTTTGTAGGTTCAGAGTGGTGCATAGCAGAGTTCCATCACCTCTAGATGTGGAGAAGTATGGGAATCCATACATAATGCCAGGCGAAACCCTGAAAGATATGCTGGATCAGAGCTCTGGCAGTGGCTCGGGATTACCACTTTTGGTAAGCAAGACATGTTTTAGTAACACACCAAATTACAGGTGTTCTATGCAAAATTTTAAGTTCTGACTTCTAAGAGAACAACAATGTCAATAAAAATGGAAACATTTTTGTCACATGTGTGGAACAAGGGTAATCTGGGTTCAAACCTGTTCTAATTTCACAATCAGAAGCTCTTTCATCTGAGTTTCAGAAAAGTCACCAGTCAGGTAGGCCATACTCAGGGTTTATACATTTATGTGATAAGTGCCCTGGAAACTGCAAAGTCTGTCATCAGCAAAGTGGAGGGCATTCCTCAGGCAAACCCCCATAGTGTACTGAGGTCTTCTGTATGATTAATTATGGCAGGTACAACGAACAATAGCTAAGCAAGTGACACTAATCAGAAGTGTTGGCAAAGGAAGGTATGGAGAAGTGTGGCAGGCCAGGTGGAGAGGTGAAGATGTGGCTGTCAAAATATTCCTTTCACATTGTGAATCCTCGTGGCAGAGGGAAACAGAAATCTACCAAACTGTTCTACTTCGCCATGAAAGCATTCTTGGATTCATAGCATCAGACATTATTGGAAGCAACCAGGTGACTCAGATGTACCTGATCTCAGATTACCACCCTTATGGTTCACTCTATGATTTCTTAAGGGGGCACTGCCTCAACAAGAAGACCATGCTCAAGCTTGCATTGTCAGCCTCAGCAGGATTAACTCATCTTCACACTGAAATTCAGGGAACTAAGGGCAAACCTCCAATTGCTCATCGAGATATCAAGAGTAAAAACATACTAGTGAAGGAAAACCTAACCTGCTGCATTGCAGACTTTGGCCTTGCAGTTAAATACTCAACTGACACTGAAGAAATTGACATCAAGCCAGATACAAGAGTTGGAACAAGGAGATATATGGCTCCAGAGGTGTTAGAAAATAACCTGGATTCTAGAAATTTTGCAGCATTTAAGATGGCAGATATTTACTCTTTTGCTCTTGTTTTGTGGGAGATTGCAAGAAGATGTATATCTGATGGTAAGTGTATTTGTTAGCCCATTCAAATATGCTGCGCTTGATACCAATTAAAGCAGTGAATCAACAGATATGTAATAACTGTAATCTTTAATTATGGTGGATGACTCAATGTATGAAACAGTGTATGATAATTTTATATATGGTTGCAGAATCAAGCGGTGTTTAGTAGACATGTTAACTTCTTGAAATTTTAAATCTAGAGATGTTTGATTTTGTATGACGTCCCCTGATAGCTTCCTCCCCCCAAAATTTGTTCATTCACTACCTTTTCATTCCAGCCTTTCTTCCTTAGAAATAAAAAATCACTAAGTTGGAAATCATTTGCAAAGGAAAAAAGTCACTGGAAGTCTATCATGTTTAGAGTAGCTCAACTATCACTGTTCTTACCAAAGGTAGATAACAATAGGTAGTTGGGTGGTAGTGAACAGGACTATAGGCTGCAAATTATGTCCTTTTTTTTAATTTTGATTCCTATCAGAAACTGGAATGTGTGAAGACTACCAAGTTCCATACTTTGACATGTTACCTGGTGATCCATCTTTTGATGAAGTGAAGAAAGTTGTGGTGACAGAAAAGAGGCGTCCTTTAGTTCCCAACAGATGGTACAGAGATGAGGTTAGTGGGACATTTTGAAGCTTAGGTGGTAGTGATACTGCAACTTGTCAGGAAGGGACATTGTCAGGAAGGGTCAGGCATTTATGCAGTGTTAGTAGGGGTAGTCAGTTGATTAGCTGACTAGTCTTCCAGGAACAAGGAAAGGGAGTTAGCCTCAACTTGTGCAACGTCCAGTGTCATTGGAACAACTCAAACCATTTCAATTACAAGATTCTTCCAAGGTTATAAGGAAAGTTCTTGCTTTAAATAATACCTAGAGCAGACCACTTTGCAACTATGTTGAATAATCAAAGAAGATGTTTACTGTTGATGCCAAATGAGCTCTGTGATTTTTTCTTATTAAGCTTGTCTGTACAAGTAGTACTCATCATGCTATGTAAACATCTGACAGTAGTTTGATGATTAATTGATATTTCTTTTTTTCTAACAGTCACTCCAAACATTGGCAAAGCTGATGACTGAGTGTTGGGCGAGCCACCCTACTGCCCGTTTGACAGCTTTAAGAGTGCAGAAAACATTGAACAAACTCAAGAAGTCAATGGATTTTATAGAAAAACCTTATAAACACGATGATGATAGCCCTCGCACAAGTGTTACAACAGCATAAAGAGCCAAATACTTGTGAAGTGGTTGAATCCACACTCCATCATTGGAAAGAAAATCAGGAGATTACTAAACCTATCCAGCCAATCTCCAGGCTATCTCCAGTCATAAGAAAAAGAATCAAATCAATTTGGAGAAAATTTTCAGAGACTCTAAAATGACACAAACTGTCAATAGTGTTAGACATGCTCAAAAACTGTGCAAGACTATAATACCTCTCATACAAAAGGGTATTGGACCAAGTAAAATGTAATTAGCTGCAGTTAGATATTATTGTAGACTAGAGTTTGGTTTCAGTTCCAAAATTGAATTCATATATACAGAATGCTAGAAAATTCAAGCAAAAATACCAGTATACAAATAACAGGTTGGAACTTGATATATTCACATATTTTAAACTACTGGTAATTTTACCCATGTAGAAAATATACATAAGTTTATTAATTAAAAGCATGATGTACTGCACAGCCATTATCAATGTGATTATTTGTGTGCTTCACTATGTATGCATATAGACAGCAAATAACTTTTGAGTTCAGCTAAAAGTGTGGAAACTGCTGAAATTAAACATAATGTAACAGATGTCTTTGAACACTTCCTCAAATTTGTAAAACATGTTCAGTGTTCACCACTCAAGATTAATTAATAGAGGTGTAAATATAGTGAGGCAGACAACTAAAGATCACACTTGATTATGGCTTTTGACCTCTCAGGCCCCATCATTTGGAAATTTTTTCTCCTTTCCAGCTCCTAAATACTCCCTAGCTAGTCAGTAAAGAGGACTAGGATGGGTGATGTACTAACATTGCAGTGAGAAGCCATATTGATGACTTCTGTGAAGAAGAGAGGGTTGAAGGTGTTTGTAAACTTGTTGAAAGCTCAAAGCTAAAATTAAACATAGAGAGAATCACCTGTCACTTCACCAAAAGTTTTGCTGTTCTATGGAGAATTTGTTTGAAAAGAGGACCTTGTTGGTGGTGTTACTACATATTAATGTAAAATAGAGATGTACTCAGGATTATTATTTTTAAATGAAAGTGCGATGTTGCATGTAAATGTTATTGTCATATTATGAAAGGTTTTGTACTCAAACATCACAACTTGTATTTTTGTGTGTGTTTTTTTCCAATCTATTTTGGCCATGACCATAACAATGGGAAAAGACATGGCTGGCTGATTCAACAACTAAGTTTGCTTGTTACAGTTTTTAATTCATAATGAAAAGAGCCATTTAACTACTAACCAAAGTAGAGCTTTGAACAGGCTTTTCTCTTCTGTGTTACAGTCCTAAAGAAGAAACAACACTGAGGAAAACTGAATAATGGTTCAAAAATTCAGCAAGCCAAAAAATATTACTGTTAAACAGTAAGAAGCTTAAAAGGTGTTTATATGCTCCTAAGTATATCTACCACTTCTCCTCAATTGGGAACTTGCTCTTTTGCTCATTGGGTGTAACTCAAAAGAGAACATTCCCTAAATCCAACTCAAATTGTTTTTCTAGGAAGATCGGTCCTCAAATCTTCAGAACATTTTACCTAAGGTTCAGACACTTCTAATCAGTCAAGAGGATGCCTGAAATATTTAGGCTTCCTCATATGCATCAAGCAAACAACAGCTTGGTTCTTTGCAAACATGTACACGTTATTAGAGACTTTGATTTTGATAGGGTGGAGTTAGTGGGAATTCTTTTTTCGGTGGGGGTGGGAATTTGCAGAAAAAAATAGGCCATGTATAAAAAAGGGACTCCCAAAGGATCAAGAGAGATCAACAAGTTTTATGATTGATAAGTTCATTCACTTAATACAGACATTGTTGTGTCCTAAGAGGGTTCAGAGCAGGAACAGGTTTTTCTTTCATGAAATAATTCAACCAAGAAACTGAGATTTCAACCGAGATCACATTCATTAAGAAATGTAGAGGTTGTCCAAAAATACTCCCAAATATAAAGATGATAATATATGAGAATAATAAACAAGCTGGAAGGGTCAGACAATTTCCAAATGACACTACCCGGCCCACCCCTCCCCACCCCATCACAAAGTTATAGTGCATATTATCCCTACTAATCTAAATGAAAATTTTGCTTAATTTCTCTCCCTCAATCTTATCACCCAGAAGGTCATTTGCACAGAAAAAGTCCTGTTTAAATGCATACGTGCCTATTTGAATGTGATAAATGCAAATTATTCTTGCCTAAAGCAACGATTGGGGCACAGGAAATGATAAATACGCCAAGATCAGAAAAAGGATCACAGAAAGGCCTTAAAAAGGAATCAGGAACCCTAAAAATAGCCTCAGTCGGGCCAACAAATTGTATAGAGGGGGTAAGACTCAAAAGAAACTGTGGTGCTGCGTCGGTGGGAGAGTGTAGCAGGTAATTTAGTGTTGACAACTGAGTTCAAAACGGAAATTGTCGACCGTTAAGCTCTGACGAAGGGCTAACGCTCGAAACGTCAGCCTTTTAACTCTTTGCAGTGGACAATTTACGTTTTCAACTCAGTTGTTAACACTAAATTACCTGCAACAAATTGTATACCGTGTATTATACCGTGTACAAAGGAGCACCTGCCAAGTCTGCAGCAAATATTCATTAGGATTTTCGCCTCTAGTTGCTAAAACAAGCATGTTGTACGGGTGAAAAAGATTAATAAGGAAAAACATGAAACAATAGGCGAAGTGATTTCCAAATAATTTTCGATTCCAGGAACTGGTGAACTGCTTTCGAATAAAAAAAAATTTTTTACTTACCAGTTCAACTATCACTTTGCAAGTTACACTCGAAATGAATATTTCCCGAAGAAAAATAAGCTAAAATTCTTTAATTTATCTCTAGAAGTCTTCCTGTCCCGACCAATGCGTTAAAAAATAGCAGTTTAATATCTATCTTTAAAAGGTATTTACTCTTTGTTTGTCTGGCAAGTGTTTCGCGACCGAGCTGCATTGGGGCTGAGTCAAATGACGTCACCTCCATTGCACTGATACGGAACGAGCAGTCACGAAGGGAGAGGAATTTCAGAGCGGTTTTAGTCGAGACTTTTCTTTAGATTTACGCCAGTATGCAAGATTCAGAGAGAGAAGCACTTCGTAAAAACAGGCAGGCTTTGTTAAAGGATTTAGAGGCAAAAAAGATCGCTTCTCGGCTTTTTTCCTCTAACATTTTCAGTGTAGAAGACAAAGACGAAGTCAACTCCAAAGAAACCAAGAACGATCAAGGAGAGGCTTTGTTAGACATTCTTCCTCGTAAAGGACCAAAAGCTTTCAAGGCATTCTGTGACGCTTTGCACGATGTCTCTCCTCATTTGGAGTCACTTCTAAGGCCAATTCAAGCAGAGGGTAAGGTTGAAATTGATCTCAATTTTAAATTGATGAACTAAACCTTCGTAAGTAAAAAAAATTCCGGTTGTATGCATGACAACTAGGAGGCCTTAGCTTGTATATGTATGGACATAAAACTCTTTTTCTCCTGCATCTAATCATGGATATTCCTCGGCATGCCATTTGTGGAATACCGGTGCTTCTTTGAACCACTAATTTGTCCGTGTGAAATCATTTATGCTGATATTCGCGCGTGGGTTTTCACTCGAATTGTCATGTTGCCATATTTCTGAATTACAACCAACCTCTCAAACTAATTTTGGTGTTTGACTAATTCACATTATCTTTTTCCTGAAATGTGACAATTCAGGGTAAAATCCTCTTGACGTAAAGTACATTTTAAATAGAAAGTGAATACACAGTGGGTAAAACCCCTTGACAGAGTATTAAAAGTAGAGTTTGGGTACAGTACATGTTATTTACATGTAGAATATTTTATGAAGAAACATTTTCAATAGCTTTTATTGGAAGTATTTTGGTCAGTGTGTACCTCCATTTCTTGAAAATTCATTTTCATATATTGTACTTTTGATAGAGAAGGGACATGTCAGCACAGAAAATTTTAAACATTCCCATTAACTAGTATTTGCATCCTGTAGTCAAACCTGGTGATCAATATAGCTGGCCTTGAACATCTGTTCAGTCTCAAAATGTTTTCAGATTTGATTGGTTTGAACTCTATTGATAAATCAAATTGGTGGTATATTAAAAATAGATAATCTTACTACAATAATGATATTCATTGTCAAATGTGTCTAAAAATTTTTCCACTGAAGCATACAGACACTCAAACTGTTGATCAGCTTTTCTATTGTGGCTTTTTCTGTAGTGGTACAGCTTGTAGACATCAAGATCTAATTCTCTTGACACTCAGGTATGCCGACTGAAGGTACTGATGGTGGAATCAGCACCAAGAAACCTATTCCAAGCGCTATCAATCCAGGTGCAGCAGGTATGGTAATTAGAATGCTATATTATATAATTGCCTCTTGAAACAACAATGACACATTGAATAATGGTATTTGTTCAAATTAAGTTATAAAGGTGATATCAGTTAGCTTTGTACAGCTGTAAATGTACAGTTACTTCAGGTGCAGAAAGACCCAGCTGTCATAACAAATCCAACTTGACCAGTCATTCCAAAAAAACTTTTTCTTGGTATAAAGGATCTCAGATGAAGAAAACAGGCACCACAACTAAAATCTCAATATTATCCATATCTAGAAGCATTCAAAGAAAATAAGAGAACAAAATGTTAAATTTGAACTCTCCAATAGCTTTGTATCACATTTACTGACAACTGTCCTTTTAAAAATTACCATAGCTTAGACAATCATGCTACTTATTTGTGGCTAAAGGCTGACAGATACTAATAGTTCTCAAATCATTTCCTCCTTACTTATAACATTCAAAGATTAATTATTTGTATTTAGAGTGTGTTTTGTCAATGTGAGAAGATTAAAAAAATGATAATTATCTAATTTATTTTGAGAGGGGTGCTTTCGATTGCTTTCTAGCACCATAAAAAATTAATGCATGTTAGTTTGTTTTAGTTTTCCTCTTTCTTAAAACAATGCTGCTCTTTGGTATAAAAGTATACTTTTGGTAAGAATTCTGTTCTTCTTAGTTCTTATTCATAAGTTTAAAAAATAAAATCCTCAGCCCCTATAACTCAAAATGTAGTTAACTGCATTGTTTATTATGTGGCCAGCTTGCCTTTTTTTGGAATCTTTCGGCCTAGTGATAACTTAGATACTCCTCAGTTAAACAATTATCTGGTGCTGGCAGCACTATCAACAAACTTGTTCTATTAGGAATTTTTCTGCATCAGTATCATTGCTAATACCAGGTGTAAGTTAAATTGGGACCATTTCTAATAATTGTGCTGCATTACCTGTCATGACTATCAGCCTCTTATTCCAAATTTTGCTCTGATCATTTGATTGATTCAGATGGTCTCTACTTCTTTTGCTTTAGTTTAATTATACACTCATTAAAACCTAAATGCAGAGATGAATTGAACATTAATGACAGGTTTGTGTTAGTACAAAATTGTTTCTAGTTGATTATTTTGACTTAAATTTGTGGGCCAGCAAACAAAATCTTCTGCCTGGAGAAAAGAAGCTACAATGCAGCATTTGATGTAAAATTTATCTGCAAATGGAAAAGGTTTTCTAACTTTATCATTCTGCTGCTTTCAAGTTATGCACTTTCGTGTTAACATATCAATGAATCCTTGATGAGTGCATGAGAGCCAGCCATCAGGCCAGCCAGGCAGCAAGATGTTTCCAAAGCTTGCATTTTCATAGCAGTTAGATAAATACCTGCCAGGAATCAATCCCGATTATAAAAAAAGTGATTCAATCGGGTTATGTTTACCTTTTCTCATAACAAATATATATACACAAAGCTGCATCCACATTTTTTACTGGAAACGAAGATCAAAGCAGTTTTCTTCATATTTGGATTTTCTTCTAACAAGACCACAATGACACTAAAGGAAAGAAACCTTAAAATTTGTGGAATAGAAGTAACAAACTCAGCTTGAATTCAAAATGTCAGGTAAGCCATTTGAATTCTTTGCTATCATTCATTTGATTGTAATTTTAATTGTATTATTTAGTGGGTGACCATCCAAGTAAACCATCTGCTGATCTAGTGGATAGCACTGTGGACTCAAGTTCAAGAGTTCAGGGTTCAAGCCCAAGCTCTGGCTTGGTCATTGTGTTTTTGGCATGGCGAGATACTTACTCTTGCCTTGCATCTCCCCACCTTTGAGTTAACATGGGCACTGGCAAACTGACTTGGAAAGTTGTTTAGAAGTGATAGAATACATTTAGAGAAATATCCAGTAGAGGTCAGATACCTCCAGAAAGCTAAAGCCAGTTGTACTGTGAGTTTGACCAACTATTTACCTAAAGCTGCTAACAAACAAACATTACAACTTAAAGCACATGCTACTTAATTAACACCTTTGCAAGGTAACCATATCAAGATTTAGAAGGATTTGATGTTATTGAAACTGAAAAGTTAGTGACACAGGACTGTTTCATTGTGTTAGGTGTTATAAGAGCACTTGAAAGATGTCTTGTTCTCATGGTGCCTTTTCTCCTCTCCCTTTAGAGGAGAACACTGGTACTGGTGAACTGTAACATGACCTGCCCAAATTGATGAAAGGGAGGTGAACAGCACTGGCTGAGGCCCTATCTAATAGAAATACTCTAACCTATTTTGTTCCAGTTTAGAAAAATGGGACTTAAAATAGCTAATAGCATACAGTGTAATTTCTTAAGTCTTGAGAGTTAGAGATTTCTTTTCCTTTTTCTTTTGGATGAAATAAATGAATATTACTCTCCTGTTTGCCCTGTAGTTGATACTGTAGGTTTCAAATCTAGCAGTGTTAAAATGAAACCTTTCAGTTAGGACAAGAATATGATTTGGAAAATGTTCCTTCTGGATCAGAAGTTTGTTTTCTATTTAAAAGGACATCTTCTGATTAGAAAATCTCCAGAAGGCTCAGCTAACTAGTGAAGATGAAGTGTTGTATCATTTATTTGATAACCAGTAGTGTTCATAATCACTTAATAACCCCTACAGTGACATTGCTATTAATATGTAACCTATTACAATTTGAATGCATTGTCTTGCAAACAGGTAATAAGAATAGGGTTTTGTGTCAAAATAGCAACAACATCTCAGCTATTTTACAAGGAAAGTGTAGGAGGTAGAGGAAGAAAAACCAACTGGTTTTGACAGTTAAAAGGGTATTAGATTGAATTTAGATTTTTTTTTCAATTTTCAGAAAAAGAAAACCAAGTAGAACAGTTAGAACAAGAAATTGATCATCCACAGCCTCTTGCAGACATTTGTGTTTGCGATGATTCAATTTACAGAATGGCTCACCAACCCAGAGGCATAGCTGTCATTATAAATAACAAGACATTCCAAGAAAAAACCAGACAGATGTCACGTGAAGGCACAGATCTAGATCGGGATGCTCTGAAAAAGCTTTTTCACAAGCTCCTGTTCAAATTGGAGGTCCATAATAACAAAACCTCTGCTGAAATCCTAGAGATTGTGGAGAAAATGTCAAAACTAGATCATTCAAACTATGATGCTTTCATCTTCTGTATTTTGTCACATGGTGAAGAAGGTGTGGTGTATGGAACAGATGATACTGTTCCAGTGGAGAAAATAACCTCCAGGTTCACATCTACAGCTTCATTGGCTGGTAAACCAAAGATCTTCTTCTTCCAAGCTTGTCAAGGTATTAATTGTGATGTTTTTTCTGTCAAATTAAAATTAGGACGATGAAGGATGGAAGGCAGTGTTCAAGATTTAGTAAGTTAGAGTACATTATAGGCACTCCCTCCCCCCTTTAGATCAGACCTTCACACTTATGTTTGCAACTTTTGAATTATTTATCTTCCTTGAGTTATATTCTCAAATTTCACTGAAATTGGTCTTCACCTTGGTAAAGAAAAAGAGAAAGATGTTTTTTGCCTTGTCAAGAGCATGGGACAAAGAGAAAATCTTTCTTTATTCTTTACCTAGCTCAAAACCTTACCATCTCTCTTATTCTATTTACAAACATGATGCTATTGACATTGCTGATCCTAGCAGTATGCAGGACGTGTGTCATATGAACTTCCTAATAGACTTTGCCCACTGTGGAGTCTCTGTGGCTAAGTGGTAGGGCATCAGAGTGCGGAATCCATAGGTCTGAAGTGTAATTCCTCATGGGGACTCAGAATTTTCTCTTTGTCCTGCACTCATGACAAGGCAAAAAACATCTTTCTCTGTTAACAGTATACTTTGCTAAAGAAAGAGTTAAGCAATTTTTCAAGTGTTGATTGTACATATATCTTTTACTGCTTTGATAAACAATGGGTGGATACAAACTTATTTAAGACTCGAAAGATATAAAAATCAGTAACTACAATTTTGTAGAGTTGCTTAGCTTTTCATTTTTCTAGAAAAAAACATTTGAGATTGCAAAATTCAAGTGAAAAGCAAGCCAACTGTGATTAACACCTTGAACAACTGGAAGTCAAGATACTTTGTTTTCATCACGCAACAAGTTACAAAATGCAAATATCATTCTTCTTAATGCCTTTCCCGGTGTCACTGATGCCTTTCCCAATGCCTCTGTTGGCTAACCCTTTAACCCATAAGAGTGATTTTGGCTTTATGACAGAATTGTTTTTTGCAACTACAAATAATTTGTCTCTATATGAAGAATTAAAGTTGTTTTACTGCTGACCACTCACATTTTTGGACTATTTTTTTTCCGGGCTCATCGCCTGTGATTTAGTAGCTCCTAATTTAAAATGATTAGAGTATTTACTCTAATTTTCCCTACTTGCTATTGGAAGAATGATCTCTATGGCTACAATGAAAATGATCTTTTATTGGTCTTGTAGGTGAATCATTTCCTTTCATTGATTTGCAGGTCAGAAGTTTATGGAAGGAGTTGATATTCCAGATGGTGCTCAGCATGGCAAGAAAGCATCTGTCCCAGTGGAGGCAGATTTTTTATTTGCACACTCCACTGTAGCAGGGTACTATTCCTGGAGGAATTCTTCCAATGGATCATGGTTTATTCAGTCTGTAGCAAAAGTGTTGAGAGAGAATGCTGACCATATGGATCTCCTCAAAATGCTGACAAGGGTCAATTCTATGGTATCTGAGTTTGAGTCGCGTTCTCACATTCCCATGTTTAAGAACAAGAGGCAGATACCCTGTATTGTTTCAATGTTGAGAAAAGACTTTTACTTTTTCCCTGAAAAACTTGGTCACACAGAATTGATCAATCAAGAGAGGAATGGTGGTTCAATTTGTAAACTGTCTTAAGCTTCTAAAGGAAATGTAGTCACATAATTGCTTTGTCATTTACGCTTCAAAATCCAAGTTTTTGTATTGTTCTAACCTGCAAACACCTAAACTTCCCAAAGCACCATTTTTGTTATTGATAACCTGGTATACTGGAATATAACAAGCAGGAACTGTATCTTTTTAGAACAAAGGTAGACTTCCCCAGTAGCCACCTGAATGGTACAATAATTGCTTAGAATTTAGATTAATGTGAGTATGATATATATGAAAAGCAGAATAACCTTGTATCAAGATGAGCAGATGTGTTCTTGAAGCATCATGTATCAGATGACTTTTCAGGCTATTTTATTGCAATTTGAAACTTAAATTGCAAGGAAGGGCTGGAATCATTATTTCTTTCCTTGGTGAACTTAATGTATGGTTTGTTAAAACTAATGTTTGGTTAAAAGCTGCCTTTTTTAGGGTTAAAAAAAGTTAGGAAAGGGAATCTCAGGTTTTTTGCAACTAAACTGAATTTGACAGTTTCTAAGATTGTTTATTTATGGTGATGGTTTTCTACTTGTGCAATATTTTATATCATTGTAGTGACGCCATGTCTGCCGTGTTTGGCATGATGGAGGGGGTGTGTGAAACCATCTTCTTTGTAGTTAATATTCAATACTTATTTTGAACTTTTTGATTTAAAAAATCTCAAAAAATTGAATATACTGTTTGTTGTTACAGCAATGATGATAAGATTAATGATAAAAGATGATATAAATTTCTTAGTGTAAAGGTATTTTGATAATCATTAGTTAATATATTAATCTGAAAGTTGCGTATCATTAACTTGTGCACCAGTCCCAAGGCACGTTATTTCACAAAATAACTAGTCAAAAGAAAAAGAAATCTCTGATCTCTAACAGTCTTAAGAGAGTAGAATGATAACAACTGCTGACAGTGAACTTAGTAATGGTGTAGAAAGGTATTTTCACTCATCTGTTGTGTTTCACTTATATTTAAGCGCCATATTAATAATCGTCATGTACTATTTACTGTTTTTATTTGAAAAAAAGCTATTTATTTTGAAAGTATTTTGTAATGTATTGTTTTAAAAAGTCTTGAAAATTAGATTCCCTACATATTTGTTATGCTTGGCATACTGATGTACTACTTACAAAAACTTTGTTAAGACATATTAAATCTTTGCACAACTTAACACTCCCAACGCATGTATCTCCCAAGCATACTCCTTCCCCCTCTTTTTCCAACGTTGTAAAATCCTGTGCCAGGCTCACGATTGCAAGCAAAAAGCAAGAAAGTTCAGCTAGGTTTTTTTTCCCTCTTGCTTAACCCACCATGTCTCGGGTGCCTTTAAACTGAGTCTTTTGAACCAAGCAACATTTATTGAAGGTAGAGGGTTGAAGGGGGGGGAAGGGGTGGGAATGGCAATAAAAGTAACGTTGATGTTGGCGGTCTCTAGGTACATGACTTCAAAACACGTCTGCTTCGTTTTTCAGAACATGCAGATCAAGCTGATGCTAAATTGTTTTCATTTGGAGGCAGCTCTGGTTCCAAACCCTCTTCCAATACTTTGGACACGGAGACTGTATACAAGATGGACCAAGGAAAGCGGGGAATTGCCATCATCATTAACAACAAGGAGTTCCTGAGGAGTTCAGGAATGGATCGGTATCCTCGCAATGGAACAGACGTCGATCGAGATGGTTTGAGTAAGCTTTTCAGAATGCTTAAGTTTGAAGTGAGGGTTTACAATAATCTTACCAAGGCTGAGATACGTAACATTGCAAAGGAGATGGCGAATTACAACCATTCCAACTACAATGCCTTTATTTTCTCGATCCTTACTCACGGTGAAGAGGGTGTGATTTATGGTACAGACGGGACCCTTACCATCAAGGAAATCACATCAGAGTTCAAATATTCTGCGTCTTTGGCCGGGAAGCCTAAACTCTTTTTCTTCCAAGCTTGTCAAGGTGAGATCATTTAAAAATCAAATTTAAATGGTAACGTGCAGTATTTCAACAAAATAACACCCTTGGTTGAGCTGAATGGAAATCAATTGTGGTTGTCTATTTGCAAAGAGAGGAGTGGGTTTGTGATCCATTATCAAAATTTGATCTCAAAATGTCTCTTTTCACTCAGGGAAACTTAACAAATTGCTGGCGAGTTACTTGCGATCGACTTCTATTCCTTTTAGAAGTTACAGTGTTCTTAATTACTTCTCGCTTCAGAAACTTAATTGGTTGAGAAAATGGCGCGAGTATTTTTTTGTTCTAGTCACACAGCGGAATGAGGCAAAACCCAATCAGTCCCAGACTCTTTCCAACACCCAATTGAAACCTGCCCTAATTCAATGCAATCCCAAATTATGTCCGAATTTCATTTAAAATTTTTTTTTGAAAATCCTCTTTTTTATTTCCAAATTCCAAGGCCACGAGTACATGGACGGTATGGACGTAACAGACGCCCCGCAAGATAATCGAGTCTCTGTCCCAGCTGAGGCAGACTTCCTTTATGCCTACTCCACTGTGCCCGGTTACTACTCATGGAGGAACTCTGTCAATGGATCGTGGTTCATTCAGTCGCTGACAAAGGTGTTTGAAGATAACGCGGGGCGCATGGATATCCTCCGCATGCTGACCCGTGTCAACGCCATGGTGTCCACTTACAAGTCGCGAACTGGCGACTATTACTCTGACAGCAAGCGCCAGGTTTCTAGTATTGTTTCCATGTTGCGCAAGGAACTGTATTTCTTCCCTGAAAACATCGAGCACAGTTAAATCAGACCGTGTTGTTACTTAATTTGGATTGTATTAATGTGAGTAATTTACTTAGTATTGATGATTTAAGGGAGTCGTGCCTAGACTTGAAGGATGTCTAAAGAACTACGTCAAAATATTTAAAGTCATGTTTTGTCTTGGGAAAAATTGCCTTCCCCTTGAAAGAGATTTAAAAATATAGAAACAAATACAAAAGATGTAATAATAAACGGAGAGGAAATGAGGTCAGCTAAGGATGGAGAAAAATAAAAGGATTTTGAGATGTCAAACTTGAGAAATGTAGTCTAATTTTTTCAAGATCCATAAAGCTGGCCGTCACATTAATAACAACATCTTGAGAAAGTTTGGATTAATTTTATCTTTGCGAAGATGCATTATTAACCAGTAAATGTTTGGTGTTAGCTTATCTTCTTTCGTCTTTATCTCTTCCTCCACATGACTGAAATTATCTTGACGTAGGTCTTCTGACGCAAAGGCTCAGGAGCCCGGCTCTCGAAAGGCTCGGTTACATTAGGGTCCCGAAGCCATTCTAACGAATAGCATTGTGGGTCTCAGCTCAAAAACGAGGCCATTCTTTACGTTTCCTGAAATTTCATCGCGCGCCTGAGTCTTGAATGTAAACACGAGAACTAAAAGGCCTTTTACGTGCACGGTGATTATAGGGACTTTCGAGAAACGGGCTCATGGATAGACATATCGAAAGTGTCATGTCGCTTTGGTGTTCTTTGAATTTTGGTGGATTTTTTGGTGTGTTTAGGGCCAAAAGAAGTTTGTTCATCGGTGATATTAATGTAGTGTTTATAGTAGATTTCAAAAGCTGATTTCCAAGCTGAAAGATACAGATTATTGCCTTTATTCTTGCCTAGTAGGGTTACCTTTCTTTTTAAAGGTTTCCCTTTTATAAAGAATATCTAGTATTGTCGCGCTTCCAGCGGAAGTGAGATCAAATTAGTTATTAAGCTTGTTTGTATTACCTATTCGAAACTAGCATTTGTAGGTTTGGTCTCATTTGTAGGTTTGGTCTCAGATGAAAATTTGATTATTTTAGTGTGGAGTAGATTTCTCATGAAACCTATGTTATGCCTAAAATTGGTTACTACTGCTGTAATGATTTTCGATCTTCCTTTCACAACAGAAATGTACTGTTTTGTTTCTTATGTATATCAAAATTAAAGAAATAGCGATGTCATTTTCCTCGGTTTCTATCATTTTTCGTACCATTTAGCTAGTATTTGTCATTTAATGTGTTGTTCTTCTCCCTGGTAGTGTTTAATTTTATATCTTCCATAAGATAAGTTAATTTAAATTTGGAAAAGAACTCACATTGAAAAGAAGTCGGATTGTTCAAAATACGATTTCTATGGGTCATGTTTAGAGTAACGTTTATTTAGCTATGTATTTTGTAGTGTATGAAAATAGAGGAAAGTTCCGCACTCGGACCGAATGCGCTGATGACAGGAAAATGTCAAAGCAGTGTCAAAGAAACTTGTTTGGCATGTTTTCATCGTGAAATAGATCAAGGAAAATTAGGAAAGTTGTCTAAGGTATGTCGTATGTAAGGGGCGAATAAATGGGTGTTTTTATAAGAGTTTCAAAACATTGCTGTTTTTCTTTGTTTTGTAATCACCTGTACAATCATCAGCTTTTGCTTCAGGAAAAGAGGCAAGTGGACTTCTCTGGAATCTAAACCAATCGCTTCTGGAGTTGCCGTTCCTTTTTTATTTTCTCTAAGCCCAGTTCTCTTAAAGTATATGAAACTGCTGCACCCATGCATGCTCAAAGTCCATCTTTACTAACTAACTGGCTTGCAATCGATTCACCTCAAGCGGGAACCTGAAAACAGCGTAAAAGCTGCGAAAAAGGCCGTCACTTATCCCTTTTTCTTTCACTTCCAAACTACCAGGAGCACTGGAAGGTGCACTGGAAAAAATCTTAGTATTTTCTTCTGGTTTATAAATTACATTTTTGATTAGTTACGATGAATCGTAAGTTCTCGTACACAAAGTGAATTTTTGTTCTTTTCTTCTTCCACTGGCGTAGCGAACCGTGTGCTCTACTTTGAGCACGCGCAGAAGTCAACCAAGTGCAATACTGAACAGTGTAGACATCCGCAATTGAAACCGGAACCTCACGATTTCTGTGATAAAAATTCGATTATCCTAGAGGGTATTATTTGCCTAGGTACGTCATGTATGGGGAATTATAATATGCTGGGTACATAATATGCATTGGGGATAATAATTCCTCATACATGATCTACTTACCAAATGATTTAGGGACTATACCGCTGACAAGAAGCCAAAATGACCCTGGGCTTGAGATTGAGCCCAGCCCTTTCAGCATGAGACGCCATTGCGCATACGCGCATGTATAAAACCGCATGTAAACTATGACATTTATCGTGCTTGATACGTTCTCTAAACCTAAATGATGCTAAAAAGTGCTCGGAAATGCAAAAAGTGCACGATGTTGCTGGAATTGCAAAAAGTTGCTCCAAACGCCAAAGGTTGCTCCAAAGTTGCCGAGCACAATCGGAATAGGCCTACCCGTTGCCCGGGGGATAATAAAGCTTCAAATCGACCGACGCACAAGTAGGTCATCCGGCCGTTTTCTGTTGCTAAAAGCAATAAGGTGTATTATTAAGTAAGATCACCAAGCTCCAGAAGGTTGTGGACGTCTTTACAGTTAGTTCTTTAGAAGCCTGGGCGTATTTTGCATTTTCAGCGGTGACTCCTTAACTCGGAAATCCCGTGATGCACAGTTGTACTCACTCATACCACGTGGTTTTCTGACGGTCGTTTGGACGCCATTTGTTGGAAGAACCTTTCATTACATTACTTTGACAGATATCCAACATTTATAATGACAAGCCTTGACTCCCAAACCTCCGAGGTAGGTCTAGACATTAATTGTTTCTTTTGCTGTTGGCTGAAGGCGTTGTCGAGAGCAGTGACATAGAGATAAAGTCGCTTTCATCTGCGTAGCGAGCGAGGAACTTGGGTTGCTTGAACGCGGGATTTTTGTTTTGCAGGAGAAGTTATGTTCGAGGTATCATTCCAATAACACACGCTTCGAATTTTAATTTCTTTAGCTAAACAGATCATTTCATAGATCTTGCATTATGAAATCAATAAATTCATGGATGGTAGTTGTAGGCTTCAAGTAAGCAAAAACTTCGCTTAGACATTTGACAACTGGGCCTACATGATCGAGATGATATCAGACCTCTTGGCCCAAATTTGATGTGATTTGTATTGGTTTCTTATTGTGAAATTCGTCAACGTTTGAATTTTAGGAACTTGTCGAGTGTTTGTCTAGAGATACGCTTTTGACCGTTTATTTTCTCGTAGACAGAACAAGGTATTCAAATTAACAAGCGAGTTTCCTTGGTGGATCTGTTTGGACTAAAGAATAACCGTTTCCTAATATTTAGACTCTTGCAAATCATATCCATTTAGGATGTGTTAAATTTATTTTTCCGTATATTTCTCAAGTTTATTTGATTTTACATACTTACTAAACCGATATGTTGTCAAATATCTCTTGGTCAGGGAAGTTTGATTTCCATGGATGTTTAAGGGGAGAATTGGTTGAAGTTGTTTTATTAAAGGTAGTAATTGAAGCAAAATTGATTGATTGGTTTTCACCTGCAATTTGGGAAGAACTCTACAATACCACTACAACTCTGACAGGATTAATCAAGGAACTGAGAGCTTAAACCTTAACTCCCAGGATCTGATTATTAATTCTCCCCTCTAGCTGCTACACATTTCCTTGTAAATTAGTTGCAAGAATTTGGTGTTAAATCAAGATAACTTACACCTGATGCATTTAAGAACTCTCATTACCTGTTTGCTGAATAGTGGATGGATATTGTAGGAAGAAGTTACATGTGAATCACTTCTGGGATTTCAAGGGTTAAGGAGGGTCATCATTGAACACTACATTGATTGGTTTGAACTGTGGATCTTAAAAGGAACACATATGTCTACATTATACAAATGTGTCAGATGTCCAAGCCTTCTCAGAGGTTGTCAATTATTTTTGAAATGATGAGAAACAGTTCATTCCATATAACAAAATTACATTCACAAATGAAATGGATTGCCAAATCGAAACAGTGTTATTGGAAGTTTAATGATTGCAGGTAATATCTTGTAGAGAAGTATATGCTAGTAATATTTGATAGAAGCAAAATTACATAAATGCTAGAACAAGAAAGAAGAGTATTCTTCTTATATTTCATCAAATCATGTGTCATGATACACAGGGAGATTCAGATAACATGAACCCTGAACCAAGAGAACAATTTATTGTCCGTGCCCGTGGGTTGCCTTGGTCAGCAACTGCAGATGATGTTGCAACCTTTTTTTCAGGTGAGAATTTATTAGGATTCAGTGTTTTGCTTGTAAATTGGTAGGAAAGCTGTTGTGCAAAGGCAACTGTTTTTACAAGAAGTCAAGAATTTAATCAAATTTGTAAAATTGGATTAGTTTTCCTTCATGCTGATGGCGTAAAACTAAGCCAACATATTTTTTGTAGGGTGTAACATTAGAGATGGCCCAAAGAATGGCATTCACTTCACTTACAGTTCTGATGGACGTCCAAGTGGTGAATGTTTTGTAGAGCTTGTATCTCTTGAAGATATGGAAAAGTAAGTGGGGGAAAAAAAATAGAAAGAATAGTGTAAGCTGTACTTTTTGAATTGGGTTTATCTGATGGGATTCTATTCTAACAATAGTTGGCAATAAGAAATGCCATGGAATGGTCAATTTGTTTTGAAATGCTGCATCAAGTCCTCGCTTTTATTCCCCCAAAAATGAAAGTCCTAAGTTAATTATGGATGCAATTTCTGAAAACTCATTTATAATGAGTGTTCTACCAGATTTGAAAAAAGGGAGCTCAGTATGGCACCAATAACTATGAGACTCACGATCTGTTCAGTGTAATTGGCCTTGGTCAAATTGATCTTTTCTTGGCAAAGTTTGGATGTTAAGGAACAGGAAAGCTATTAGTGTGAAATACTTGTAGTGCTAGATGTGTTTGAAATGCAGAGTTGTCATAGGCAATCACTAAATTTGATCTGATTGAAACTTTTTTCCCTCCTTCCACAGAGCTTTGAGCAAGCGTAACGACTTTATCGGCAAGAGGTATGTTGAAGTGTTTGAGTGTAAGAATGGTGAAATGGAGTTCACCTGCAAGAGAATGGGACAACCACCTGATCAAGGACATGAAACTGTTTTGCGACTTAGAGGACTGCCATATAACTGTTCCAAAGAGGAGATTGCCCACTTCTTTTCAGGTATAAATACTTTTCTTCTTCAGTTATTAATATTGCTTATGATGTTTTGTTCATTCTTGTGGTCACATTGGGTTGTACCTAAATGTTACCACACCAGCTAGTCCTGTTTCTGAGGGTCTGCCAGAGTGACTGGAAATTCAAATTAATTAAATATTTTGATTGTCTATAGAATGTGTCCTGGAGGGAAACATTTTTTATGGTTTTACAATGTCATTCACCAGGAAAAGCATCATATGAAGGGCTTTTAAGGTTAAGGAATACAGAATAAGTTTTCTTGTGATGCTGTTGAAGAGCTTGAGAACTTAAAATGTTTCAAATTGGTTTTCTATCATTATTTTAGGTTGATGCAATGAACCCCAACCCTAACCTTAAGCAATTGTAAATTTTTTTCTCTTCATACATCATTAATGAATTTTTAACAATGATTTTAAGCAGTGTGTTTCAGAACTGTTTGGGTCCACAAATTATATGTTCGACCATTAACTATTCAAGGACCTGATATGGCCAAACATTTTCTGAAAACAATTCCCTTGATGTACATGCTGAATCATTTTTAATGAGTTGTTGAACTGAATTTGACACCCAATGTGACCACTGTGTCAAAGTAGTATTTTTAGTTCGTATTTCAAGCAAGGTGTAGTATATATATTTGAACCCTCTGCTCTAAAGTTTGTAATAATTTTTTAGTAGACTGTGGTGGGATTGTGTGATTAAATTTTGTTGTTTTCTAAAAAAAATGCAAGTTGTTGTCATCATAATCATGCTACAGAACCAGAAAAGTAACCAGCCAGTGAATATTATATATATATAACTTTATGAACGCATGGAAGAATAATTCAGAAAAACTAATGTGCATGTTGAAATTAAGGTCCAGTTAGCTTGCTTTTTACATCCCTTTTTTTATCATGCCTTTCAATTTGGAAATATAGTGGTGGAAGCAGACATTTTTTGTAATCTGTCTCAGTGCTTTTGGGAAGGGGGATTAATATTGGATTAAATATTCACATATATGAATTGCTCAAGTTTGTTTGAGTATCCTTGTATCAGAATTGCTTGACAAAGTTTTGTATTTTACCATCCTTTGAATAAAACAAAGCTTGCCATCGTCTGCTTTCATCAAAAATCATTCCCCAGTTGCCTATAGTAACCCTTGCACTAATAAGTGGGTGTATGTAATAGTTGTTGGTTTACATGCTTTGCTCTCTACTGGAATTCAAAGGGCTGGAGATAGTTCCCAATGGGATAACAATCACTCTTGACGAGGACGGGAAGACCACGGGGGATGCTTTTGTGGAATTTGCTTCTCCTGATATAGCTCAGCAGGCTCTGAAAAAAAACAAAGAAACAATAGGGCACAGGTGGGGATAGTTATGGTGCGGAGGGTCTGAATGTGACCATGGGCACAACTCTATATTTACTGTTATTCTGGTTGGTTGGTTGGTTTTGTACAGTACTTATATGTTACATGTATGTGTTTCACAGTGCAAATTTATTTCTTTAATTTATATAGAGTCGATTTTTTTAATTTGTTGCACCCAAGAGTCATTAATGTGATATAGTGCTGTACAGCATTCTCTGACAGTAGACCATTTGGCTGTCTCTAACAAATATATCTCACCAAATTGCACTGTGAAACATAGTTAGGTAGGTATTCTGATCTGTATTCTGTGTGTGTTGTTTAAGAATTTCACAAATCAAGACTGATAACTATGCTTATAGTATGTTGCTTTTGTTGTTCTTTTTTGTTGTTGTTTTTTTTTTTTGTTTTTTGTTTGTCTTTTTTTTACCTTAGACTATGTGTGTAACTTGAATCATGCTATTGCTATGAAATTAAATTTTGAGTACTCAAGATTTAAACATTAGGAAATGTTAATGCTTTAAGTTGAAGACCACAGACACTTTATTGAGGACCAAAAGACTTTTTCAAGTCCCATATTTTGTGTATGTTTAATCAGTCAGCTTTTTGTTGAGGGTTATCAGGATAAATCCATAATTATCTGCCTTTGCTCTCTGGATAATTTTAAGTGTGATTCAAAATTTTTGTTCTTTTAAAGTGTTTCTAAATTGTAGCTTGATTTCAGCAAGTTTATGGTTATTTTTTCTTTTTGTAATGAATGTTACAAACATGTATGTGTGGTGCAGACTTAAGGATATCCAATTGTGATGCACACATTTTCAAACTCCCTCAGTCTAATTTCTGTGTGTTACTACTTTCAGAATTTACTGACTTGTAGCATAATCACCATGTACATTTGTGTAACACTAGGCCATTTCAGCAAAATTTCCTAACTACCCTCAAAATGCTATTTAACTATTGCATATCATCAGAATAACACATTTTAAAATCATGTTCATATCTATTTGCATTTTTATTTCTGTTTTTCATTGTACTTTGTTCTCGCTTGAGAGGCCACGAAGTGTGTTTTCAATTTGTTGTTGAGAAATCAAATGTAATGCAATGAGACATCATCGTACTTTGGACCTTGTGGTTTCCTCATTAAAACCCCCTGAAAATTCATGGAAACACCCTGCAAACAACCAGGGGAGGTTACAAAGTCTTCCAGTACGGTTTTGAATAAGAAACCAAAGCAAGATTGCTCAAAATATGGCCTGACTTGGTTCGTGTTTGATTCCTTTTGCGTGTATAATTCAATTGCTGTGCTTTGAATTACACAAGGCAAGACAACAAGAATGTTTTTGAAAAGAGTTATACTCATTTGTGCAACGTCTGATACCCAGAACTCTAAGTTTTTTCAGCAAAATAGTAGCATTGGTGAATGAACTTTCATGTTACAATGTTTGAATTGTCAAGATTCGGCAGCAGCCAAGATATGAATTGAAGTGTATGTATGAAACGCTGAATTTCAATCCATTGTTTTGCATAATAAATGTGTTTTCGAAATAATAAACTGCCCATTACTCGGCTGCTTTTGAGCTTTAATGGCATATTATTGGACAATCGGTACTGACGATGATGTACTTTTCTTTGAACTAGCTAATCTCTTAACTAGACTTTCATTTATATTTACAAATTCACTCAGTTTTATTGTGTGGTACTTGAAAGGAGGGGTGCATACATATTCCCACAACACAAACCCAGCCACGATATTTTCGCCTTGCTACCTCAAAAATTAACAGTTTAGACTGAAATTTTGGCAAAAACAAGGTAAAACAAATACCTTCAAGTGGGTATGATTTTACTTATTCAATGGAATATTGCGATAAACATATTTTACTTTTTCTAGCAATATATGCAAATGAAATGTTACTCATTACATGCATATTTGAGGGAAATTTGCCCTATTTTTTAGGAATACCTCACTTTTAATTTATAGGAATTTTTTTTTTCAGGTGATACCTAATAATTAAACATCTTTACATCTAACTGCAAAGTTATATTTTAATCCATTCAATATTTTAGCGCAGAGTAGAAATTTTACTTGAGTGACCTCAAATGTACATGGTGATTGTGCTACAGGTCACCATCCATACTTGATGTAGCATTTTATCAGTTTTGTGTGATATTGGGCCTTGTAGTATAGCGCCTTTTATTTCCTGAATATTCTAATGATTTTGTTAGAACTGAGTTGCATGTTCACAAATTTTCAACTGCTTTTATCTCCATCTTTATAATGTAAACAGATTAGTTATTGCTGTGAATCAAAGGCCACTTGACTGTTCAAATAAAATATCATAAAGGGTCAGCGATAAAAATGCATTACACAGCCATTTTTAAATTGTTTGAAAAGAGATGTTGTTAGTTAGCCTAAACTCGTTCTATTTTCACTGTATGACTGGTTAACTAGTTAAATTTTACCTACAATGATTGGTTAAATTGTAAGGAAAATTCTCTTTCATGTGCTTACATCTGTTGGTGTACATGTAGTTACTATTATTTCTCATGTATTCCATGCACCCAAATGAACATGCTCTAATTTACATATGCTTAACTCTTTTTTTTTAGATACATTGAGATATTTAAGAGCAAAAAAACAGATATCAAATACGTTTCTGCCCCAAAACTTAAACCTTTGATGTCAACCAGACCTGGACCCTATGACCGATCCGGAGGTTTTGGTGGAGGAAGAGGACGATTTGGTGGAGGTGGAAATGAAAGAAGGTAATGCTGATAACCTCAAATGTTGCAGTTTTTATTAATGTACATTGTAAGATTGTCAAAGCTCCATATAATATGATGCCAGTCAAAGTTCTCTTGCACTAAATCAAGAAGTATAGCCTCAGGGATTCCCTGAGGACTCCAGTAATTCTTTCCACTTTTTTGTGTAGTGCAAGCTATTTAATTGGTGTCTCTCTCCACTTATCCTTGTAATATGCCATTTATCTCCTATTCCCCCTCTCCCTCTTTGAGATTACCATTAATAAGTTAGTGGCAGCCACTTGCAGGCTATCTATTAGTTATCTTCTGCAATCAGTGGCTGTTTGGAATGATTTTTCAGGAACTTTCTTCTTACTTGTCTTTCTGAGGCAAATGTAATACAGGAAAAGTATTCATTTCCACAAAAAGATTTACCAATTGATGTTTTAAACACATTCAAAGTCACTACTAGCATTACTCATCTCTTATTTCAAAGGAATTGCAGGAGTGACCAAAAAAAAAGGAATTTCTCCTTGCAGTCTTGATATATTTTCAAGCAGAAAAGTTAAGAGAAGTAAGAAAAATTTGAGTAAGAAAAATTTGGGGATGTCCATTGATTTCAGACCAAATTTGTAGATTTTAAGTTGTAAGAAATGTACAGTAAACAATGAGGACAACTAATGAATAGATATTGGGAGGTAAAAGGTGAAAAGAAGTTCCTTACCAAACAGATACAGGGGAAGAGGTAACCTTGGAGGTCCAGTCTTTGGTGGCGGCTATGGTGGTGACTTTAATGGATATGGAGGTGGACGTGGGGGAGGTGGTCGAAGTGGCCGTGGTGGCAGAGGATCATCTGGCAGGGGTGGATTTCGTCATGGAAGGGGTGGTGGAGGAGGTGGTAACTTTGGAATGATGTCAAGCACTGGTCACACTGTTCACATGCGAGGACTACCATATGCTGCCAAGGAGAGTGATGTTAAACAATTCTTCATGCCTCTTAACCCTGTCAGTGTATGGATGGAATATGATAATGGTTCTTTCAATGGGCAAGTGGATGTGGACTTTGCAACACATGAGGATGCTCAAGCAGCTATGCTAAAAAACAAATCATCAATGGGTAGGAAGGTTCATCTTCTTCTAATTATCGAAGTAATAATCTCTATGGTTATTGTTGTCTTCTTATTGTTAGTTGAACTGTGTAGTGACAAAATTATGATACTAAGGTTTTAAAGTAACATCATATTTATACTTTTTCACCTTGGTCACCATTACAATATGGAAATAAGTGCTTACAGACATTCAAGAAAATGGAATAATTTTGATTCTCATAATTCACATTTGTGCCTTGTTTTCAGGTCATCGTTACATAGAACTGTTCTTGCGATCCAATCCTGAGAGTGGAAATAGCCAGGGGTGGGGTGGCTCAGGAGGAGGACACAACTTTAGTGGTGGACATGGTGGTGGAGGTAGTAATTACAGTTATTTGGTTTGCATACATAATTTTACCCTTTTGATATTTACATCAATGGATAGTGTCCTTAGTGTTCTCTATACACCTCTTATTTTATTGACAAGGAGAATATGTGCAATAATCAAAAGCTTCTTTAATTGAAAATAACTTCCTATATTCTCAAAGCCTTTTTTTTATTTGGCAGTGATACTTTAAGGATTAATTAACTTTTAGTCACTCCAGGGGGTTGAAGAGTAAGTGTATGTATGTGCTAGAGTAGCAATAGATATCCCTGGTCATTTTTTGTGGAATACAAGGATAGAATGCTAGACAAAAATCCAGAAATGCATTTCAAACAAGTCTACATTCAGGCAGTGGGGGCAACTAGTCTGAAAGGCAGACATGACCTTTTTAGAGCATCATCCTCTATCATTCTATTATTATAAAGGGTATTATATTTGAGCTATTAAACTGTTTGTTCAAACTAACTCTTCTATCTTGTCAACAGGTGGTAACTTCAGAGGAGATAACTTTGGAGGAGGGAATTTCAGTGGTGGTGGGGGAAACTTCAATGATGGTGGCAACTTTAACAACTTTGGTGGTGGTGGAGGTGGTGGAAATAATTTTAACAACCAAGGTAATATGGGAGGATTTGGTGGCCAAGGAAACCAGAACACTGGCTTCAACAACCAGCAGCAGCAACAGCAAGGTGGCTTTGGTAATCAGATGCAAGGTGGTGGTGGTGGGAATTTTGGAAACCAAGGCAACACCTTTGGTAACACTGCTTCAGCTGGGTTTGGTTCCGCCCCTAGTGGTGGAAACTTCACCTCACAGTCTAACTATGGGCAGAGTACTAACTATGGTGCTTCAGGTTACGGAGGGCAGATGTCATCAGCTATGAACACAGGGATGAACACAGCAATGAACACTGGCATGAACACAGGGATGAATACAGCCATGAACTCAGCAATGAACACGGCCAGTTATGCAACTCAGGCAGCCTTTAGCAATCCCGCTCAACAGAACACTCCTTTTAATCAGCAACAGCAGCAGCAGCAACAACAGCAACAACAACAGACAGCATATACAGACAGCTCAGCATATGGGGCATCAGCTGGAGGATCATTCTTTGGTGGCATGCAGACACAAATTAAGCAGGAGCCCCAAGCCACAGCCAACCCAGGCATGGTGTCTTATCCTGGATATCAGTGATTTGTTTTACCTGCTATGACATACAAAGGACAAGTGTTTATGTAACCCTTTTATCATCTGCTCCAGAGGAACAATTTTAAGGAGGCAGCATAGGGCATGTGTTAGATACCTGTGTATTATATTACAAGTAACAAAACAAGATTAAGTTGCTGTTGCTTTTAGTTGTTATTCATTGATTTTCGTATCATGAACATTGTCTGGTTATTTACTTCACTTAATGTTCAGCTCTACAAAGTAGCTGGCAGACCATGTTTTGTTTAAGGCACTTTTTGTTTTCCTTTTGATCCAAAATGTGGCTTCTAAAGCACATTTGTTTTATATAAACATGTTTGTACTGATTTTAGTCACTTCATTTAAATCTTTGCTGTGCGTTTAGTTAGCTATCAACTGAAAGCAACGAGAAAAGGGAATAAACTTTGTATAAGTTTATCGACGCAATGAAGATATTTAACAGGTTTTCAAGAAAAGTAATGTTAATATGGCGATGTGACCTTTTTTTTAGCTTTCTAGGACCCATATGGGTTTCGTAATAAATTGATTGGTTTACAGCACTGCTATTTGCGTGACTCTTTTGTTTCTTCTTGTTACCCTCTTGTTACCCTTTGAGGTGTTGTTTGGTTCGCCTTTTTGCTGCTTTAGCAGCCAAATCCCGGATCACTGAAATTACCGATTGTGTATTTTAAAAAAGTTTTCACAAGACGAAAAAAAATCTTTCTTTATTTCTTTACCAAGCTCAAAACTTACCATCTCTCTAATTTCTATCTACAAACATTACGCTGTCGACATTGCTGATCCTAGCAGTATGCAGGTCGCGTGTCATATGAACTTCGTAATAGACCTCGCCCACCGCGGAGGCTCGGTGGTAGAGCATCGGAGCACGGAATCCAAAGGTCTGAGGTTCGATTCCTTATGGGGACTCAGAATTTTTTCTTTGTCCCACGCTCGTGACGAGACGAAAAAACATTTTTTTTAATAATGTAGAAATTGCAGGAAAGCGAAGTAAAGCATTCAAAACAACCCAAATTTACACAAAGATACTTTGGTTTGGATGCCCAACACGCAAATTTGCTCTCGAGCAGGTATCTTTTCACAATAAGATCGCGAACTTAAGAGAGTCTCAAAAGAGCTCTTCTGCTCTTTTAGTTTCCCTAAAGAGCCCGTTCTCTTTCAGTTTGAAGAGCTATCATCACAGGAAAACCAACGCCTATGTATTTTCTTTTCCTGAGCCAATTTTAAACCTGAAACCCCTGAGAGTAATTGGTCTCTAATTTCTCCTTACCGTATCGCCCCTTAATCGAATATTAAGGTCACGGGAAAAAGAAAGAAATAATCACTAACTAGGAAGCTCTTGCTTGTTAAACAAATTCTTCTTTTAGGCGCCTTAGGAAATGTAAAAAATAGTGTGGAAAATATGGGTATAGATGTTAGGGTGTAAAGGGTTAATCTTTAGCAACTTGCCAAGAAAGTGGCAAACCTCACTATAAGTAGAACTTCATCATCGATGAGCAGTGACAGGGCATCAACAACTTTACCACAAAACACCTTCCTTACGGTGACCAGAAACTGCAGCGGGAATGACAGAGGGACACAGAGTATGTCATATTGTATAAGGTTAGAACAAGTGGCTTTGTGAACCCTTACAGTGCAGGAAGGGCGCGTTTCTTATTAAATATTCCGCACGAAAAGTTATTTTCACTTTGTTTGTAACCGTTAATGGATTTCCCACGTTTCGAGGAACCATTGTACTGAAGAGGAATTTCACGCCCTAACATTTTCACTTGAGTGTAACATGTCATGTGAGGTGTGCGTTTCAGCTGAGGAACAATCGTAACACACTTGATGTACTCATCTCGTGCCACTCGCGAGAAATCTTGGTTGTTGGTTTGATTCTAGGCTGTCCATGGCATCACACATCACAAAAATCTGTGCCTCTTCATTTTACTATATTTATAATATTCGTCGGATCAGAAAGTATCGTTCACGGCAGTCATCTCAGATACTTGGCCATGCATTCATAACAAGTCGTCTTGACTATTGCATGGTCTTTTATATGGACTACCAGACTGCTTGTTGAATAAACTGCAACGAGTACAGAACGCTTGCGCCAGACTGATTTTTAGAGAACAGAAATTTTGTCATGTAACGCCTCTTATTTATTAATTACACTGGTTGACGATTAAATATAGAATTGATCTTAAAATACTTTTAATTACTTTTAAGATTCTTAATTTTTAGCGCCTACTTATTTATCTTCTCTCATTTCTATTAGGCTCCCATCTAAATATAATCTAAGGAATTCTAGTGATAACCTTTTACTTAGTTATCCGCGTTTTAAATCTAAAGATACACTAGGTGATCGTTCATTTACCTGTGCTGCACCGAAACTGTGGAATGCATTACCATTTGACATAGGAAGCGCCAGCACAGTTAGTGTTTTTAAAGCCAAGCTAAAAACTCACCTTTCCCGTCACGCATTGTTATTATAGTTGTTTTTATTATTGTGAGTTTACTTTTAATTGTAATTTTAGCTTTTTAAATTATTGTAAGTTTACTCTTAATTGTAATTTTAGCTTTTCAGCCTTTTTATTTCGTTTTTAATCTTGTCATGCGCATTTGAACATTTTATGGAATTAGCGCGTTATAAATGTCTTATTATTATTATTATTATGAGTAAATATTACGTGGTTTGTTTCCGCGATATTGTCTGAACTGCATAAACCAGTGCACAACTTATGTAAACTATATTTTCCCAGAAGAACACATAGCTTACGTGTAGCCGTACCCTCCGCCCTCTCCCCCCCTCCCCTCCCCCAGGTGAAACGGAAGCAGGTTAACTCGCCTCCGTTTCACCTTGGCTGGGGAGGGTACGGCTACACGTAGGCTAACTAGGCATACTACTCTTATCCCCAGGGCTCATCGATTATCGAAGCGAGGAGAACATTGGAACGAGAATCGAGGTGCAAGTGCATCTTGCTTTCCCCTGTCTTAACTTGATCGGTTGATCTTAAGAGTCAGTTGGATTGTTTTAAATGGAAAAAAAAGTTTTGATAACAAACGGCATATCGATCTACATTTGTGTCAAAAGACAAGTTTTCCAAGAAAATCAATTAATTCTTAAGTTAAGCTGTTTGGAATGACTTTCTTAAAGGAAATCGATTTCAGTTGAATTTCTTACCATTAAAGATTTTCAGGGAATTTTAATTCGGAGGTTGTTATCATGTATGAGTTCTCAGTTGCCCTGTACTTAGTATATTTGGACTTGATGATGTTGTCATGAGATTGACATCTGGATTGTTCTCCCGGCAGAGACTTAGCCCCGTGATTTTCGTAACCCTGAAATGGAATTTGAACGCCAAATGAAATAGAACCCAGAAATCTGAATGAGGGTGAGCATTTTAGGAACTTAAGCTCAATCACATGCACAACATATACGAGAGACTCGATGTAAAAGCCGTTCACTGGTCTGCACAGGTTCTGAAAGCTGGGATAATTTTATTAATTAGGACCAAAAAATTTGTTTTTATTGCAAAAGCGTAAGATTTGTCTCGGATGCCGACCTTCTGCCATGTCCCTGATGTGATGACATCATCGCTGTGCTTCACACAACAATCGCGAAAGCGAGGCATTCTTTGAAGGTCGCCATTTTGATTTGCCTAGGGATTCGGCTGCGTAATAAATATTGGAAGTTTGACGCTGATTTACAAACAGGATGAGCTTCCTATTGTGAGTTTCATTGATTTCATAATAACTTAGACATCACGGTCTTCGTTACTGCCAGCAGTACAGCAAATATTCTGAGATTTTCCCATAGTATCGTGTCGATTCAGAACAAAGTTTTCTTGTATGTGGGTATATTTGGGATACGTCCAACAGTGAACTGAACTAAACTATTTAGCTAAGGATGATATTCATTGATTTTCTAGCGGTGGCCGCTCTACAAAAACCTTCAAACCCAAGAAAAACATTCCCGAAGGGACTCACCAGTATGATTTGATGAAACACGCCGCCGCGACTCTTGGAAGCGGAAACCTTCGTCTCGCAGTTATGTTACCTGAAGGAGAAGACCTTAACGAATGGGTTGCTGTTAATAGTAAGTTATAAGTCATGAATTATTTGTCTTTTTTGTATTTTTAAAACACTTACGATGTTTATTCCCAATGAAATCTGATATGTTGCTTCTTTAGCGTTTTGGTTGTATATTGCTTCCACGTCAGAGTTTGTGTATCTCGCTTTCGAGTAACTAATCGACCTTCTTTCACCTTAAACTCAGCTGTGGATTTCTTCAATCAAATCAACATGTTATACGGAACGATAACAGAGTTCTGTACTGTCGAGTCTTGTGCCGTAATGTCTGCTGGTCCGAAGTGAGTGCACACATATTAAAAGTGATAATTATTGACTTAATTTTCTGTTGTTTATTTTCTCTCTTTTCTATGTTCTTCCATATCCAAATTATTACGATGTTATGTCCAAGTCTGAACCATAATGATCTTAGCAATTAAGTCTATGTGTTTTGGTTAATTTCCAGAAATTAAATAGAGTTGTGTTAAAAATTAAAACAAAACTAAGAGCAATTTTCTCTTCTTTGCACCAAAAAAAAGACAGTCAGAGACTGCATGTGGCTTCTGGTATAGCACAATTTTTATAGCATTGGAAAGAACTAGAGGTTGTATAACCAAGCTAGAAGCTTGTGTTGCAGAATATTGTCTCACATGGAAAACAGAAAACTTGCTGCATTCCACATTTTATGAGTACCTTGTTCCACAAGAGAAAGATGATTTGAAAAATATATTGAAGAAATGACTCTCTACCAATAACTAAATGGTAACAGATAATTGTATTAGCAATAATAATAATAATTGTAGCAATAGTAATATATTTCCAAAGGGTCTTGATATTAGAAGGCAAGTCAAGAATTTAAAGAAAGCAACAAAACTTTTGAGTCTGTAAAACATGTTTCAACAGAAACTTCTGTCATCTTCAGTTAATTACTGTACAAAGCATTGAAAGTTGAATTATATAGTAAGTAGAACAATGCTAATTAAGATGAATAGTGACAACAAGAAAAGAGGTAAAGGATGAAAGTGTGAGAATTAAAAAGATAGATTTCTTTTTAATTCTCACACTTTCATCCTTTACCTCTTTTCTTGTTGTCACTATTCATCTTAATTAGCATTGTTCTACTTACTATATAATTCAACTTTCAACGCTTTGTACATAAAGGTGTTTTACAGACTCAAAAGTTTTGTCACTTTCTTTAAAAATAGTAATATAATAGTAATTAGAAGGGGCTAGGGCATAACTCTCATGGTTCCCCAATCTTTTGGGCTCCAAAAATGATTACCTTTGAATAAAGGGAGTAAGTTTCCAAAGAAAACCTGTGCTTCTATTAATTTTGCCTCTTAACTATAAATAATTTTCTTATTTTATTAACATACCATTGTTTGAGACTATTGTTTCATACAAAAAGAGATTCTCTACTATTTCCTTATGGGATTCAGTTTTTCAGATGCCTATCATACTGTTTTAAGACTTTTTTTTTCAGTTCCCTTTTAACCTTTCAGGTATGAATACCATTGGGCAGATGGAACAACAATAAAAAAGCCGATAAAATGTTCAGCTCCAAAATACATTGATTACCTTATGACATGGGTTCAGGACCAACTAGATGATGAGACCCTCTTTCCATCAAAAATAGGTAAGAGGTGGTAACTTTGTTGTCAATGGTAGCAATTGCATAATGTTACAAAGAAGAAAATTTGGGTTTCATGAGACCCAGTTTGGTTTATGAGGTTGGATGGTGGAATAACTGAAATACTGGGAACTTTGGGAAAGTCTCTCTCATATTTAGAGGTGATAAGCATCCTTCATTCTTAAATTTGTCATGAACAACAATAACAAAGTTTTCTTACAATTCAACTATGATTTTCAGTTAATTGAGAGGCAACTTAAGTTTGGTGACCATGTTTTGACATAAGTATCATGATGCACAGGTCTTGAGTTACCATTGCATATTAGAGTTGTACATAAGATTGCTCCTGACAACACTTTATTGTATGGTCAAAACCAAGTGACCAAACTTTTTTATGCATCTCACTCAATTAATAATTATAGTATGTATATAATGGCTCATAGCTTTGAGGATGTTCATGGAAATATGGATAACTAAGCTGAAGAGCGAGAAAGGATTAAAACTATTTAAAAACTCAATCAGGTTTCTTTGTTGATCCAGGGCCACTGCTCCTTCCTTGGCTCCCCTGATATTCTCTTATTCTTTCATGGCAGGTGTTCCATTCCCAAAGAACTTTCTGTCCATCGCCAAGACAATCCTCAAACGACTGTTCAGAGTTTATGCACACATATACCACCAACACTTCCTCCATATTGTAGGACTTGGGGAAGAGGCTCATCTAAACACGTCCTTTAAGCATTTCATGTTCTTTGTTCAAGAGTTTGGTCTGGTTGACAAAAGAGAGCTGGCACCGCTTCAGGAACTTATAGAAAAACTCACAAACAAGGATAAAGTTTAGTTGTCTCTTACTTTGCATTAAAAAATGTTGTTGGTAGTGTATACTTGTACAAAATTTGATTTAGTGTTGGAGCAAACTTAGATTTTCAGGGCAATGCAGTTAAGGTTACCTAATAATCTGCTTTAGCTTATGGCATATAGCTATTAAGCTAAAATAGTAATTTTTCATGGTGGAAAAGTGCTAAATTTAACTACAAAAAAAGATAAATTTTCAATTGTTTCATTTCTGTATTTGTCTATATCATGCTGAATGTCAACATAACTTTAAAGTCAAATTATAAATAGTTGGTTCAGTAACGAATTTTAGTCTTAATATCTAGACATCAATTTCCAGTTCTGTCTGTCATTTATTTTCCACAGATGGGGAGTTTTCTTTGGGTATTTGCATGAAGGTTATGTTAATGCAAACAGAATTTTAGTAGTCTCTATATTTTGTATGCATGCAGTGTTATTTCAGATGCTATTAGGTTAATTTTATGTGCAATTAGAGTTAAGGCACTTCAATTAGTTAATCACAGTAGTACTGCACTTTTCAGTGACATACATGAGGTGTAGACTCAGCTTTGAAAATGTGTTTCATACTGCAGTCAATCATGTAATGAACCATTCAGGAAACACTGTACATAGTTTCAGAGGCTTCAGAAAGGTCACAACTCAAAGGATTAATCAGGGTATCTTTATCCACTTTCTTTGTGTCTGCCTATAAGTGGCTGTTTCCATGATAATTTACTGCAGTGTAAGTGAAAAAGCCAGTGTAAATTCATATGTTATTTAAATGTGGGGTAGTGTACATGTCCATGTACTCAGTCATGTTTGAAACTTTCATCAATATAAGGATGTGTTTTGTACATGTGTTCATTTGGATGATCACCAATGTGTAAGGTGTTTTGCCAGAGTTGACTTTTCAAACATACTCAAAGGTATTGCTGGCATTAATTACGTGTTTTTTACTGTGTATGTGTCCAAAAATTTCATCTTTCCATCAAAGACAAATTCAGAGAAAGTGTTGGGGAAGGGCTTAGAATCATAATGTGAATTTAGTGGCAGTGTTCTTTATATTCCTGACACAATTCTTCATGAGAGTTCTTTACTTTTGATCACATGTATCCTTATCATTTTGTCTTTTCATTTCACAATGTATTTTTCAAATGATTTGGTTTATGATTGAATATCACTTTTATTTTGTAGTTTATTTTGATGTCTAGGGTCTACAGTCAGTCTCTGTTGTCAAATTCTGAACCAAAATGAAATGCTTTGGAGTTCATTTCATTTTTGATTTGGAACCAATATGATTGACAATCCTTAAATTGATCAGTCAGTGGAAAATAAGTTTTGTTTTCCACAAAATTAAGAGTTGTCTGAGAGGTAAGTCTTGAGAAAGAAATTCAAACTTAGATACTGTAAAGAGAAAGAATGTGTTGTGCTTTGAATACATAACCAAATGTTTTCTGAATCAAAGGTTTTGTGTCACATGTATGATTACCTTTCTTTTATATATAGTTTAATTAAGTGCTATGTACAGTCATCTTTAGGATTCAGTTATGTAGTACACATTGTCACTTGTTTAAATGGTATACCTTTGAAATAGTCTTCTTAATCCATGTCCACAACAAAACTTATATTTTTTAAAAATTGGAAGTAACCATATGCTAGCACATTGTATTTCAGGAAATATTCCTTAGTAAGGGATTGGTAAAGTTCATTTCTAGATCAAGTTTCCATCACTAGCTGTTGGCTAACATGTTTTATTTTATTTCCTTCAAAAAAAATAAATCCATCAATCATTAATTCATCGTTTCAGTTATTGTAAACTATGACACATAAGAATGTTTAGGATAAATCTTGGTCAAGAGTTCCTTTGTTGATGTGTAACATTAAATGGTTTTTTTCTTTCTTGTGAATTATTTTATAAATGTAGTAAAATATGGATTGATATTAGTTTTATATGGATCTCAAATGGAAGACTGTGCACAACAATGTATTGGTAACTTGTAACTAATTTCTCAAATACAGATAATATTGTAAAGTTTTGATATAGTTCTGTAATAAATGTTGGTTATTTTCAGTGATGATAACATCCCTCTTTGAAGTAAAGGAAACAAAAAATGGAGCACTTATTCTCTGAAATAACTTTTTGGGATGATGGTGCAGATTTCATCTCCCTATCATTCTCCTTATCACAAATGCGATAGTGGCAGAAGTGATGAGGTTACAGTAGACTAACCCCAGTCTTTATGAGCATAATTTAATATGAAACCCCTTACTGAAAAATTAGAATTATTACTGTTCTCAAATACCCGAGGATACAGCTAAGATCAAGTTAACAGTACAGATGTTCAGATAAAAACACAATGGATTGGATTTTGAGGCAAGACCAATAGTGCTATTCCCAAAACTTTAACTGGATAAATGGTTTAGGAGTCTGGGACTTTTAAAAAACAAAACCCTATACTCCTGCCAAGTCTACTGGTCTACTAAAAACAGTAATGCATTGGAGGTTTTCTTTCTTCCACTTTGTCAAGTTATAATTTAATTTCTTTTGATAACTAGCTCTTCACTGCAGTTTGCAATTCATCCTTCCTTGCCCCTATTTCTCTTTACCTAGCAACCATAAAAGTTTTTAATTCTATGGAATTTTCTTCGTGTTACGATCTTCCATGCCCTGTACCCTCCACTTGAGAGGAATAGGTAACATTTCTTCAGGTTGCACATTACGGTTACAGAAGAATCAAAGTGGCTCAACCAGCTTATTTAAACCTTTACATCCCAACCTCACAGAATGCATCTTCTCCACACTTTTCTCCATTCATTTCCCAAAGTGTTGATGAGAGGAATTTGTTTCACAATCAAGAGCTACTTTAGTTGGTTATCATTTCCTTTCTTCTCATTAACTTTTACAAGTGATCCAAGGGTGATGTTGTAAGGGATAAGTTAAATGCTAGAGTCATTCTTTGGAGTTAAAGAACTAAGGAAAAAAGTATAGTATATTTGATTTCCTGAGACCTTGAAAAAATAATAATGAAACAACCTCAACAGTTTTACCAGCAGAAAAGAAAGCCTACCTATAAGCTTAATCAAATGTTGAGAGGGGCACAAGGAAACAAGACAAAAAAAACACAACAAAACAAATTTATGAAAAGACCAATCCCTGTCCTTTAATTCCTTTTGGATTATATACTTCAATGGCATCATAAAATTAACCATAAAAACAAAAACAAAAAAATTAAACACATCAACAACAAAAACTTTCCATCTCCATGGATTAAAAGTTCATCGTAGAGTTTCTTCGGTTGCTTTAATGGGCTGTAAGACCAACCGTTCATTAGATAATAAATAAACATATTTTAGTTTGTTTTTTTTCTACAGGTCCTATACTGCTCCTTCTGCTCATTAATATAAAATAACCTTTCCTTTCTCAGACTGCTTTTCCCGAAACAAGCTTGCTGCTTTTTACAGCAAAATACAAGAGCCACATTAGCAAATACAATTACCCTACACGCTATGCATTTTGAATAAATGAAAATACGTATATTAAACTAAGGCAGTGATAATTTGTGTTTTTCTGTTTGGTGTATTTATATTTGGAGGCTTTGAAAATCTAGTTTCAAATACAATCATCTGTGTCCACTCCATGGGTCACTTTCCTCTTTGAGTTTCCAGGTGTAAGAATGGCAAATTCAGTTAAAAAGCTAGCTTCTTAGGAACTTCCCATGTGAAGCCAGGGCCAGGTTTGAAATGACCATAGATGCACGAGTCTTGATAGATGGGATTCTTTAGCTTGAGGTCTCTAAAGGACAGAAAAAAAAAGGAAGAAAATTTACCAAATCAACAAGGCTTATGTAGTCAACTATAAAGGTACACTTTTTAATGGAATATCAAACATGCTTCAACCTTTAAAGGAACACAATTCTTTCAAGTTCTAGAATAACAAAAAGGAGAGTACAACTTGTCCCAATAATAAAAATTTTATCAATAAAGTATAATTAGCCTACAGTACTTGAAATTTTAGAATAATTCATCATCAAATTTGAAACTTGAGTTGACCAAAACACAAAGTTTTAAATAATAGACATTTTGAGCACAAAAATAATAAATATTTAAAATTAAATGATAAACAGCTCAACAGAACTCACTTCACAATCATTCCTGGACGGAGGTCAAAGTTTTCCCTAACAATTTTCAAGAGTTCATCTTCAGATTTCTTGCCAGTTCCATAAGAGAACACTGTGATTGAGAGAGGCTCTGCGATACCAATGGCATACGAGACTTGAACAAGAGCACGACGGCACAGTTTAGCAGCTACAAGAGACTTGGCAATCCACCTTGCTGCATAAGCACCAGATCTATCAACCTGAAAAGTGCCAGTCATGTTATTTAGGTTACAAGACATATGCACACTTTTTTTTTTCCGGAACAAAATTATTGTTCTCTGTATTTTTAAAGATCAACAAATTAAAAAATAAATGACTAGTCTACGAAAAAGCTTTTGGAGGAAGGTTCATATCTATCAACCGTGACCCCTTCCGAGTGGTCACTGGAAGCTAGTAAACAGTGCAAACCTGCCGGCTGTCTGACCATTTTGCGCTGGCTACTAAGTAAGTGGTGATCCAAGACAAAATTTAGCTGGCCAAATAAAGTTGCTCAAATTAGTCCAAGAATGTTGGAAATCTCATTACAGTGAGTTTCAAATTTCAAAGTTTTTCAATGAACATGACCCCTGACCTGAGTTGCAATACACCATGCTTCCTGTGCTGCACAAGCATAATTCAATTCAATTGCCCGCTCTGTTCAGATCACACATCTATTACTTTTTTAATGACAACCCTGCCCCTTTATCTCTTTAAAGTGACCAAAGGGACTTCAATAACGAGGTCAATACACCATCTGGCTAACAGGGAATGCAAATGTACACCAAAATGTCAGCTAGAGGACATGAAGAACAACTAAATGTAGAGCACAGAGAAGAGAGAAAATCACACCTAATTATGGAAGTTTTAGGGTTGTATCAATATGACAAACCTTAGTGTAGTCCTTTCCAGAGAAAGCACCACCACCATGTGCTCCCCATCCACCATATGTGTCTACAATGATCTTCCTTCCTGTCAGACCAGCATCACCCTGAGGACCTCCAATCACAAATGCACCAGAAGGTTGAAGATGGTAAATAGTACTATCATCAAGATATTTAGGAGGGACAACCTCCTGCAAAAAAATAGAGGAAAAATTAATTTATTTTTCTCTGCTAGTCGCTCACTGGTTCTGCAATATTTGCTATTGATTTCCAGGTGTTTGGTCTTGTGCCAAGTTCAATTTCTCTGTGTCTGTTGCAAGTTTCTCGTTAGTTATCAGCAAGCCACTGATCAGAATGTGGTTTAATAAACAGCTTTTTAAAAAACAGTAATTAATAAGTCAAATGATCAATTACAGGAATAAAAAGTTATCTCTGTTGTACAACCAATACACATGATAAAAGGTACCCTGTATCAATGAATTTTAACCCTTCAACTATAACCTGTGTTATGATAGCCACTTTAAAAAAAGGCAATTTTAAGTAAACTGAGCCACACTGATGAACATGGGTACTTGACCAGGGATTCTCAATAAAATGCAAGGAGCTTCTTGTAAATTATCTATGTAAGAATTTTTTCATCAACATACATTGATGATTTTTTCCCTAAGCTGCTTCCTCTGTTCTTCCAATGTGATATCTGGTTCATGCTGAGTGGAAATAACGATGGTATGAACCCTGAGAGGAATAGCTGCACCTCCTTCAAATTTATACTCTACAGTGACTTGAGTCTTAGAGTCAGGTCGTAGCCAGGACATAGATCCATCACGCCTCTTCTCTGCAAGCTTTCGGTTAAGGTTGTGCGCTAAGACCACTGTCAGAGGCATAAGTTCCTCTGTCTCATCAGTGGCATAGCCAAACATGAGACCTTGGTCACCAGCACCAATATCTTCCTCCTTTCTTCCCGTGTGGACACCCATGGCAATGTCAGGGCTTTGCTGTTCAAGGGCAACTAATACATTGCATGTCTTGAAATCAAAACCTGAAAACCAACAAACAAGTGTACTTCAGTGAAAAGATATTTAAAAAGATAAATATTCATTGTTATGAATTTGTCCACAATCATTTATAAATAAGTTATATGGAAGTTAAACAAGAACAGACAACACAAACAGAAATTAAGTGATTATAACTTATAATGGTAAAAATACAAATTAGGGCCAGAAAGTGTTAGTTTAATTTCATAACAAACATTCATACCTTTGTTCGAGTCGTCATAACCAATTTTCTTGATAGTATCACGAATAACCTTCTGATAATCCACAACAGCCTTGGATGTGATCTCGCCACACACAAGAATCATACCAGTCTTGGAAACAGTTTCTGTTCACACAAGGAAAGAAACCACCAACATTTGTTATATACCTATACTTTCACTCAACAAAATGAGCACTGTTATTGGTTGATTCTTAGTCACGTGCCCCTGCAGGGCGTGAAACTAACTTCTTTTTCTGATAGCCACTTGGCTCCTAAATTCTTCAAAGTGGTAGCCAATTCAAAAAAAGTTGGTCGCCATTTTCAAAGACAAACAAAATCTTTCTTTACGCTGTCAGCGTTCTAGATAGACCCTCCAAAATTAAGTTGGGGAAAAGATCTTTAATGTGCTACAAAGTGGACACTAGGATGGATGATATACAACGTTCAGGCTCATCTAAATCCAAGATGGCATCTAGTTATCGATCGAGATGCATGTGCTACGTTTTGGAAACAAACTTAACCAGGAAGTTTGCCGCGGATTTATCTTTGCAAATCTTTTTAATTCACTATATCTCTTGGTAAGGTTATGATGAAATGTTCTAGTCGCCAATTTGGCGACTAACTTTCAGGATTTGGTCGCCAAAGTGAAAAATTTAGGCTCATTGGCGCCTGTATTAGGTGCAATTTCACACCCTGCCCTGATCAAATTTTGTTTGTTTTTGCTATATGATTGTTTGAGGTAAAGTCTAAATATATAACAAAGCTCTTAATATTTGATCCCTTGTGAAACTAGTTAGTTTGGAGTACTGATGTTTCCCGAGACTAAGTCAAGGGAAACATCTGGACTCTCAAGAAAACAAAACTAAATGTTTCCCCTGGGACCATACATTAAGTATTACCAATGCATGATAATTATTTTACTTCAGCAAAATATGAACCAGGACCCCACAATCAACTTGCATGATTGCTCCCATCGCTTCTGCCTCCAAGGAGGCAAAGCCATATATGTTGTCAAGATGAGCAAGTGTAACAGCAGAATTCCAATCTTGACCCTGTTTTGACTTAATGTTTCCCAGTGCTACTTGTCATTTGTTTCCGATTATCTTGGTAGTTCAACATTTGCACTTGATACCCAGTTATGTTGTCTCTTTTTGCGATTTCTAGCTCAAAACCACTAGCAAATTATGTTTTCAGTTCTTGCCTAGACACTACAAAAGACAGCAGAAGACAATAAATATCTCCCAATCATTTCAGGATTGCAGGCTATTAAAACAAAAGTTTCCTTTTAGAAATATCTTTATAAATAGTAGAAGTTATGTGTGAAATGAATAGAGAGCATTTTACCGTTCCTGCAATTTATAAAGCTCCGATATAGTCTTTTCAGTTTCTGCTGTGACATTTCAAAATGATGATAAACATCTCAAAATAATTTCACAGTGGTATCCACCAGTGCACACAATTTAAATCAAAACTTTTCCTTGCGAAATATCTCAACAGACGTGATCTGCACATCATGGAAGCTTTGAGAACAAATTTTTCTTTGAAGAGAGATCATTTTACCATTTGAATCAGCAACTTTTGCCAAAATTGGTGAGTGAGCTAGCTGTGAAATATATCTTGAGTAATTAAATAGAATGATGGAAGGGAGGATCAGCAGAATGGAAGAATATCTTAAGATGCACAATAATGGAATATCCTGAAATGTTGAATGCCTTTTTGTATCAAAAATCATAATGTATCATAATTCTTGTCATCCTTACTGTTATTGTAAATATTATTATTAGTTACTATTTAATTGGTAGTTGAATGTCAATTAGACAATACATTCTTGAATCATCTTTCTCTTGTGGAACAGTGTACTTATAAAAATGTGAAATGCGGCAGGGTTTCTGTTTTGCATGTGGAACAAATATTCTACAATACTACCTTCTTGGGTAAGGTAAGGCAAGGTAACTTTATTTATACATGATATGTATAAAAGCTGAAAGCTTGTGGGGTCGTGTACAATAAATTACTTTGATATTAAAAAATAGATAAAATGTTTTTTACAAAAATTACAATACATTACTTAGATCAGTAGTTAAAATGAACTTTTACAATATATATCTATAAGACATAGAAAAACTAACTTAATTTCAATTATATACAAAATCGTTTTGTTCAAAACTAACAGTCGAGGTGGATAATACGTTACATTTAGTGGCCTTAAAAAGATCAGAAGTTTTGAGCTTTTTTACAAGGTTACAAAGGCTTGTGTCAGCAAGGTCAGTGTTCTGGAAGACAGCATATTCCTAAGGACAGTGCCACTGTATGCAACAGAGTCCTTCATAATGCTCTCATTGAGTATGACAGATTACATTTCTTCACAATACAGTTAGTTAGGGTGCTAGGCAGTCTTCCGTAATAAGCCTTATGCATGAATTTAAAAATAGCTAGTTTATAATAAAAACAAATAATGAACCACTCTGCACGCTCCAGGACACCATGAGATGCCATATCTTTCAGTAAATTGAAAATAATTCTAGCCGCTCTGCAATGTAGCCTTTCTAAAAAATCTAAATTATCGGAGTTGCAACAGGCACCCCATATGACAAGGCCATAATTCACGCTGGGAAAGATAACCCTCAAATAAAAATCCTGTAACATTATTCTTGGCAGAAACCTTAGCTTTTTGAGTAAGCATAGTTTATTCACAAAGCTCTTCTTAAGTTCCAGTGTATGAAGGACCCAGCTGAGTTTATGGTCAACTGTCATTCCCAGTAAGCGTGTTTGATTACCCATTTGATAGTGTGTCCTCCGATGAAGATTGAAGAAATAGGCCCTATAGGGGTCTTTCTGCTGATGAGCATTGCTTTGCTTTTACCTAGGTGGGGTGTTAGCTTGTTAGCGAGACACCATGAGTACAGCTCGTGCATTGCTAAGTTTAGTTGTGCAGTGGCTTCATCTGCTGATGTACCGATGCAATAAATGGTAGTGTCATCAATAAACATATACACCGATCCTGACACTACAGATGTTGGCATGTCATTCGTAAACATTGAGAAAAGCGTAGGTCCCAAAACTGACCCTTGCAGTATACTGTATGACACTGGAAGTATTCCTGAAGGAACACCATTTACAATTGTCACTTGCTGCCAGCCTTTATACAACCTTTAGTTCTTTTCAATACAAAAAAAAAATTGTGTATATCAGTTGCCACGTCCAGTCTTTGAATGTCTATTTTGTGTTATTGAATAAAGGTAAACAGTTTGACCTGTAATATGAATTTAGTGAAGCCAATTTTGTAAACAATCACCTCTCTACATGACCGCGTCACTATCTCGTGTTCAGTTATGGACATAGAATTTTATAATTTATTTCTCCAGCCGAGGGCATAACTTTCAGAAAACAGGCATAACTACCACAACGGGCTTTTTCTTGTTATTCTGGCGCAACTGGAAATAGAAATCCATTTCATACGGAAACAGGTCTTTCGAGATATGTGAAGTGCGAAATTTATGGTGATGCACTTAATGAATCAAAAATCTGATCAGATTCGTACTTTCGCGATCGATTTGAAGTGCATCACCACAGTTGTGTCAAAATATTCACGATCTTTGTTTTAAGGCATAATAAAATTAAAATTAGGCGAATATGCGTAATCGTCATTTCTCCGAAATAAAATTAGTAGTACTACGTGCGTAAAAGTTTATAACGTGTCGTGTTTACATCTGAACCGGTTTAGCAAGAGTTGGACCAAGTTTTACGCAGGAGATACCAAAAAAAATACGACACAAAAAAACCGCAAAAAACGTAAACATAGAATAGAAAATTTTCCTTTGGAAAGCATAAATTGTGAGAAAGTTAAAAAAGCTTCGGCATAGACTCATGCGATTTTCCCAAATATTGAATATATCTTATTACGCAATTTTACTTGGTCCCGGGAAACTACTGCCATGTGTATAGGAACGGTTGGCCACCAAAAATACGCTTTGCCACGGAGACAAGAAATCGAGAAAACACAATAAATAAAGAGATCTTCAAACAACGAGGATTCGGTGTAATATGGGGAAGACCAACCGTGATTGATTATTTCGGGGAAATCAGTTCTTCTGACCTCATTCGCAAAAAGCTCTCCCCTTGCCTAAACAAGGCAAATCGTAGTTTATGAACGAAATTAGACATTTAACAAATTTCATTCAACAGCCGATGTTTCAATTCAGCTTAAGTGATCAGATTGGCCTTCTCAAACTGGTGTGTTATCGGCAAGTTTCGACCGCCCAGCATTTCAAGCAGGTTCCGAGCTCTAGCACAACAAATAGTTGCGTACACTTTTGTTGTTAAAACAAAGCTAACCCTGACCCACTCTTCCTTCACTTACCGCACGCGACTTTAGCATCAGGATCCTGTTCAAGATGAGCATCCAGGATAGCATCAGAAACCTGGTCGCAAATCTTGTCTACGAAGAAATAACACATGTCGGTCAAAATTGAAAGTTGAGGAGATGAACTTCTATGTCACGATGGGACATTTAATGGCAACCTGTGCAGAAAAGGACGAGAAGATGATGGGCAAAGAATTAAAACTTACCAGGATGTCCCTCACCAACGGACTCAGAGGTGAAGAGGAAAGTGTTGTTCTGTGTATCTGTGGTGTTCATCTTGAATCGCTTCGGTGAAGGAAAAATAGATTCTTCGCTAAAGTTCGCGTTATTTAAAATGTGACTCATACCAGCTTTCCACCCTTTCTTGTATAGTTTCTTGGTGACCGCCCGATTCCTCTGGTATACTGGAACTAGCTATCTGATTGGCCAAAACTGTCAGCATGAAAAATGATGTGAGACCTTTCTCCTTTTAGATCATTGGCGCACGTGAGTAGTGAATGACTGAGAGACAAATTTCACTAACATTAAAATTATTATTTCTGCAGAAATAGCCGCCGAAGGACAAAAAACATCGGCAATTTCTCTATTGAGGTCGTAAGCCATCTTGTTTACGATACTTTTGTTAGCTCTTTTTGAATAAAAAGCTAGGAATGTGCAGACTATTCATTAATTGCGAAACTTGCGGGATTTTCAGTGAAATTTGCATTGCGAAATAAATGTTGAATGGATTCTTGTGTGACTTACAAAGTAATTTTACGATCGCAGGTAAAGTTACGTAAGGTCAGCTTTGTTCCGCGGGGGCGACCTATCTTACATTCGGACATATTAGGCACAGACTGAAGGCTAACGCCTGAAATGTCTGCTGTGTGAGCTCTTTACAAAATCAACTACGTACCCACGCTGCAGCACCGGTAAAGACAGCCTAAGGACGATTCAATGTAGATAGATGGTCATTTACTGCAGCTAGAAATGTGCCGCAGATTACCAATTATGGAAATAAATTTTTCTTCTACCTTGAGTCTGCCAACGAGTTGTAGGAAGAGAGCACTCCCGAGGAGTCACCAATAAAAGGCCATTGAATAATTTCTAAGTCTCAATACCCTCTCCTGTGTCTTAATAGTTTCTGACGCGGGACCAACTCACACCTTTTGCATTCAAGATATGACTTTGTTGAATGCATCTGTTCCCACTGCCCGAAAGTATCATCGAGACCTTCGAAGAATGGGTTATTCATTTTGCTGCGAGGTCGCTTGAATAAGAAAGAAGATGAATTCAGTCAGGTATAATTTTTATTTCAATGTGGTGTCATTTACAGTTTGCCTCGCAGCGCAAACAGTCACAGTGTTGCGTGACATACAAAAGATAAAGTCTTTCCTTTGAGTTCTAACGTTTCTGCGCAGTAAAGAGTAATTTATACGCAGACACATCACACCCGCTGAAATCGTAGAAGTACGCACAATGTAGAAGACGAACGTCTTGGCTCAATGATCTGATGCAGCATCTCAAAAAAAACATGAGAAGTCATGAAGGTTCGACTTCCGAGTCCCTCTTACTGGAAGCGTTCGGAACTTTTTTTTTGTACCTATGCATTTTTAGTCACAGCTAATCCAAGGGTTAACGTCAAAATTCCGCTTTGAGTATGAAAATGTACATCTATAAATGACCGGTTCTTTGAATGTCTCTGTTCTGTTTGGGAGCCACTCTATGACAGTTACACCCACTATAGAATTGACACCGAGAGCAACTCTAATTTTGAGCCCGCGATAATGTAGAATGTTTCAACATGGCGACCTCGAAAGGTGCGAACACATACAATCGTCAGAATTGGGAAAACGCGGCAAGTAACTTTGTTGTTCGTCTTATATAATTTAGTTGTGAAGTATCTAGATAATAGCTGCTATAGGCTTTGATACCTAGATGTTTTCTAGTGGTTTCTGCGGTCAAGTGTGCTGATCATTAATTCACGTGCTTTCACACTGCCATAAGTTTATGCATTATATGTGAACTTATTTCTTCATTATTTTACCCTAGTCCCTCTACCCGATCAATTCTACTTTATTCTCCTACATAAATTTTATTAATATTCTTATCACCTCAGTCACAAATAATATTTTCGAAAGTTCCTTCCCAGATCATGTTATCTTGGCAATTGCTCGAGTAGCATCTTTACTAACGTATCCTAAATGCCATGTCATTTCAGGAGTTTCCCATTCTTTGTCAAACATGTCTTGGCGATAATCCTTATGTGCGAATGGTTAAGTATCATTATCCTGTTTTTGGGATATAAGATTTAATGTTTTCATAAGGACTGTCGAATTTGTAATCAGGGCGACAATGTTGTGATCAAGGGAAAATCAAAGGGACATAACTGGGAGCAGATTGTATCTGATGGGGCGTATGACCATGACTTGTGATCTTGTGAAAACTAGATTAGGTTGTTTGAGTGGTATGCACCCGCAATGTTTGAGGAATGCCATATTGGTATTATAATGGCTGGTTCCTCCACTTCTGCTTTTGTTTCAACTGTACAGTTTCCACCTAATCATAGCTGTTGCAGCTAAATCAGTAGAAAATGGAGAGATCCTGATTTTCTGACAATAAAATATTTTAATCATTTTACTCTACTTTTAAGCTATTTTTTCATTGATTGACGTGCTCAGTACTTCATTACCTAGACAGTGAAAAATAATTCATTTGAGTTCAATATCTTCTTCTTGCTATTATTCACAGACAAGGGAAACATATGGCAGAGAATGTAAGGTGGGTTGAATTGATTGAGTATAGACAGAACTTAAATTCTTTGGTCAGAGAGGATTTTTATTATTTCAAATGTTTTGACCATTAACTCCTAAGATCTGATTGTCAATTCTCCCCTCTTACTGTTACACATTTCCTTGGTGTTAGATCAAGATGAAAACTTCTACCAGTTAAGTTTGAGTATTCTCATTACCTGTTTTGTGGTCTTTCCTGGATAATGTATGCAATTAGATATTATAAGGAGATGTTATTTGTCAATCACCTCTTATAGTTATAGGGTTAAAAAAAAGGATAACAATGTATTTTTGCAGTTTCAAACAGTGTATGAGCTCAGTGTCTTTTATTAGTTTAACCTCCACAATACTTTGTTGTTGTTTGTTCAGATATGTGCCCGACCATTCACAGTTTTTCGTTGGTGTCCTGGAGCACGAATGAGGTTTAAAAAGACAGAAGTCTGTCAGACATGTTCAAAGCTAAAGAATGTTTGTCAAACATGCTTACTTGATCTTGAATATGGTGAGTTTTGTTACAAAGGAAAGTGTTCATTGCAACTGTACATAGGAAATAGTGCTTCACCAATTGACTCAAGCTTTTGTACTTTAAAAACTGCTGACAACGAGGGTAAAGAAATCCTACAGTTTTGTGATGTCTTGGGATAAAATCACAGGTGAAATGTACTGTTTGATCATAAAGAGAGAGTTAGAGTTTATGAATGTTATATCTGTGCAAAGGATGTAAAGCCCATAAAGGAACCAATATGTCAAAGAGTTCCATTTATTGAAGTTCTGTAAGAGCTTGAGAGGCCATTAGCAATTGTCTTTACTAATCATAATGTGACATAGCCAGCAATTGCACAACAGAGTTTGACTTGCAAGTACTCTTTTGTTCATTGTGCTGCTTGTCAATTCAATCTTTCATTTTTATTTAGACTAAACACAGAAATATGACGGAAATGTAATTTTCAAATTTTTAAATTGAGGCATCAATTTTTGCAACAGTTTTTTCCCTTCTAATCCATGTCACACCAGGTTTGCCAGTACAAGTCAGGGACCATGCCCTTGGTATGAAAGATGATGTTCCAAAATCTGATGTTAATAAAGAGTATTACACTCAGAATGTAGAGAAAGAGGTATGTAGCTATAATTATTGAGATTTTTTATTTACTTGCTAATTTTTTCAGCTTGGCAATGATTTTCCTGTTAATGCAATACAGAAATGTACAACTTACAACAAACATTGTGTTAAATTTGGGAAAAGTGAGTTTATGCTTGTAATTTTGGTACAAGTATAGTCAGTTCTTATAGTGTAAACATGATTAAGTTTGAATTAATATTGTTGGAAAAACAAAATAAATTATTAAATGTATTAGTGGGGAACACCTGAACTTGTTGAACTGTAATAAGGAATTTGAGGAAAATGACATCTTATTCTTCTTGTTCATTAACAGTGAACAAAGATAAAGTTTGAATCTTCCACATAGAATCATAGTGATAAAGTTATGTTGATTCATCTTAAGTTAGCAAATTCAGATGGCACCACACCTGGTGGAACACTTGGTAAAGCCAATGCACCTAGTGACTTGCTATTGAAACTGGCCAGGACTACACCCTATTACAAAAGGAACAGACCTCACATCTGTTCCTTCTGGGTGAAGGGGGAGTGTAAGCGTGGAGATGAATGTCCATACAGGTACTGCTACTATTGAGATCTTGATAAAGTTGTGATGTTACATTCACCTCCAACTTTTCTTTAGTGTTCCCTTTGGAACTGCCTCTATCTATGTTGCTTGAACACTAACCACATCATAATGTTCAACTTTATAACTGACAGAGTCTCTGAGACATATAGACCACCCAACCACATTGTAATGTACCCTCTTTATGTATACCTGTTTTCAAAATCATTGTAATTTGTAAATATACATGAAATATATATATATCTTTTGCTTTCTCATCAAAGAGACAATTTTTGACAAGAAAACAAAAGATATATTTATTTAATTAATATTTTCAATGATGCAATGTTTTTTATAAAAATGGGTGTATGTATGTGTATGTATATGATTATATGTACATATTTGATTATCTGTCTGATGATGCAGATCGCATAAGTGTGAAACTCACAGTCAGAAAAAGTTGTCTTATTGATTAGTTCAACCTTCAGATATACCATGCTCTGCGATCACATCAAGCACTATACTGCAGGCATAGATTATAACCAAGATTTATATATATATATAGCTAATTATTACATCTCTCTTGGCTTATTTCAGGCATGACATGCCCACAGACCCCAATGACCCTTTAGCTGATCAAAATATAAAGGATAGATACTATGGAATGAGTGATCCAGTAGCAACTCGGTTACTCAAACAGGCATCTTCAATGCCATCCCTTGAGCCTCCTTCTGACAAGTCCATCACTACTCTGTATGTAGGAGGATTAGAGGGAAAGGTGGAGGAGAGTGATTTAAGGTGAGTAAGTTGGTTGAGTTCACACCTGTTTCAGATTGAGAGTTAAACTGTAGAATGAACACATAACCATAACACAACAGGTGTTACTGTTACATTAGGAAAAATGTTTGGTCTACTAGCATTCCATCCAGAAATGATAGAACTTCACAGGAATAGTTGCTCTACACTATGGAAACCAGAAAAACATACTTCAAATCAAAGTATGGGTGCTTAACATAGCCAGAGAGTTCTGTAGATTATTGATGTGTTAAATATGAATACTATTTTCAGGGACTACTTTTACCAGTTTGGTGAGCTTCGATCCATAACAATGGTTCCAAGACAGAATTGTGCATTTGTCTGTTTCACTGCACGAGCATCTGCAGAAACAGCAGCAGAACGCTCTTTTAATAAACTTATCCTTAAAGGACGGCGACTGAAAATCATGTGGGGCAAGTCACAAGGACAGCAACCTGCCCCTGGAAAACAAGGAGGCTCTTCTCTAGCCCCAGTGCCAGGATTGCCTGGAGGTTGGTATTGTGTCATCCTCTTTATTATGTGTGTGTAGGAGATTTTCAAGATTTTGTTTAGCCTTTTCTTCACCCTTTAACTCCTTGAATAGCAATGCACCTGCTTGTGTTCAACTTTGAGCCCTTTGACTGCTAAGGTCTGAAAATTAACACTCAGCACTCTTTACCCTACTTTTCTTGTAACTTAAGTTTGAAGAATTTTTTTGTGGAATCACACAATATCTCCTGTTTGATAAAAATCTTCCTTTTCATCACCTTTTTACAATAAGGATATGGTAAGGAGAAATTCCTCTTTGGTTGCTCTCAGGAGTGTAAAGGTTAGATTAAGGAAATTTCCTCCCTCCTGATCTGTTTTCTTCATTTTCTTGTTCAGCTCTTCCACCACCTCCTACAGATGAGAAAAGCCAAGCAAACTTTTTCAACCTCCCTCCATCCTCAGCACCACCAGCAGGTCCCCTCTCTGCTATACCCCCACCTTACCTCCTCCTCCTGGGGGGCTTCCAGGCATGCCTCCTCCTCCGATGGGGCACCCTTTACCCCCACCACCAGCTGGCTACCCACCCCCTCCTCCATTTGGTCATCCACCTTTCAGACCACCTCCCATACCTTTTTATGGGGCACCACCCCCACCTCACATGCCTCCTCCTCCTAGACATGGTTTGCCACGCCTTCCACCTGGTCCTCCACCAATACACTATCCATCTCAGGATCCTCATCGTCTGGGTGCAGGGAAAAGTGGGGAAGGAGGTACTCGTCCACCAGCCCCAGCAGCTGCGAGCTCTTAGACTGCTTGTCAAGAAAGTGTAACTACAGCTTAATTTGCACAGAACACAGTACCAGTATTTGGAACAGACCACAATGAAACAAGCTCTTTACAATTTAATGAGGTGTACATATATTTGTACACAGGGGACACTGGAACTTTTTTGAAGCATGTGATAGTACAGAAAGAGGTCTTTGAGTTATGAATGTAGTAGAATCTGATTCTTGTCCTTAAAGTAAGCATTTTAACAGTGTACTTTCTCAGTTATTCTCTTAAATTGTGAGAAAGAATACACAGAACTGTCAAGCAGCAAGAGTGAAGGTGTCATAGTTAAATTTCTTCCTGTGGCTGTTCTGCTTTCAAGGCTCCTTTTATGTGAATAGTAAAGGGCAGCTTACGGTAACTCTGTAGCTTTCTTGATTAGCAAGAAGTTGTTTTCATTTACAATTCTTACATTTGTGTGATTTTTTTTACTGGTTACTGCCAACTTTCAATTATATGCATCATTTGTTAAAGTTTTTTAGCCAGGTGAAGTTGTTGAGGGATTAAAATATTCCATTTACTTTCAATTTCAGCTCTTTGCTTGACATTTGTATTGTAGGGCGTTGTTTTTAAAAAACTCAGTCAGTTCAAAGAAAGTTTTCCCTCATGAAGATTGTTCAGAAATGATTGGCTTTGTGCTACATGTGGAACTGTTCACTAGGCAGTCCAATATTACTCTGTTGGAAAATTTTGCTTACATATTTATACACATATCTTGTTTTCCTAGTGTTTTATTTACTGGAAATCAACTGATGTGATTTTCAAAGTGTCTCATCTTTCCCTTCTGAAACAAAATCTTAACAAATCTCATGAATGTAATCAGTTTTCAAAGACATTCAGATTAGTTTGTATCACAGCTATGTAGAACTTCATAGAAAGCTTGTGTCATTTGCACTTGAAACCAAACTCCAGGTTATATTGTTTAAAACCTCACTGCACCCCAACCATTATGTTACCATTATAAATAGTGTCTTCAACATTATTGATATCAAGCACCTCACACTAAATGTCAATGCATGTTACAATGTTTTTTTGATAATGCCATTATTCTTACTTATCAAATCTTAAAAAAATCCATGTTTTAGGAGGAGTTTTTTCCTGAAACCCACAAGCTATTTCAAGTTAATTCAAGTAATTGTGCAATCAGAGAAATTCACTAAATACAAAATTTGTACTTTTTTGTAAAGTTTATTTAAATTCACACATTTCTCTGATTTACAAACAATTCACTCTTTCCTGAAACCCACAAGCTATTTCAAGTTAATTCAAGTCAATGTACAACCAAGAACTACACTAAATACAAAATTTGTACTTTTTTGTAAAGTTAGCTCAAATTCGCATCTTTTTCTGACTGACAAACAATTTCACAGTTACATTTGTACATGAAACAAACAGGCAAATTCCCAGTGCCATGTGCAAGTTACTAGCCATAATGGTCAATACTTGGAATTCAAAATCATTTCATTTTTCATACCCACTGATCACATTCAGTCAGTTCTCTGAAGACAACTGTTTATGAACATTTGAAGATGACAGCTAATGTACACTATTGTTGCAAGCTAGTACATGGACCTCACTCCTTCCATTAAATCCTTTCATTAATTTGTAATTTACTTTACACTGACAAGCAACAAATCAATTTTCCTGGCACTGTGTTCATTCTGATCTTTGAGTTCAACATGATTATCATCTAGTCCTCAGCAGATTGTTTCTTACCATGCAGAGTGGTATATGCAAAGTGTTTTCCACAGTGCCAAATGGCCTGCATCAGTCTACTAAAACCTGTATCCTTTGGCTGAAAATCAAAAGCAAAGAGACAGCATTAGCCTCAACAAGAAGTTGTTCCAAAATTTCACATATTGTATTGAACTCATTCATGATGACCAGCATGATTATTATTCTTTGATGTGCACAAAAATAAGCCTTCTTGGCCACACTCTTGATTGTCGATTATTTTGTTTTAATTTTTATATGTTGTAGACGCCAGAAAAGTTAGTGAAGCTGGTGTACATGATAACAGAAGAATGGCAATTTGGCCAACCATTTACAAGAGAGGTCTATATCTACACCCTTTATCTGCTGGTTTTTTTGCTTTATCAGATTGTTTGTAAACATTTTAGCAAGTTAACTTTAGTTTAATATGAAACTCAGAAAACTGTTAACACCATGAATATTTATGAAACATTTCTAGGCTGCAAGGAAAAAGCCAGTCAGGTATGAGATAACAGTAGTTACTTAATGGTTTTGGTGCTTACCTATGTTCCCTAAAATTAATTTTTATCGATCTTTACACAATTACCCTGTCAGAATCTAGCCTGAAAGCAGGCCCTCATTAATAGTGCTTGATCATGAGTGTTTCTTTGCCTACAGAAAAGTATGAGGCATTGAGCAGCAAAAGCTGGTGAGAGGTCTGCAAAGAGTCTAGCAGTGATAATGTGGAGCCAGACTCCTGCCCAAATGTGCATCTTGCAGCACTTACAATGAAGGCATTCTCTCTACCTAGTCATAATCAAGCCAAAGTCTTCATGGCTTTCTGAGACTTGCAGAGGTTACTTTCAATTGCTCATATTCCATGGGCTCATTTGTTGCCTGAACAAAAACAATGAAAGAAGGGCTACCATGTGGCACAGTAGTCAGAAATGTAAAAATTTCTGTAAATTTACAATTATTCTAATGTGTCATTGAAAGGAAAAATTAAAGGACAACATGGATGTAAGTTCTGTTGTCCTAAAAGGGAAAAAATTATTCAGTTAAAAGGAGTATGATAACAATATTGTAATTACTAGTGGCTACATTCCATCTTTCTTACATTTTCTAATCCTCTGACAAGTTGATTCTTCATCACAACAATAAATTCTCTGTGACTAAGAACTCCATCATCTGAAATTCGACAAAAAGGGAAATGATCCTCTTAATCAACTCATTTTGACAAAATTTTCCACCAGAAGATTTAATCTTAGACATCTTTGCCTTGAGTAACAAGTTCAATCACATGAACTTATGCCTTAACATCAGTATGCACATTCTCTATAGTGTTCCCTTTACATTTCCTATCACTGAGTTGGAGAAATTTCTTAACAATAAAAGACTTCTCAGGTTGAGGATTATTTCTTTGATTGTTGTGACCTTAGTTTCTTATTCAATAGTGATACAGTGAGGAGTAATTGGATGCAAGTCACTTGAAGGGATTAAGGGGTTTAATTAACATTTGAATCGTTTCAAACTTGCATATTTTGCAAAGAAATTGCTGCAATTCAGGAGTTTTCTTTGTCCTGTTTCATTTGTCAATAACTGTATGAGAATACTCACATGTAGGGCAAAAGGTTTGATTAACTCTCTGTCAACTGGAGTAATGTTCAGTTTTGGGCAACATATTGTATTATTAAAACTGAATACAGTGGAACATACAGGGAAAAAAGAGTCTTGAATAAGGAGGTTCAGTCAAAAGAAAGGTGTGGTAACCAATAGCAAGAAAGGATCCATGGTACCATAAATGGATGGTACTAAGATGTGCTGTTTGTTTGTTTTTGTTTGATTGTTTTTCTTTTTTTTTAATTAACATCATTCAATAACTGAAATGAATATTAAGACTATTGATTCTGTTGTAATGCTATTTACCATTTTCATCAAACATCTTGTATACAACATCAACCACATTATCACTCAAATTAACATCTGTCACTGTCTTCGCAACTTGCTTGAATGTTGCTGGAAAAAGAGGAAAATAACATTAACTGCCCTATGATGCCTGCCCCTTTATTTCACTGAGAGCAAATGTGAGAGAACTAGTTCTTATGGACTGTGAGGTCAACATGCTTGTACTTTGAAAAGCCTGATTAGCTAATATATTTAATATGTCTCATTCCATGTAGCTACAAGTGTTGGAAAAAAGGATTAATGTTACCAATTACAATTCAAACTGGTGGTCTTTGTCATTAAGTATCCAACTGTTTTATCTCTTTCATCACAAATCAAACTCACAAGTAATGAGCTCTAAACAAACCTGGATCAATAGCTTTGCCTGCTGCATTATGAAAACTCAAAGCCATATCTGCTTCAGAAATGTTTCTCATGAAGCTGAAGAATGCCAAGTAATCTTTGAATGTTATTCCCTGGTTAAAAAAAAAGGAAGAAAAGATAAAACAATTACCAGAGGCATGTGAGCTTAACAAGTATATTCCTTTCCAGACCTTACCTGAGGATTTTCTTTAAAATATTTCTTTACTTTCCTCAGAATTTTCACCTTCTTCTTTTCATGGAAACTAGAGTAAGTAAGAAGCATGTCTGCAAACTCCCATTCTTTAATGCAGCCATTCTCAGGGTCATAGGAATTGAACTGCAAAGTAAAAGTCAAATGTACACAGTCAGGTATGATCAAGAATGATTTCAATAATAAGAAAAGTTTGAAAAAATTTATTTCGCAGAACTAATAACTTTACCAAGCTGACTGCCTCAAAATAGAGGTTTGCCCACCATATGTCACATGACTTACTCCCAGGCCCCAGCAATGTATAGCAAACACATTTCCCACTTAACATACAACTTGTCCTAAGGAAAATAACACTTTTACCTCAAGATACATGACTTCTTGTTGTAAATTCTTTTGAAACTCTATAAATCTTTGCACAGTTAGCCTCTTCTTCAAATCTTTTCCAAAGAAGTATTCTTTGATACCACTGTTCACATGAGCAGATAGAACACTGCCTGTCACTACATGATCACGATGCCGCATCCCAGTTTGAGTCATGCTAAAAAGGATATTCTGAACCTGAAAATTAAACAGAAAGAATATCTTTATTGAAGTGTCTCAAACCAAATGAATGTATAGTATGCAAAGAGGTGCAAGTAAAGGTTTCAGTGCTATTCAATTCCTTTGAAATTGGATAAGTCAAGTTTGATAAACTGGGCAAAGTATTAAGTCTGAACTCTTATCATATTAATAAGACTTAATACATCACTTCCTTTTTCCTTGTGGAAAAAGATCATGCAATAAGGAGCAGATGAGGCAGATTGGAGTTTATGTAGCAGATTAATCCCTTAAACAGCCTGGTAAAAACATCTTACCCTGTTACTAAAAAAAACTCTAGTTCACATCTAATTATTGACATTCATTATCCGAGCAAATTCAAGTTTTACTGTTGGGATAACAACAGTAGCCCCACTGTTCCTCATATTAAAATTGTGGGTTGAAAACTTAAAATAATCCTTAAAAGGAGTACAAATATTGCCTTGTAGGCAGTCAAAAACAAATAAGCTAGCCTTTTTCTTCAAAATGTTTTAAACCAAGGGTAGGCAAAGTTTGTACTTTTAAAATTTGGAACTTGGCAGAATAGTCCTGTGACTTCGTTGTTCCAGGTTTCTGATTTGGCACCTGTGTTTCTCTGACTAACCAAACATGCATTGGCCACAGTAAGTGAAAATGGGCATTATTATTGTTCTGTAGATTTGTTCAGGGCTAAAGGTGTCAATGTTAGAACAGATTCACCATAATAGGTTCACTCTTCTTGCTGATTTCTAGTATGTTTTGTAAAAGTGCATATCAAGATTAAGTGTTGGTCCAGATGCACACAGAGTTACTTGTAACTTGTTGCCATGTTGATATGATATCCATTTACTAAGAGGTTCAGTTCTTTGCCATCAAATCCCTTTAATCTTTTTTGCTGTTCCAAACAGCATTACTAAATTAAAATGAATTTAAAACAATAGCAGCCCAATAATACTCCCTTGGGTACACCTGTGAAAACAGGATTAGGTTCAGACAGCACTCCCTTAAATTGCTCCCTGCTTCCAAAGGAACAAACAATCAGTAAACCAGTTCAGTTCATTGTCCTGTATGCCATAGCGAGACAGTTTTTCTAACAAGACCAAATGGCTGATGGTGTATTGATGCTTTAGACAAGTCAATGAACACTGCTCCTGTTGCTTTACTGTCATCCACTTCTTTCTAGATTAAGTCTGTAAAGAGTGTTACTGCCAATTCAGTTGAGTGATAAGACCAATAGCCAAACTGATCTTCGGAGAGATGGCCATTGCATTCAAGCTGCTTCATTACCTGCTTATACACCCTTCTCACTAAAACCTTTGACAAAGTAGGGAGAATTGATATCTGTCTGTAGTTGTCTATTTCTGCCAAAGCACCAGTCTTGAAGAGACAAATCACCTTGGCCACTTTCCATTTGGTAGGGACAACTTCAGTTGCAAGAGATAAGTTGATAATAAAAGTCAAAGGCTTTGTTATGACTTCTGCTGCATCTTTAAGCAATCCAGAGGGGAGGTTACCTAAGCCAGTGGCTTTCTTCCATTTAACGTTTCTCAGTTCTCTGAGGATCTCTGCTTCTTCGTGAGAATCTTTACGGTTCAATAATCACGCTTTACTGAGACTTTCAACAATTCCCGTGAGAGTAACTACGCGTGTTTCCTCCAGCCGTTACACAGAAGAAAGAGCCGTCAATTTCAATAATCTGGCTATTATCAAGCCTAAGAGAAACATCGACGCCAGGAAAAACACCTTGCAGTTCGTACCGCCAATAGCTGTGTCTAATGTAATGAGTTTGGCACCAAAAATAGACGAACTTCGTATTTTTTTGAACACCCACGAGTTTGATCTTTGTTGTATAACGGAGACATGGCTGAAAGATTCTATTGATGACAGCGTAGTTGACATTAGTGGCTACAACATCATACGCAAAGATAGGACCCACAAGCTACATGGGGGTGTGGCTCTATATGTAAAAGATTCCATCAAATTCTCAATTCTACGGGACTATGAGTTTCCTGACCCCGAGGGCCCTGAGGTTTTGTGGGCCAAAATCACGCCCAACCGATTGCCCCGGGGTTATAGCTGCCTTATCATTGGTACAGTATACCATCCTCCACCGCCTGCCAAAGATGAGCCCCTCCTTGATTACATGATGGATTCTCTCTCTAGGATAGAGAGTGATATCCCTGGCGCAGGTATAATTCTCGCTGGCAACTGGAACAGGGCAAATGTTTCACCAGTTATTAAGCAGTTCCGCCTCACGCAAGTCGTCCACTTTCCAACAAGAGGGGATCGTACACTTTCGACAAAGTGCTAACTAATCTTACAGAACACTACGAGAAACCTTCTCCATTCCCGCCCTTCGGACTATCCGATCATTGTACTGTTGGTTTGTTTCAAAAAATTAGATCAAGGCCAATATTCCTGCAAACAGAACGGTTACTACACGTGCTGTTAACGCTGAGTCCAAACAGGCTTTTGGTCGTTATATGACGGGGTCGACTGGTCATTAATCGACACTATAGATAGCGTCCAAGAACAGTATGCTCACTTCAGTGACCTAATTCACATAGGGTTAGATTCTATCCTTCCCAAAAAGCGAGTTAAGTTCCACCGAAACGACGCACCATGGATTTCACCCAAACTCAAGGCACTTATAGCACACCGTCAAAGAGCATATTACCAAGACAACAAACCATTGTTCCACTACTACCTGAACAAAGTAAATAGGGAACGGAAGCTCTGCAAACGCTCTTATTACAACACTAAAGTCAGCGTTTTGACCGAAAACAATCCTAAAATGTGGTGGTCCGAATGTAGGCGGTTATGTGGAATGAACAAAACATCTACAAGTGTCGCAAATCAGCTCCTAGCAAGTAAACCAGCTACCTCAATCAACCTTAAGATCTTGGCTAATGAAATCAACACAGCTCTGCTAGAACCTCAAGCTTCGTTTGACCCACTTTTAGATAATATCGAAACTGTGAGCACTGAGGGTTTTAAAACTCCCATTATTTCACTGGAAGCTACCTTCAAATGCCTTAGTACGGTCAGCTCCTCCAAAGCTGGGGCCCAGATAATATCCCAAACTGGGTCTTTATGTGACTTCGCTCCTGAGCTCGCTCAACCTCTTCGTTGTATCATCAATTCCTCGATTAGTCAAGGGACTTTACCGGACATTTGGAAATGTGCAAACATCACCCCTCTTCCCAAAACAAAGATAGTTGAGGATGCGGCGAAAGATTTGAGACCTATTTCACTGACACCAACGTTGTCCAAAATTGCCGAGCACTACGTCGTCCATGAACATGTGAAACCAGCACTTCTGAAACGCCTGGAACCCGATCAATTTGGGTGTATTCCAGGATCCTCCACTGCGCATGCATTGATAAACCTGATGCACAATTGGGCACAAGCAACAGACGGAACGGGGAACACCGTGCGGATCTTTGCGTTGGACTATAGAAAAGCCTTCGATCTGATAGATCACAGCCTCTTGCTATCGAAACTCTCGACCTACAATATCAACCCTTACATCATTAATTGGATAATAGCCTTTCTTAAAGATAGGAAACAAAGGGTCAAACTTGCACATGATTGTCTCTCACAGTGGGGATCGGTCCGAGCAGGAGTACCGCAGGGAACAAAATTGGGACCGTGGCTATTCTTGGTTATGATAAATGATTTGAAAGTACCATCAGCCAGTGATTGTATAAAATATGTAGATGACACGACAGTGTATGAAATCATAAGCAAGGGCGGTCCTAGCAATGCTCAGTCTATGATAAACGAAGTAGCTACCTGGTCAACACTTAACTCGTTTCAACTTCATCCGAAAAAATGTAATGAGCTAAGAGTTTCCTTCGTGCGCTCCCCTCCTTCCTATGATCTCATAGAAATTAATGGCTCTAACGTTAGTGCCGTTAGTGTCGTGAAATTACTGGGTGTGTATTTTCAAGACAACCTCAAGTGGAACACTCACGTTACTGAGATGATTAAAAAGGCCGCTAAGCGCCTTTACTTTTTAACTCAGTTAAAGCGAGCCAAGGTACCATCACCAGAATTAGTGAATTTTTATGTTGCTTGCATTCAATCCGTCTTACTTTATGGATGTCAGGTCTACCATTATAGTCTCCCCGATTAAGGCAAGAGGTTCAATCTCCCCATTTTCCAACTGATTTCTGCTGTAAGTATCAAGCTGTAAGTCTCTAATGACTGTGCAGATGATGATTATGATAATAAAGGAAACAGCCAAGACTCAAAAAAGTAAACCATCACAAATCTCCTACCTTTTCAAATTCCTCCGGTGAAACTTCCCCATCTCCATTTAAATCAAACATTTGGAATGCAATTTCAAACATTCTGGGAGGTACTAAACAGAATGAAAGAATACCATCTCTTATTTAGAAATGACACTAGCCTTTCAATAAAACTGGTACATAACTAACAAAAGTTTCAATCAATTTAAACAAAGCCGAAGGAAATTCCAGCGAATGTGTAAGATGAACTGAGAAAAGAAACAGTCAAAAAAGTATACTTCTGAGGAACAAGGACTACCCAAGAATTGGCACTTTAACCCTCTAAACTCCCAAAACATAACTTTTCTCTACATTATCAATACAATAGCAAACAGACATACATGATAACACTGTTAGAAGAAAAATATAGTCAGAGAACGAAATAAGCCCATGTTCTCCCATCCTCAAGAAAACACTCTCCTGGCCCAAGTGTTCAGAAAGCTCTCCTTTATACTTGTGTTTCTGAAAAGTCAAAGCCAAAAAAAATCAAATTTTTGTGACTGTGAGAAGTAAATAAGGGGGAAGCAATGAATAAAGGGGGAAGGGAGACATGCATGCATAGATTTTAGTACCCACTAGGTGAGCAACCGGCTGAGTGTAATTCCTGACTCTTCAGCCATAAAATATAAGTTAGAGTAAATTTTAAAAAATATATTTATGATATTGTATAATAAATATGATTTATCTGTTACTTCTTCTTAGCATTCTCCTCATTTGTCTATTAGTAATGTTGCAGAAGGTGGATAGTTGAAACTCAAAAAGGTTATAATTTTATAAATAATAATAATTGTTCTATCATATGAAGATGGAAATCAAATACTGCATTTCCTCAAAGAAGCACCTAGGGCCTTATTAAAATTTTGGCTAAAGGGAGGGGCATTTATTGGAAGAAAGGCACTTAACCAGAAGAGGAACTTATTAAGAACAGATAACACACATGAGGGAACACTGCAAGCACATGGAGATAGAAACAACTAAAATGGAAAAGAAACTATTCTCCTGTACTAATTCTGCTGTATTCAAAGCTTCAAAGTTATAAATTAAGTGGCAATAAAAACTGGTTTTCCTCACATCCCTATTGTTTAAGAAAATGAGAGAAGAGGGGGGGTGGCTATTTGAGGAGAAAGCTTGTTTTAGAAATGGCCTAAAGGTGGGTGCTTATTCAGGGAAGGGTACTTATAAGGGCATGGGCCCTTATTCAAAGAAATTACAGTATTCAATAAAAAGCTTTCTAGGTGATAATGTGAGACATGACTCAGTCAGTAATAAGATGAACTATTAATGCAGTGTTAATAGAAAACCAAAAAGAAAGACAAGTGGGCAAGTAGACAGAGAGCCAGTTTGTGAGACAGACAGATAAATAGTCAGGTAGGCTGGCAGTTGAACAGGAAGACAAATGGAACATGGAAAAAGTTGAAATTTTGTTAAATATTTTAAAAAAACTATGGATCAACATTGTTAAGCTGGGATGTATACAATAATACAATCAGCTATCACTTGTCTAGGGCAATTATGTACCTCAGGATTAAATCTTTCATGTTCATCAAGTCCCAATCCTGAAACAAGTAATATGAATGAATAAATAGATATATGTAAAAATAAAATATTTCAAACATAAAGGGACAAAGGAATAAAAATCAACTGAATAATTTGAGAATTACTTAAAGCATAAGAAAAGCTACTTTGAGAAAAATAAGTACTACTAACTCAATAATACAATACTTGTTTGAGATTAAGTTATGCAGGGAAATTATCATTAATAGCTTTCATTTAATGTCTTAAAGTTAAACCAGTCCAAGAATTAAGCAAAGGCTTTTTGGTGCAATTTCTGCAAATCAAATTGCTTAGTGTCTACAATTTAAAGTACAACACAATAGAGATCAAGAAATACAAAATCCTTCTTTACCAGCAGGTTGTATTTTTCCTGGGGTCAATGATCTCACAAAATCCTCAGGTGTCATGAACACATCATTGTCCTCACCAATATGCACAACTTTTAGTGTTGCAAAGTATCTGAAAACCTTGTCTGGAGTGCTGTATTGTCTGATTCGATTTTCATACTCAATAATCTGAGGAACAAGGGAAAGACTTCACCACTTAACACACATACCTTTCCCTGCTCTCTAGACTCATAAGCCTTTTCCTCTTAAATTCAAAGTTCCCCCATTAAACAATCAAAGTTAATCAAGGTGTGTAATAAGCACATGCCATCCTCCTCCACATGCAGGAGAATATGCAGAATAACACTTTTCTATTGAGACTTGGAATGCAGTTACCCTCTTTCTTAAACATCTTTTTTTGGACCATACTAGTAATTTGAAAGCCAACTGGTTCACCTCCTGTCATTTCGTTTTTCACATATTTCATGTTACTGGTATGTTAAGAATAATATGGTTTATTTGTTCTTTTGATACATTGAGTTCCTGAAAACTAGCTGCAATATGTGCACTTCTACTGAAAACATAGCAATCATGTCCACTGATAAGACAGCTTTAGATTGAAGTTTGACAACTGCCTTAACATATGTTTGAGGAAAAATTCGAGTGGAGTCTGGTATGATTATTGATTTCCTATAACACAGTTTTAAATAAAACTTAAAACTACCCTCCCCATATCCTCCAACCAAAAACAAAAAAGCCAAATGTGATACATTGCCTGCGCGTACAAATAATCAACTACTCCTTCGAAAATGTAATGTATTGTTAACTGTTTTTAGGAATAGTAAAAATATACGATGACCATTTTAAACACATACAAGTTAAATTTGGATCGAGGATAACATCAGTAAAACCAGTACTAGGAAGATGTCAAAAAAATCAAAAAGGTTTTTATTACCCTTCTCTCTTTAAATCCATGTTTATCCTTCTTCCGTTTACCTTCTGTCTCGTCCTCTCCCTTGTCTTGAGTTTCAACCACGTTTCTATCAGTTTTAAAATCAATAGGAAGATTTTTCCCTTCGGCACGAGCTTGATTGAGTCTCCTGAATAAAAAATACAGCGAACTATCAGGCCGACAGATGATCCGATGATGAGCCCTATATTTCTCCGTTGTTTACGAAAACGTTCTTCTCTGCTTTCTTCCTGATGAGATTGTTGATTTTCCACAGCTGATGAACCAAAAAAGCTCGCAGAACATCTGGCGTTTTGATACAAGCGACCCCTACGAAGCTTGCAGTTACTGGATTTTGAAAAGCATTTCCGAACTAATGAAAGTTCGTTGAGTAGACTCCGCAAAACTAGGCGGGTACCCATCGTCATTGACTTGTGGCGATGAAAAGAGTCTCCAATTAAAAAGGAAGCTTTTTGTGGACAAATAACATACCAAACCGGCAGGAAGCAGGCGAAATAATTGCCAAAATTTTGCTGTGCTTTATTCTTCAATGAAGATGTCGGCTGGTGAGGGTTTGAAACCGCTGGCCTTAAATGAACATAAACACATCTAGCGAACACACCTAACCTCCGAAATTTACCCACATTTATTTCGGCAGTTGTTTTCCAAGTGCCATTTTACCTAATATTTTATTGTAAGCTTTACAGTTATTACTACCTTATATGACGACTTGCGGGAAAATGTCTAAACAAAGTAGTTTTAATCCCAGGGGGAGAGGTGTGGATAAACAACTTGTTCAATTTTGTCAACTTTAAATTTTACGAGTTTAACAAGTTTTTTCTTATCCGACATAACATGCTATGGAAGAACATAAAATGAAAAAAATAATATGGTTGTTTTTCAATCATCCACAAAGAAAATGTCAAAAAAGAATAGAACACCATATAAGTATTTCCCTTGGGTAAAATCTTTCCAACCTACCCCTCCTACAGAATGTGCATATTTCATGTGATCAAGAAGGCGTTTGACATGGCGGGGACGTTGAGGCTCTCTCGATCTTCATCGATCGCCCTGTTTAGTTTTAAGGTAAATCACCGAAACCTAAAACCGTACTTTTTTTGCCTAAAATCCACTGCTATCTTTCTGTTTCCTGTCAGCTATGTATAAACTCTCCCACTCTCTTATCAATTTGTGAAAATTATTTTACGTTGTCAACACCATTGAAAATGTGAATTCGAATATTCGAAATCTTTGTAGTACTTTTGGTCGTGAAGGTGATACTGTTATCCTTGCACGTGTGTGCATTTTTTCTTCAGGGAGCACGTCTAAATAAGAGCGTCTGGAATAAGGTACCGAAGCACTGGATTTTCGTTTCTGCGCTATGTAGAAGCGGTAAGTTGACACTTTGTTTGCCTTGCAGCTGTCGGAAGAATTGAAATCATTTTTATCGCCGAGAAATGGACTTGTGTTATTGAAGCCTCTTTATATTAAAATGGTATTTCTTACGGGGAAAAAAGGGAAATCATAGCCTTGTTGATCGAGTACGTGCGAAGAATGTGATCATACCTCTTGAACCGGTAGTTGTTTACGTAGTATTTCCTGCCGGCATATCATAACCCATTCTGGAGAGTAAATTTTTTAAGTATCTCTTATGAATACGAACTCCTTCTGTAATTCTTTCTGGTGGAAAAGGGTAAGTGATCAGTCCACGCAGTTATTTTAAAAGTGGTAGAACACAGGCAGATCACTCTAAGGGTGCGAAAAACAGGGCAAGCTCTTTAAATTTGTAAACAACAGCCTCTATTTGGCGCGAAAATAAATAAACATTAGCCTCCATTTGGTGCCTAAATATCTGACAACAATTAGTTGATGAACGCACCTTGGATTGAGATGGTTAATAGCCAACTAGGCACATAGAGCGAAAGTGTCTATGACCACTATCGTGTTTTATTAAATTTCATTAACATGAGTCCAAATTTGGAGCTTTTTCAGCTCCACAACTATTGGTGTGGTGCATTTCCATTTTAAGGTGACTCCTAAAATAAGCTGATAGCCAGAGTTGAGTTGTCACTAGAAATGCAATGTTCAAAGTTGAAAGTTTAACAGATAAACAATAGCCTCAATTTGGCACAAAAATATATTAAACAATAGCTGCCATTTGGCATGGGAATGTGCTTGGAGATTTGTCCACAGATGTTATCTGTTGCAAAATGCGAACAGTTTTCCAAGAGCAAAGTTAAAGAAAAACTGCAACCCTTAAAGAACTGATAATGTCAAGAACAAATATACAAACTTATAATCCATCAGTTATTGTTGCTTGCATGCAATTGGTCCAAATGCAGTACATGACCAAGTATTCCCAAGCTGAAACTGGGGAATATGCAGTGATATACCCCAAATAATGTTCCCCAATTTCCCATCCTTACATCCATTATGATGATAGTCTTCTTTTAAGTTTTAATTCAAGATAAAAGAGTGCCAAGCTGTTGTTACAGGGACATTTTTTTTACACAAATTGGTACTTGAGATCACTGAAAAGTAAACATACCACACAGTAAACAGTACACTGTTTGTAAATATTTTGTCCTGTGCATTGCAAAAATATTTGATGGATCATGAACAAAGTAGTCTCCACTTAGCACTACAAAATGCTTGAATATTGGTCCAAGGACACAATCACACCTCACACCTCACAGTCTTCCTTAAACTTCTCACTCAGCTAACTGTTTACATCTTGGACTGCATAATATCCATGGACAAATATCAGAGGATATTTTTGCACCAAGTAGAGGCTACTGTTTTTATATTTCAGCACCAAATGGGAAAATATGAGTGACCAAGATTGGGTGGTTGGTTTTAGTTTTGCAACTGATTGGCTTGGCCAGTCACACAAGTTTTCAGGACCAATCAAATAGGGAAGTAAAACAAATCCATTGCAATCCTGTGTTACATTTGATACTCAATTGAAAATTGCTATATCCTCAGTCCAAGTTTTACTTCACTGCATGTTTGGGGCATGAGGGAAATGTACAATAAACTTATTTGAAAAAAGCAAAGTACAGCTGCACCTCGATTATCTGGACCTCAAATATTTAGTTTTTCTGATTATCCAGACTCACTTGTCTGGTCCCATTTTTTCATGCATATTTATTAGTCACATGTGATATCTATAAAAATTCTTCTCCATCAAACAAAGCAAAGGTTCTGAGACAATGTCAACACTATTTAATTAATCCAGTTGAAAAGAATGATACAATTAGTGGCATGAACAGACTGTAGCAGCTTGAAACAAACTACTTTGCATTTTAGGTTGCAAGATGTTGTTATCATAACACTTCTTTTAATAGGAAAATTTTGGCAATGGTGCACAATGATTTGAGAATGTGCCTTAATTCTAGCATAAAATTAATTGAATGTTATGAGGACAGTTTTAACTTTTGGCTCATGAATTTATATATTTGTTATTAACAGGATTATTCAGCCCAGTTCCCACAAGTCCAAATAATTGAGCTTTAACAGTAAAAGGTTAAGATGCTTAACAAAGTGGATATATTTTCTGGTCACCCAAATGTTTTTTTCAACAGATAAGGTTTCTGTGGGTTTTAAAAGTGGTTTTCCCGTCATTTTACTTCCTTTACCATCAAGGAGGGAACAGTGTGAATTTGTTCTACGCCCACTGACACACACAGTTAAAGACTTCTTGGAAAACATACAAAAAGAAGACAAGGGAATCGAAAGAGCTACAGTTTACAATGTAGATGGCTCTAGAATTTCTGGAAGCACAGGAGTTGATGTGTTACTGCAGTCTGATTTTAAAGTGGTTTTGAATGACAACTCATATTTTGTATCAGTACCAGATGAGAGTAAGTGCTATTTAGACAAACTAAGGATTAATAATTATCATTATTATATTACAGAAATGTCGGTTTAGCCATCCTCACAATTAAGCCTTTTTTCTGTACTCAAGCAAACATCCTTCTCTACATATATAGCAGTGAGAATTGTAGTACCTCAACTGTATTTGGCACTATTTTGCAGTAATTGCTTAGAGTTTGCTTAGGGTTAGGGTTAGGGGGATCTGAAAATGTTCCATATGTTTACTTCAGGTGAACTTAATTGAAGTTCTCCTGGACCATGTCACTAGAGCTTGTCATACTTTCTGTAGCATAAAGTGATCAAGAATATAGTTTGCTCTAAATGGCAGTCCATCCAAAGTCCCCCATTCCCCACTCTCAAGGATCCCCCCTCCACTTTCAAGGATTTGTCCCTCTTTTCTGTTAATTGGCTAGTTTGCTTGAAGTATGTAGTGCTGGTTAAGGAGAAACACTAAAGGATCAAAATATCATGTTTAGGAACACAACAGCCAGCTTTCAAACCCAAACCTTCGGATCCTGTGTCCAAGGTGCTAACCACTGGGGAACTGTGTTTCCCAATTTAAAAATACTGTTGTCTTCCTAAGGATTAACAACTAACTTTAAGAGAACAAGACTGGAATTAGGAGGAAGTTATCCAGAGTTTACTATCTAAACCAAGCAAATAGTGCAGAGAGTGGAGATTCAAGGCTCCTGCCAATAGTATTTGACTGCTTTGGAGAGTACATTTCACTGATTTTCATCAATTTAATTCTTTTGCTCTCTTTTGTAGCCAAACCTCCAATTGATGACTTTAAAACAGTTGCACATGTTAAAACCTTGGTCCACCAGTTGTACAGTGCTATGAACATAGAGCAACATCAGGTATGTGGCATGATCTATTTATATTTATATATATATATATATATATATATATATATATATATATAATAAGCTCAGTTATGCACGCATTCTGATTGGTTCTCACTTATGATCTATTGGAGGACGGACGTGTAGATGACGTCATCATTAAAACTTTTTTCCCGCATACTTTAAGTCTTTATTATATAAAACAAATAGATTCCAAGTTGCCGTGCGTCTGTTCAGTAATAGATCACAGAGGACGTCAAAATGTGGTAAGAACATCAGTGACACACTCGGCTGCGCCTCGTGTGCCACTTTTTTATTCTTACTAAATTTTGACTTCATCTGTGATCTATTACTAAACAGACGCACGGCAACTTAGAATCTGTTTGTTAAGTGGATTCACTGTCTTTCATTTGTCTATTTCACTATGTTATATTGTATACCAAAAATGGGAAGTATGGATAAATGACTTGGTTGATTATTTACATTAATGTAAAAACTCCTCTGAGAAACTTAATTAATTAACTTAATTACCCTGTTAAAAATACATGAGGCCAAGTAAAGACAATTTCTTGTGAAAATAAGTTTGTTTGCATGGTAATGAAAAATGCTTTTCGTGTCAATGGATTCACACTGGTCCTCATTAAAAAAATTGCAGTTTCTGTATAGCTCAATATCGGAGCTGTTTTTTTTTTTGTTTTTTTGTTTTCAGCTGGAAAAAGAACGTTATTTGATGGCAGAGCTGGAAAAACTTCAACTAGAACTAAAGCCTATGGAAGACATCAAAGCCGAAATCGACCGCAAGTCAGCTCAACGAACCAATATTGTAGTGTGGGGTGGGCTGGGGTACATGGCATTCCAGTTTGGTCTGTTAGCAAGATTGACTTGGTGGGAGTACTCTTGGGATATCATGGAACCTGTAACTTATTTTGTGGGATATGGAACTGCCATGGCTTGCTACGCTTACTTTGTGTTGACAAGACAGGTAAGAAATGGTCACCATCGCAGCTGTATACATGAATGTCTCTCGAACACTCCCCTCCTCCCTCCCCCCCTCCCACCCTAAGAGATGTTAGTTAGGGAGGAGCGTTACTTAGCATTCTGCTGAAGGACAGCTGCAAGGGAGACTAGGTAACAATCTACGTGGCTCTATTCGACGTGCATGAGAGAGATTGCGTTGCGTGATGTGACAAAGCACACTCAACTGTAAAACGCTCTTGTTGTTTGGTTTGATAAGGAAATACCAAATTGAAAGAATTAAGAGAAAAAATTCAAATTGAAGGAGAAGAGTTTAACGATTATTTCTGGGGTGATTTGCTGTCGTCGTGAGTCGACACGTCACGTTTTTTTTTGTTTTTTTTTTTCAGGAATTCCTTTACCCCGATGCCAGAGATAGGCAGTTTTTACTGTTTTTCCACAAGCTTTCAAAGAGGAAAGTATTTGATATTAGGCGATACAACGAAATTAAAGATGCTATACTAAAAATTGAAGCAGATTTACAAGTTCTGCGCAGTCCGTTGTTCTTACATTTGCCTGAAAATGCTCGGATGGAGCTGTTGGAGAAAATTTCTCCGAAAGAGGATGAAAAATAACTTTGAGATAGAAATATTCCGTTTAAACCCGAAGTGAGGTGTACTTTTTTTTTTGTAATCTTCCATGGACTGTGGCGAAATAATTATAATAAAAATAATTCTTAATTTGAGTGTCAACATATAAATTAATCTTTTAGAGCGAGATAGCAACTCACACTAAGACCAAACCTTGCACCTTTTGACCCTTTAGATTGACGAGCATCAAATTTCTCCTTACAATATCACCCTGAATCAAACATTAAGGTCGCAAGAATAACTGAAATGATCAACTTAAGAAGCTCGACTGTCGAACAAGTTCTCCTTTGTTAGCAACTTACGAAATGCGGAAAGAACAGAATGGAATGTATGTATACTGATGCTACTGTGTGTAGGGTTAAACAATTGTGGGTTTTGCAACCTGGGGAACATGTACCAAAGGTCCTGGTTGCAGTCATAGCCGGGGTCTTTATTTTCCTGTGCATTCTCGGGCTAGATGAATGAGTGGTGCTAGTGAACTGTCAGGAAAATCCGGGTGGACATAGTAAGAAGTAGAGTGGCAAGGGAAAAGGAGGGGGAGGGGGGTACCTTGCAGTAGACCAACATCTCATCAAGGAAATATGATATTCATAATCAGCTTATTCTTGAGAAACTGAGGAAAAGCTTAACAGCTATGCTTTGCTACAACTTACTGTGAGCACTTACTTTGTCAATGCATGATTAAGCATGAGCCTGGAAAGTAAACACATCGGTCAAACGGTCAGTCCATGAGCAAATATTGGAGTGGCCCTACATCGTGCAGTGACAGTTTTTAGATCCAAGCTGTATACAAGGGGTTAAAACAACTGCACAATTTTGTAAATCGCGGTTCGTTAAAACGAATAATTTTTTAATAAAATACAAGTATTCACTACAAGAATTTTAAGCTTACTTTTTGTGGAAAGTGAAAACTCTAACAAACGTTCTATCGATACTTTACTAAGGTGGGTTTGGCACAAAGTTCATAGGAGTCAGTCACCTCGAGAGATTTTGGAAATTCATATCATGCATGAATTTTTGCCATAAATATGTGCTCAAAATTTGTCGTCACGTTTAGATTTTCGTTAATAATAAATGCTATATCAACAACTTCTTGGAAACCTTTAACTAAAACTCCATGTCGCAACTTTAAGTAGATGAGGACAGGAAAAATATTTCCACGAAAGAAGTGCATAACACCCTTGGGGGAAATAATCTAGATGCGATATTTGAAGACATGGCTTTCTATCACGAGCCCATCCATAGTGTTTACGACTTACCTTCCCACTTCGTTCTATTTTTGTAGGTTTACTTTAGAATGAACAAAACCATCCAGAATTGTTCATATTTTTTTATGTTTTTCACAACATCATTTACTCCGCATGGCATAGACACCAGGCGTCATCGAAGTCAGGCATGTGATGTGATGAGTGCGAAAGAGCCATCTCATGCTACCTGGACGGCGTTTAACTGCATGAAATTCCATTTTTGCCTTTCGTCAGTTTTTTTGATGCATAAATCTACGCAAAAGGAATGGCAAATATCAAAGGGATTCCAATTTCAGATACGCCTTGGGGACTGATCTTAATCTGGGTGTTTTTCCCGTTCAGGTGTCTCAGTGACGGTAACAGCTGGGAAGCTTTATTCCTGTTTTTGAGCTTAGCTAAAGCTTAGAGTCTACGCCAATCGAGCAAATCAGCATTAGTAGCCAAGTGCGTCCACAAGTCCTACAGTCCTAGAAGGTGAGTAAGCTGTGTGACTTAACTAGATAAACGTTTTTGGCTGACTCAGAAAAATCTCTTTGAACATAGTCTTGTTCCATTGAGTTCCCTGGTTATTACAAGATCAAGATTACTGTTGGAAAAGCTCATCCATTAACATCGATTGATCACCAGGGAAATCGGAGATGTCAACCCAGCTCGCTTTGTGCTTATAAACATGTCTTATCCTGTATTTTACTATTTTTTAAAGTTATGATTCTAAACTTTTTAAACACGCTCAGCCTTGACATAAATAATTTCTAAAGTGCAACAACTTTTAGAAAGAAGTTGAAAATAAACCCTCTTACCACAGCCTTACGTTAGCACGATTCCCCTTTCACTTTTTTCTTTCCTATAGTAACGACATTTGCCTGTCCCTTAGTTTTTTTCTCGCTTTTGTCATTAGATTTTTGCTAACATTCCATGGTCGTTCCATAACCATTCTAAGTAATGTTTATGATGTATAAGTAATTTAAAAGTTAAATGCCTTTATTTCGTTTCCTCGTTGTTTTCCCATAGTCTTTTTCTACATCGAATCTGCAATTTACAGACATATGAAAATTTGGAGAACGAGAAACCAAATAAACAGTTGTTTGCCTGTGCCGCTCCACTGTCCTGCCTTGTCGAAGCTCGAATTATTCTTCCAGTTTACGTAATTTTGCTTTAAATTTGATGGCGTATTCTCCGAAAGCTAATGCTCAATCTTGCAGCAATTTCTGTTATCTTATTAGTTTTCTTTCAATGCATCACTTACTGAACAAGAAAGTAATTATCTGCTAGTTTGATTCTAAAACAACTGAGACCAAAGTGATGGACTGACTTTGCAATATGCTGCAAACGAATTTAAACATTTAAACATCGTCGGCTACATGATTACCATGGAATAGGTCTTAAACTGTAGTCAGAACCGCTCTCGAGACAATTGTGAGACTTCTCTGTGTTGATCAACAAGAGAAATACTAGTGTGTAGGCAGCTAAACATATGTTGTATTCATGCCTTAATGTCTGATCTTAGCTAATTGAATATCTCTCACATTGTTTGGATCTGTTGAGCGGATGCACACAGCTGATTTGCTTCGCCACTCTGGTTGTTTTTTTCATCCTGTGTGGTAAAAATATGCGATCTGAGTGACACCTCCGCATCTGTTCTCATAATTTCGTGAGATGTTTTTATTTTTATTGTTAAGCTGTAAAAACCCAAACCGGAAAAAAAGTGATTAAATGAAAAAGTTATCAAAAGATGCTGAAAAAGTTTCAAGTGGTTATCTAAAGTGTTTGTAAAAAAGAGAGTTACCTCCAAATTTTTTTCCGTAGGGACAAAGGGTTTTTTTTTTATTTTTCAAAGACCTGACTACATGAAAATTCATAGGAGAAAGTTGCTTTGAATGTCAATGTACTGGATTTTGCCAGTAGAATTTCAGTTTCCAAGTATCGCGTTGTATAATTGTGAGGGATAAAACAGGGAAGAAAAGAGGTTTATCAGAGCAAAAAAGGGGAAAAACTGTTTACCCAGGCTCTGGCCTTTTTTGCAGCTCAAAAAATATAAAACTCAAGTAAAAGATTGTTGTTTTGATCGCACTCATTTGTTTTGACTGTACGCAGGGGTTAGTCATCTGAAAAACCACCTCAAAATGTGTTCGTGCCTATCATTGATACGTACTCGTAAACTTACATAAATTGTCTCGTGCAATTTGAACTAAATATGCACTCGTAAATTTTTTAAAAGAATATAAATTGGTTACTACAGCGACAAAAGGTTAATTAAGAGTGAAAAAAAACCACAATTCTTTTCATAAGAAAGTTTACCAAAATCTTTTGTCTAAGATTAATTATTCCTCAGCAAATTGTTGCCGATCTCTTAAAAAATAGAAATTTCTCTTTAAAAACTTTACTTTAAGCACTTTTTATGCCCTCTTTATTTTTTCTTTTTTTTGTTTTCTTTTTTTGTTTTCATTTTCTTTTTCATCGTTATCCATTTTCCTAGCGGCGCAAAATGGAAGGATCAGATAACTCCAGTGGTACTGTAGCTTTATCGTTAGCGCCAAGCGAAGTCATAGCTTGGTGCGTTATTTTCGGCGTGGAAGCCTTGGTGGCCATTACAAGCAATGTGGCCACAATCGCTATATTCCTCACTAACAAGCGAATCCGGGCTCAAACGTCCATCCTCCTGGTTAATTTAGCTGTAGCTGATTTGCTGGTGGCCACAGTGCCCATACCTGGGTGGGTGTACTTCTTTGGAGCTCAAGCCAACCTCTGGGCAGACAGCACTCATCTGGCTGGTCACATTACCTACTCTGCCCTGGATATTGGAGGAGCGTTTGCTTCTGTTACCAATCATGGCTGCATCGCTGTAGAACGACTTATAGCCACGCTGTTACCTTTCAAATACAGAAGCAGTAAAAGGATAATCACCACACAGCTCATTATTATGGTATGGATGTGTGCAGTGTGCATCCCTGTGGTGACTCTGGTTGGTTTCCATGTCCTTCATTCCAACATGGTTGCTTTTTTTGTTTGGATGCCATTCCTTACTGTGCTGCTTCTGGTCATCACTGTGTCCTATTCCATCCTGTTGGGCAGAATGAAATGGCTGGCACGCAATCTTCATGATCATGAGGGAACTGAGCAGCGTAACCATCGCTTCACTGTCACCGCCTTGATGGTCACTGTAGTGTCCTTACTAGCGTGGTTGCCTTTCATGATTATGAGTGCCATTAACCTGGTGGCGCAAACCATCAGTCATGACGTCCGACTCGTGAGCATGGTCAAACTCCTGCACTTCTTCAACTCCATCTGTAGTATTTTCATCTACTGGTTTCGGATCCCTAATTTCAAGGCCGCTGCTTACGCCTTGGTGTTCCGTCGCCATGGGATGGAACAGCCTGAGCGACACAGGGCATTATTTCAAAGTAGGAGGTCAAACAGTTGCCGTGACACAGCTGCAACCTCTCTCTAAAGATGCCTCTCCTTTCATTACGTTGCCAATAGGTATTCACCCTACAAAGGTCTTTTAATTTCCTTTTATCTGATTGCACTATGTGCCGCAGACGGATGGAAATTGGACGTCTCTGTGTGATTCATTTCTAATAAGAAATCTACGACCCGAAAAGTACTAAATAAAGATCTAGTTTTAAATGAGGTTATTTCAATTAGTAACTTCCCCATTAGAGACATCTAAAATGGTATCTGTTAAAGTGAAGGGGAACATCGGTATGTGAAATATTTGCTTCGTAGTTAGCACAGGGACAATGAAATATGAAGAACAAGGGTAGTGGCGTAAAAAAGTTCCTTGTTGCGTTAGCGCACGGCTAAGAAAAACTGAAGAGAGAGGCTACCGTACACATAGAAAACTTTGCGTGAGTTTTATTTTGCGGAATGGCGATTTTTCTATTTTTTTTTTTCGGGAACAAATCTTTGTGGCTTAAGCTATTAAAATGTAACCTGGAAACTACTGATTTTCGCGATTTGAGTTTCAGAAGAAAAGAAATGAACAGGGAGGGAGGGAGGCACGATATTCATAACTTTTATTACTTGTTGAGTTAACACACATTATACTTCTCGGACACCTTTCTTTTGATTCTATTATAGTAATTTTCAAGTGAGTGTCGAAAGTAATCCAAGATTGAAATGTTTTTGCTTTACTTTCACTGTGATTGGCCCAGGAAACTTGCACCACTCTCTCAAACAATCAGATCCAAAACTAAAACCAATCACGACTTGGTCGCTCGCGTTTTCCCGCGCTTTAGGCAGTTTGTTTATTCTTACCTTGAGTTCCCATTGGCTCTTGAGTCAACTTAAAGGTATTTTCCTTTCTTCTGATTTGTCGATCTTGGTTTTACGACATTCAATCGAAAACGCTCTAAGCCTTGGAAGGTCACACTTACCAACCATTAAGGAGTAACAAAGCAGCAAAATCTTTTTGCTGCTTTGTTGCTCCTTAAGGGTAAGCTTTACTTACTCTTGCCTACTCCCCTGGAGTTTTTTTTAATTGTGTTAAAGGCATACAGCACTATCATTAACATTATTATTTGTCGTCATCATTTTCATTTTAGCGGGAAGTAATTTATACTTATGGAGGACAATCTGCAATATCTGCGAAAAATTAAACCTGAAGAGTTTTTACGCCACATGGCATGCCTCATAAGTTCATTACAGTATTTCAAGCGCGTTCTTTATTGATAAGGTTCAAGATGACTAAAAATTTTACACGACGATGACAAAGTGTGGCCATGGTCGATCGAGGCGAGGTGAGGCAGATCCAGCGCAGTACAAGATTGGGCAACAGCCAAGCAAAATTACTTTCGTAAAGCTACTTATGTGAATCTTCTCCTGGCCTTTCACTCGAATGAAAAAAAGGGTAAACTTCGAGTTCTTCTCTGTGTAAATCCACTGTAGCAGTTTGAAAGGAATGAAAGAAAAGCCAGAGATAAATCTGATTCGAAGTTTGTTTATTTGAATCATCAAAACTTTTCAGTGTCTCCCAGGTCAGTAAGTAGAACCGAGACTTCCTGGGGATTACCTTTTCTCCAGGTTACTGTGGTATTTTTGCTTTTAGTGGGCGTACTCAATTCATCCTTTTGTGTTTTGCATCGAGGTGATCGAGAGGTACTTTGAACATCTTCAGTAACGCTGCGCTGACAGCTGGCGGCGCCTTTCCTCTGCCTAGAACTCGTGCAGAAAATTCGAACTACCGAGCTGCGAAACTCTGGCATCCTTAAGCTGTAAACTACAGGATTAACGAAGGAGTTTCCATAGTGAAGTACTTTGGAAAAATAAACAAAATTGAAACTAAAATGAACCGATGAAAACACGAACAGAACGTTAACAATAACAAAGGGAAGCCAGGCTGCAAGCGAGGTGAGTGTCACAATAAACAATGTCAAAGCTAGTTTGTTTTCATACTCGCTCGACTTTTGACGAATGAACCTTCTTTTCGATTTGATTCGGCGCCATATTGTCAAATACGAGACACTTATCACAATACAGAGCACGCTCAGCAGAGACATGGATACATAGGTTGCGATTTTCATGGAGTTAAGCACAAAATTACTCACAAGGCAAACGACTGTGGTGGTCGAAGCAACAGACCAAATCAACGCGATGGCAAACAAATAATTTCGCGAACTGAGACCGCGATAACCAACTGGAACCAAAGCGGCGTAAACACGTTCAAGAGAAATCACTGTAAGAGTTGTCAGAGATGCAAATCCAAGAAGAACATCCAGCCCGAACATAGTTATCTTCAAAGCCAGTCCCCAGTGAATGTTCCAAAAGGACATTTCGTCTCCTAGGTAAGCTAAATATAAAGGCAAAGGAAAAGCGCCGACTAACATGTCTGCTACGGAAAGATTAGTAAGCAGCATGAATTTACTTTTTCTCGAGGATTTGCTTGAGACAAATGCCAAAATAGTGATAAGATTACCACATACAATGATAAACGCTTCGACACAGAAGACCACGAACCATGGATGTGCCCTCGTGCTCGCAGGTGAAGGTATCGTGGTGTTACTCCAATTCATTTTTTTTTCTTGAATTTGTTAAAGATCCCCTGTGAAAAAAGAAACAAAATTGGCATTGAGTTCTCTTTGTTTCCCGTAAAACACAGCGTTGGTCGGTTAAAAGGAATTGATTACGGAATTTAAGTTGTGGGAAATATAATACGCTCTAAGACAAGAAGAATAAATTGTTAACATCCGAGTGGCCTGGCGGGGCGGCCAAAAGTTGAAATATCAATTTACCAATATTAAGGAGCGGCCAATGCAGGCAATTGTATGTTTCTTACTTTGAGCGAAGACAATATATGACTTTCATTGACGGTAATTCTCTCGCATGAGAAATCTAATCAAATAAAGAATATTCTCAAAAGTTATAAGCCTCCTTTTAATTATGCATTCAATAGCAGCCGTTGCTGTTTGACACAAGTTTGGCCCAAACTTGGGTGAAAGTAACGTGAAAATTACAAACTGAAGTAATGAGCATCATTGAAATGTTTCTTCGAACATTTAAAAACAAACCCTGGCAAAAAATCGTTTGTAAAATTTATGCTATTTAATAAATTTTCTTCTTAAACTTGAATTATTGTATTTTCCTCCAGCAAAATTTGTTGATTTAAAATCATTGGTTATGACGTGGTACGTTTTGTCTGTGTTCTTGGCTGGCCGCTTATTAACTATTGAAGCCCAAATTGAACTTGTTCTTCACGAAAACAGGGATTATCGAGCAGAACCCACTCACAATTTTACGAAAAAATTTTAAAACAAGTGTAGAAAGCTGCACATACGACGCACAGAATTATATATATAAAATAAATGTATCTCTTAGAATTTCTTTACACGTTGAAGAATGTTAAATCTTGCACGTCTTTTTATTTAATTTGTAGTGACCCAATATATGACTACTTCAGGTTTCGATTGTTTTTCATGATGCATTTCTTGATAATTAAACATCCTCCGTTGTTATGTATTGGAGTAAGGGTATTCGTGAATAATCTATTTTAGAGGTAGCGGAGATATGGTCTATCCTTAGTAAACTTAGTAGACTTTGTTTCCGAGGGAATTAAGATATATTCTACCTCTTAGATTGTGTTTTGATCATTACGTTTTATTAGAAGGAAATCTGTTATCAGCAAATATTGGATGACTTCTGAGCCAAACTAACATAGTCAAAATACAATTTAATATAAAAGCCATGTTGGGAATGCAATAATCAATGGCTCACCGTCGTCTGACCAATGATAACGAACCAGATATCGCCCAAGGTTTTCAAACTGCACAGCGAGGACTGCGTCACTTAAAATGAACCTGTGGAAATTCGCGGTTTAATTGAAATCCGCCACACAAACTTAGTTAAAAACCTGATCAATAAAACTGACTTCATGAAACTTAATATGTGATAAAGTACCGCATAGTTTACGGTGAGTTACGTAACCAGAAATCGCTTTAAAGAAGAACTTATTCTGTAAGCCCTGTAGTTCTGAGTAGTCTTTGCACCTTACGAAAGTAAATATAAATTCAAAGCAGACCTTATCGTTTCAACGAATTAAAGCAACCCGATCGCATAATTAACTTTTGTCATCGTTATTTACCTAATTAATACCCCTGGGAAACCTCTTAACACAAGGCATTATAATCACGATCGTTGAAATAATGGTTCTTTTTTTCATAAAACTAAAAAGAGTTCTTTCGAATGGGCCTATAATTAAAAATTTCATTACGATGGCTTTTAGTGGGATAAAGAGACGATGAAAGATTCATTTCATCTTCACTCGGATCTTGATCGGGTCCACGTTCTCACCGCACGTTTGTGTAAATAAGCCGACAGTCAGTATCGAAATCGTATGGTCTTGGTAGTAGTACTTTCTATTGATTTGCTTATTTTCTGACTAAATAACGATGGATCAGGCCTGAAAAAACAAGGATTTGACCATGTCTCCCAACCTAAAAAAATCACAAAAGAGGGCCTGAAATGAACTCCAGACCCAATCAGATTTTGAAACAGTATCTCACAATACCAGTGCAATTCTCCAAAAATAACTGAGCTATGAAGAAAATGACACTGGTGAAAAATCGTTTTTCCTGACAATTCTTGAAAGAAATGTGGACCATATAAGGTGCAGGAGCCTAGGGTTAACGTCGGAAATGAAACATCTCTGTTACTTGGAAGCCCTTAGTAATGGGCAGCACCTCTAGTTTATATGTTTTCAACTTTTTTGTAACTACGACTTAAAGAACGTGTAAATTGAACTTGTGTATTTCGTTTCAGCCTGACCTGTTGCTAATCTCACTAACATGTGGGACATAACTTAGAGACTGTACTAAAGCAAAATTGACTGCGCTGGTCATGGAATCTGAACAAAGAGAAAGATTTTTGATATTTCCCCCCTCCATGAAGGCAGGATCAAGAAGAAGGTTGACTGTTTATCGAGTCAAACCGACTATGATCATTTAAGCCATTGTCAGCCCCTTCTTCAAAATCCATGATCTCCTTCTTAGCTTAAATACGTCTACTTATATATATATATATATTAATTAACGTATCTTGCGTTATTTTGACGCCGCTTAAAGTCCTCCGGACAAATGATAATTACTAAATGACCTGGAGACGAGTCTTTACCCAAAACACTTAATTACCCCCGATATTCAAAAGTGATTACTGAGGAACCCTCCTCAGAAATCGCGTGAAAAGATTGCTGAAAGCGATTTAAATCTCATTCTCCTTCAATGTTTCTTAAATTTAAAGATCATCCAATTGGTTTCAGGCTGTAAAAGTCACGCGCTGTGAACTTTCTGTCGTTGACGAAGAAACTTCAAGCGTAATGTTCTTAGACTCGGGTGAAGCGAATTCATCTACCTTTGAAATTGTAGTCGATAACAGTACAGACATTTTTGAATGTGAATCAATTTAACTTGTGTTTGAAGAATTGCCAGAAATCAAACTTAGAATTTCGAAATGGAGTGTGATAGAAAGGATTTGAAATGACAGAATTGAAATGACATAAATGAGCCCAAGAAAATAAACCTTTCAATATTTAGAGAACATAAGCAAGAGGTAATTGTGAATAATTTCCCATGCGACCTCGATTTTGCACTTATTTCAAAAGGAAAACGACATCCCTGCTGAACCTCATAAGGCACCTTTCACGGGTAAACTTTTTTCAACTCAAAGTGAGCTGAATTGCAATAAGCGAAGATTTATAAGCTTCTTGAATTTATCCCATCGAATTCTGCGGATGCATTTGTGCGTTGAATGAATTTATTTCATAATAGTTAATTACTGCAAAGTCACTTTAGCACTAAAATTGAAGCACCAAGAAAGCCAATGTTGTCTAAAAGCAAATATCATTAACTGCGCGGTGAATTTTGTTATTTAACAGGTCTTATCATTGTCTTAAGCTGATCCTATCAAAGACGCCGGAATAATTGTATTTTGATTCATACATTAGTGTAGGATGTTCCGGCTGGAATAAGCCAGAGAACTCAAACATGCCGCACACTCCACTGAAGCGAAGTTCACTCTTTTTTTTTTGTCTTTGAATTGGCAATATCGTTCCATTTGTTCTAAATGACCTACTTTATAATGACCTACTTTGTTATTCATACCTTAAAGACGTGATCAAATTTTGAATTTTTCCAGCAGCTCTTTGGAGTAGTGGTGCAAAAAATTGACGGAATCAAGCTCCAACTGGCTCATATCGTAAACTCGTCCTCTTCTTGTGATAAGATCCAGATGTTTGAATATTTTCCACATCCTTTTTCTTTTTTGTCTTTTCGATATGAATCGTTACATTGCTTGTAAATACCTAACTCCGCCGGTTGCTTTCAAGTTAACAGTCGTTTAAAATATTCAACAGATTTATCTGAGACCCTTGACTATTGAGATGGAAATTTCAAGGATTTAAAATTGATTTCTTGAACTGAGAATGGTTGTTGAGAATTCTAGTGGAGGTCTTTAATTTAAGACCGCCGACTGTGAAAAAATGAGATTTGAACAAATTAAGAAAAGCGACAGAAGCAATTACATTAGTTGACATTAACTTCATTCTACCAATTTCAAGCTAAGTTTTGTTAATAGATGTGGGCTGTTTCGAGCAAAAGAAAAATTTTGACAGAGAAAAAACTCCAAACTCTGGGAATAATTCCAGTTTTTAAGTATTTGACATAGCTCTGCATTTAATGGACAATATAGATATTCTATCCTGCTCTTTAACACAGACAAATTATTCGGCACTGTATTTGTTTTTGAAAATAAATTGGAGTCGGTGTTCGCCCAGAAAATACTCACGAAGAATACCAAACGTTTCCACAAAAGTATATAAACTGTCGCTTGATTCCAATGTGCTGTGTTTTCTAGATTATTTTCTGATGCTAGGTATGAAGTATTCATTAACATGTTAATAAGGGTTTGCTAGTTGCAGAGGTCGCGGAACAGCAGTCAAGCACAGCCCAAAAGAAAATATTTTGGGCGGGCAGTGGGGGAGGAGGCTCAGTCATCGTTATCGAAGTATACCACCAGCTTCCTTACCTATTCCGTGATGTGATCTTATCACAAATCGTTTTATCAGAATGGCACACTAAACTGCTACTCTGCAAGACACTTTTTGTTTTGAATAAATGTCCACTAATACAATGTTAAAAATCAAGCACAGATGCACTGGACAAAGAACATTTTGGGATTTCAATAAGGCATGCACTTGGCTTGGTGAAGGTTGAGCCCACCCCACGCCCCTTACGCTCCGCCACCCCGTCCTGTTGGAGCGTAGCGCTAGTTTCGCTTTACATAGTAACCATATTAAGGGTTATTAGCCTGCGTGGCTCAATAAGCCTTGCAAGGCTTGCAAAATCAGCCAAATTATTTTTCACTACGCAATTGAGAAGAAAAGTGCAGCTTCATTTTCCTTACTTCTATGTTTTGCCCTTGTTGTCAATTTTAACGATCACTGAAAGTTCGTTGTTGTTCTTCTTTTCTCGGTTCAAACGTCAAAATCGATCATTTTCAACAGTATGAAATATATCCGCCGTACATGTTGGACAACCATTAATTATTCTACCATAAACCCGATCCTGTAGTAAGTTCGCATGCATTTGTCTGTGAAGGGGAACTATTTGCGGTAAGAGAGAGTCAGGATATTGTTAACCAACCGACAATTACTTTGCCTGTTCAGATAAATGGAACGATCAGGTAAGAGTGATTGAATGATGACAACGAACTGATTTGCCTGAAATTATTCGCTCCATTGGACTCGTCCATGATTTTGGCACAAAGTGCTTTTTTCACGTATTATTGACACAGGTAAGAATTAACAAAAACAGCTTGAGTTCTATACTCGAATTCTGACAGGAAAATGTCTGCTGTCGGATGAACCATACAAACTCCATTAACGCACGAAAAAAAAGTGACTTATACTTAAGTTCGGCTTGTCAGCCAAATCTTTTCAATTATAACGTGCAATCAGAAGATTTGCTCTATAGTGAAAAATGATATATCGGTAATGACAGCAGAAGTCGGTTTGACAATTGTATGGTATCATGTGTATATCTATTACTGCTCAGAACCCCTGATGAGCGCAAAGCCAAAACCTAAATTGACTGAGAACTCAAGTCACAGGAAAAATTTCAAAATCGTATTTAAACCTTGTTAAAAAAAAAAAAACTGATCCATCGCATTATTTGCGATAGGTAAACAACGAATGAAATTACCCCGGAATGAAGGAAATTTTTTAAGTTAAAACATTTTTTCACAATTTAATACACGTAAAAAGGCGAAAGAGTCCACAATTTTCAATGAAAAGATTAATACCGATTTTACTTAAAAAAGCTGAGAAACTTTGGCCGTTTTCAGTTCAAGGTACCAAAAAGTGATCCACAGTTTTGAACATGGAAACTGAGGCGTCAATAAATGGAATTTTTTTCGCGCCCAAGGGGCAGGTGTGAATAGTAATTTGTTAGATGATACGGAAAAAGAGTACCGATAGAAAACTCGAAGTTACCTTAATAACATCGCAATCCTAAATTCTTAACAGCTTTGAAATTTTTTGCTGAACATTTGATCAACTTACATCTTTCATGATTTGCATTTTTTGAACAGTTTTAGAGAATTAGCTATCATGTAGGAGCAGTTTCGCTGCATCTCAGATTAAGTGAGCATTATTTGGTATCAAATAAATTAAAGGGATTAAACTCAAGGCAACTTTACACTGACCTTTCTATTCCTTCCAAACCAAGCTGCCAGTAGTTTAAAAAAGCTTTCTAATTGTAGCAGCTTTCCAATCAGTAGTGGAAGGATTGAGATTTCCCCATTACCTTATTTATATAACACAGAGCACTCACAGTTGACATGGACAAAACAGCAAATAAAATGGTTTTACTCTAATGAAGAGATCAAACACCCCACTGCCAAAAAGTAATTAATGGGTGCAAATTAAAATTGAAAAGGGGCTTCATGTTGTGTTATCAGAATATGCTATCGAAGAAGAATGATTTGTTACAAGGCCCGAAAAACGACAGAAAGGTGAAAAAACTTGGAGAAAGATAAGGTCGTTTGACTATTTCTTCTTTTTATTATTAATATTATTATTATTATTATTATTATTATAATTTTTTCTACAATTAAAGTGAAAAGTTAATCGCCCGAGTCAAAAAAATCCACCATGACACTGCAAGTAACTATATAAAACCAGGGCCAGACACTACAGAAAAATGTTTTGAAAGCATTTTAGCATTAGGGAGTTTAATTTTTTAATTTTCAAAAAATTTTAGGAGGCGGAGAGAGTATGGGACAGACAGGGAAGAAATTCTTCAATTCCTCAAGGTAAGTCGAAGGACACAAATTATGTGCCAATAGCTATGGTGATGATGGTCTTCTGTAAGAATTATGCTTTAGATATTATTTACTTCCTCAATTTCCCAACCTTAATTAGAAATTGAAAAGCCATTTGGCGTGAAAATATATTAAATCTACATCATGTGCTATCACTGATCCACTAATGACCAAATACACTCAATACTTAAGTTTTTCCCATTTTTCTCTGTAACCCTATCTTATTTATTTCGAAGGTTGGATGTGGATAGGGAGAGCTTTTTCTGAACTAAAAATAGGGTTGGCTGATCCCATACCTGCCTTCAATAAACATGTCCTATTATCAACTGCAGATCATGACACAATGAGACTGCTCTTTAAATTCTTTACCTTGGATTTCAAACGATTGGATTTCAAAATTCCCATCTCAAGAGCTGTGGTATCTTTTGACAAACGTGCCACCTGAGCACGAAGCAGTACAGCTTTCTCGCTGATAAAAGACTGATCGCGACACAACATCTTCGTAAAAGCCCTCTTAAACTCGGCGATCCTCAGCGAATACACGAAAACATTGGCGCACGAGTTCCCATAATGCAAAAGCTTTGTGAGATAAATTAGCGACAAGCTCACCGAAACAGGTTGAAGCTGATTTACAATATTTAAAATCGTAAATGGGAGCCAAGCACACAGAGATATAAGCGTGACAATAAGTAAAGTAATAGTCAGTCTTCGCTCTTGTAAAGTTGCGTTACGAAAGTGAGATGATATCTTCCGATTTCCAACCTGAATCCAGATCACTAAGTTTGTAACGAAAACTATCACACAACAAATAGAGAGGATAACAACAGAACTATAAAAGATAAATCTTAAAGGGATGTGGCGAGTAAGTAATTCAATGGCTATGATGGCAAAAGCAAGAAACCACACGAACATAATTCCCACCACGTATTCTCGTGTTCGCATCAATCTGTGACGTAACGGCCACAACGTTGCCCAAAGCCTTTCCAAAGATATCAGCGTAAGAGACAAAATCGAAGCAAGGCCTGAAATGACATCCACCGCTTTGTAGGCGGTCAGAGGAGTTTCTAAGCTTACTGGCCACAATTGCGCCTGTCCCCCAATGAAGTAAACGAACATCGGAACAGCGCATGCTCCGACAAGGGTGTCCGCTGCTGCCAGATTTATCAACAAATATGAACTGCGCCTATGCAGTTTACCAGTTCCAGTAAATTTGACTATCGAGAACACGTTACCAGCGACGATCGTCAGAGCCTCTGTCATGAAGACAGCCGACCAAACAATTGCCTCACTTCTCGACACCATTGTCTTTACTTAGCAATAAGGCTATGATGGCTTCTCTCCTGTCGAAAGAAAAACAATTGAAATAAAACAAAGGAAACATTAATAGATCCGTTTCATTCAGGCTACCGAAAAGTTATCACTACAATATAACTACAAAAATTAATCAATCGAAACCTAAACTGAACACATAAGTCATCATGAAAACGTAATCAAATTTATTGAATATACTATATATCAGAAAAAAAAAAATTAGTGGAAATTTATATCCTCTTACTCTCTGTAAATATTTCAGATCTTTCGGGAATTTGAAAAACATTTTCGTTGCCATGAGTACGTTGGTCCCCTTCTAGTCTTCATTTGGTATACTAAGTGTAAAGTTGTCTCGCTTAGAGTTTTAGTAGTCTTTCACGCCAATTTTTTTTGTAAGATACTCTGTTGCTGTGTTGAAGAGATACTAGTATATTCAGAAAACTGATGTAGAAGTTCGTGTTTCTTCCCCTCCTTACCAGCTTTATTCTCAACAAGAGTGTACATGAATATTTTACCCACATAAACTATGTAGTAGTTTGCCTCTGACCAAATCCATCTTTTTAAATCAGTGTTTGAAATAACATTGTATTATTGTCAGGAATTCTACAAAACAAGCTGGGATAGCCGTGTAGTCAACGAAAGTCAGTATTTTCAACTTGACATTCAAGGCAAGATTTCTTAGGCTACTGCACACGGCTCCCGATTGATTGTTATATCCAACAGCTTGGAGTTTCACCTATGATGTCATCAAAACAGACTTATTTGAAGTCGAACCGCTGGAGGGTGTTTGCTTTTTATTGAAAATAGATAAAAAAATGCAAAAGGAAAAGTGAAAGATATTTTAATTTAAAAACTCCGGGATATTTTCATGACAGAAATAAATGTTCCTTTTCCGGCAGCGTAAGTCAACTTATATGCATAACCACTTAAACCTTAAAAAACACCAAGCTGATGGGAAGGATGGCTCGTGTGCCCGGAACCAGAGTGTATTCCACGTAGACAACGAAATATACGGATTTACTTCAATTCAAAATCATTTACCACATGGCTTCATAGTTCTCTTAGTTGTTTAATATATATCACCATGAGTGCCCAGTTTAATATCTTATCAACGATAACTTTTGGGACAAAACTTACCCGAAATTTTAAGAGAATCAGCTTTCAAAGGGAAATTAATTATGTGCTTTCAAAAAGTACATTTTTGATACGGTTTCACTATAAGGTTTAAAATCATTTAAGAGAGAAAAAAAACCTTAGTCACAGATGTTAATAAAAAGTAGTAAAAGCTTCGTTCATCTGAACAATTCGGATTATGATGAGCAACGTATTTCCATTTTCAGTTTAGAAATTCTTTGACACTCGAAGTAATTCATGGTATTGCCTCTTGCTTACCAAAAGTTTTCTTTCTCTTTTCGCTGGATGGTACAAGCCAAATGCAAGTTTCATCGCACACCGTGACGTGCAAACATATGCGCGTGGTATTTTCAAATATGCAAATTATAGCTCAAACAAAAAAGGATAACCACTCGGGGTCCACTGTAATTTAACAAGGTCGAAGGCATACAAAGATAATAACAACTGAAAATTGATTTGTAGATGTTATAAGCATCACGTCAACTTGAGATCTCTGAAAACCAATAGCGCCATAGCTATCGAACGATTTTTTGTTGATGAAAACGGGAGAAAATAGATTGGCATGGCAAGGGAGACTTGCTTTGCTAAAATCATGTGCATTAGAAATTCAACATTTTCGGGAAGTCAACCATACAGTCACGAAACAAAATCAAGACTCAAAATGCGCCGGGAAATGCTATTTTCTTATCAACTTAAGTTAGTTAAATTCATCTAAATCAAAGCATTTGTCCTTTTTTTCCGCCCAAAAAATATTTTTTAAAATGCTTCACAGAGAAAGATTACGCATCACAGTCTTTTGTGTCTTGCCGCTGTTTGAAACTCCTACCAGCGTAAAGAGGAGTTTTTATTGGGAATAGAAACATTTCAAAGTAAAATGTGAAAATGTTAAATATCTCCGATACAAGAGACAACATAAAAACTAATTTCCTATATTTCCATAATTTCGCAATATTCACCTAACTTGTTCACTGGGTCATTATTTATGCAATTTCAAAGTATTATTGGTAAAAATTGATTTTGTCGTGAGTTTTATTCAGTTCGAGTCGAGCGTAAAAGACTAAACTTTTCAGGTGCGACAATTTACAGGTTTCATTAGAACTATTTTCGAAAAAATTAGAGATTAAAAACAAGTGTTATCGAAGAGAAGAAACATGCAGACGTGTAACTTCCTCTGTAGGCAGAATTAAAAACGTGGGCAAGGTAAATTGGCTCGAAATTTTGCATATTGCATCTGACGGAGTACCTGTCACTTTCGCAAAGCAATAAGTGAAATTAAACCCACATCGATTGAAAAAATAGCGAGCTTCGCTTTATACAAAGGTGATATCATAAGTGCTATTAACGCAAGAAGTTAGTGAAAATGACAAATCGAACGAAAAATTATGTAAATAAAACTTGTAAATAAAAATTGGATTGTATACACGATATTTCAAACGGGTGATGAAAATTGTACCATTGTACTATCGAAGGAAAAAGTTCAGTTCCTTTGAATGAACCGCTTTGGAAAAAAATCAGCTTGAGATATCTCATGCTATTGAAAAAATAAAACCCGCGAAACCGTATCACAATATTCATTAACTGTTCATGCAGCGTTGAACACTTAATTGCCTCCTCAAAGCCTTATTCGTTCGTTCTGCGAAGAACTTGTACAACAAATCCATCCGCACGTCCTTTCTCATTCAAGGTGATAAAATTTTCCTCTGCGGTAGGTAAAATAATACGTTGATCATGGCCAGCACTTGATTAACTTTTCTTTTAACTCACCTGAAATTCTCTTTAATCTTCTAATTATACAGAATTTGATTCACGAGACGCTAACATTCCAAGTGAAACATTAATATTAGCATATGATGTGCTATAACTCGCTAGCTGGCTCTGTCAGAAATGCAAATTTAATTAAGCTGTCACCCAAAATTGTATGACTTATGTATTTGACGTTCAGCATATTGTGATGAAAATTTTGGCGATGTGACAAAAACACAAGTTGTCTAAGACTGCTGCTTATCCGCTCTCTTTACACACAACAGTTCAATGGCTTCACCATTAGAAAAGAATATCTCAAGTTGCTTTAGACTTGTTTTGTCAGGATTTTGCGTAGAAGAGGTGGGGACTAAATGCATATTTTAACTCCCCTTTATTTCACTTTGCATAATTTTTGGATGCTAGCAGTTCTCCTTTGCATCTTTTTAAAATCTTGCTTCGTCTCCTCTATGGGTTTGAACGTTTCTACAAATATATGAAAACACGTATGTATTCTAAGCTTATGGCGACGAAGTGGAAAGCGCCGAAAATATATTTCAGCCTCTTATAGATTAACCCTTTGCTCCAACGAGGGGCTCAAAATCAAAACGTCAGCTTTATAAACTCTTTTAATAGACAAACTGCGGTGTTATACAAGGATCTCCAGCCCTGTGAAAAGCCATAACAATACACTTGAAAAAATACGATAATTTTGCACGTGTGTTTGATATCGCCAATCAGCTACTGTCACGCGCCTTTCGCGCCACTCTGTTACGTTGATAAATATATGGCAACCTTAACCATTCTCAATCCAAGGTCGTTTGTCGAAATTTTCTCGGGCTATGGCTGCTAAAAAACTGGAAAATTCGTATCGCTTGCAGACCGTGACGTTCAAAATTTGCTAAAAGTGGATGGTTTCGTTTGGTTTTCAAACCATTTATTGAATTTCAAGTGCAATTTCGAGGCAAAAACAACCAAAACTATCGACAGAGCCGAAAACTAAACTCCAAAATCTAAATCTTTCGAAGTGCCTTTACCATCCCAAAACTAGATCACGTGCCCCTCTTCCCACCCCCAAATTATACCTTATGTATCATACACTCAAACGTCTTAGGAATTCATTGTCCTTTAGACCATCCTCCGACTCCTCGATGGGTCGGTGATTCATCGAACTAAAAAACAAGTAAACAGTAAAAATCGTTTCTAATGATCTGAATATGGGCATATCCTTGTGACTGATCTCACCAAGACATTACGACCGGTATGCAGTTTCACTGCACCCACATGCCCCTCTGCTTCTGAGTAAACCTCCAAAACTCTGCCAAGAGGTCACTGCTCATAATTTGTGTCGGGTGCCAACATTAACACGACTTAATTCACCTGAATGTCTTTCTGCTCGTTCTGCCATTCTGATCGTCGGTTGAGGGTTGGTAGCCGCTATCAAAGCCATTGGTTCCAAAAATGTCATACAAGTTTCGGAACACGCCTCCACCGTTTTCTTGGACTAAATTGGCTTACTGTCCAGACCTGACCAAACAAAAAATGATTCGGAGTAAGTGGTACGTCGTTCAAGGTGCTCACTGATTTATACGCTGGTCAAGAACGTCATTCTAATCCAATCCAGTGGTACACATGTCTTGCAGAGGAATCTTTGCTCTAATCACATACGGGGCTATAGACCCCATGGGATCAAACAGCGTGGCTATCTTCCGCAAGAAGTTTCGCTTGGTTAAGGGGTACTCCTCCTCCGAACGGTTCACTCTGTAAGTAAAAAAATCTTCTGTAGCCAGCCACAAAATGTCAAGAGTCTTCTCTGACGGCAAATTTCTCATGTAGAAATCTACTTTTACAGCTCTATCCACTTCAAGTATCTCCTGGAGTACTTTTTGGAGGTTTGAAAGCCACTTTCTTGTATGCATAGCAGCAGACTCCCACATGGCTCATAAAGCTTTATGCACTCATCTTCACCAGGTGCCGAGTCCATACTGTCCGTGATTCATATAGGTGAACTCCAAATTTTCGAAACCGCATTAGCACATCAAAGATATCACATTTAAGCTTGGGCCCTCGGTAATTAACATCATTCAACGATACCCTTTTGAATTTCGCGGATTCATCGAACACCATGAAGTCGTCTTCGTAGTCGTCTTGTCAGGTCTCACGAGTGCGAAATGCTTGAGGTACCAGGACTTCTCGTCTCAGGAGGCAATTCCTTGGAAATGTATCCCTCTCTCAAGTAATCAGCGATAATGTTTGAATATACCCCACTCAGCAACGAATCCTTCAGAAGTCTCTTCTCTGTACTCAACGATCGGTTCAACGCCATGTCATAGTTATTTGGCAATGCTGCGACGTCTGATTTCCATGGCATGGATACCTCATATTTTCCGTCTTTAAACCGCACTGAGCTGTTGAATCTTTGGATAGCCATTTCCTCCACCTGTGTAAGTTTCTCTCCTTTAGTTCCTGAACCTGAAGTATCAACTCCCAGAACTTCGAAGCACCGAGCTTAAGTCCTTCTCTAGCACAAAATAGGCCGCGTTAAAATAAGTTTGTGGCAGCCTGCCAGCCATCACTTCAGTTGCACCAATGCATGTTTAGCCCAAGGGAGTTAGTCGAGCCTCAGGTTCACTAAGTTTACCACGAATATCTTTGACTGAATAATGCAACTTTACAGGGTCTATCCCAATCAGCATACCAATGACCGGTGGGAAATTGATGCCTTACGGAAGTCTCCACCTCAGTGCTTGCCTTTTTCAGTCGACTGATTGCATATCTCCGTTACTCCGATTGCTGTAAAAGCTCAGATTCTTGCATTAGTCTTGCCATCCACGCTTTCAGGGTCAAACTCAACAGGCGTGGTTTGAAAAGAATCCTCCCCAACATTTAGAACATTAGCAGTGATCTGCTGGACAGTTTCTTCGAATCCTAACACGGCAGCCACATTACCATTGATATACGTCTTTCTGTTAGCATCATCCAACAAAGCATTCACCACCATTCTTCGATACCTTCGACCCCCATTCTTCAATACCACTGGCACAGTTCGCAAAGCCACATAGTGTGGCCGCTCTGGTGAGATTGGAGCCGCAATGGTTGTCGTTAACAATCGTTCAGCCAGGAACTGTTGCTCCCCTCCGTGCTAGGATTGGCCCCATAGTCTGACTCTGACTAATATCGGCAACTGGTCCTCTCTCTAGCTCTTGGTGTGGTCTGTATAAAGTTGCCTCGTTCCTTGTTAGCAGTTGTCCATGCAGTAGTCCATTGTGTGTGTTCTGACAGCCATCAGTACCACACATCCTGCTTCGAGTACAACGGTCACCTCTGTGGTCCCTTTGAGGCATCGATAGCAGAATTTCAGTCGTTTTGCAGCACCCCAACGACTCGGTTCATCCATCTTCTTAAACTCGTCACATTGCCAGAGTAGGCGTTTGTTTTTTGCAAACATCACACTTCATGTCTTTCCAAATAACGTCTGCGTTCCTTCTCTGCGCCTTCCTGATACTCCTCTTAATGTTTCTGCCGCTACAGTCTGAAACTCAAGTTCCTCATCCATGGCTTCTTCCAGCTTCTAAAGTTTACTTTTTGCGTCTTCCTTTGCTTTTGACAACTCCGACTTGCCCTCTTGAATTTGAGTTTCCAATTGCCTTTGACGGCAGAGATTTTCTTTGTCAAATTTCTTTCGGGCGCGGCTGACAGATGCCTCTTTCATACGAAATTTCTCCTGGAGGTCGGCCACTTGTTGGTGCGATTTTGCTTCGATTCCTGCGTGTGCAAGGTTCGCATTTTCACAGAAAATCCAGACGCTTAACTTGCTATTTCATCTTTGTTGGCATCCAAATACTCTTGATAACAATCTTGGGCTTCAGCAAACTCCTTCTAGATTTCTTCAATTTCGTGACCTGTTTTTTCCACGCCATCGTGATCCTTGACTTTAGAATAAACTTCTGCCAACAGCGCTTTGACCTGAAAAGTCACTGTCCTTCAGATAAGGGGAAGAAAAACCGAAAGTTACATGCTCAGTGGCTTTGGGAACGAAAATCAACAAGTAGAAGATTTGCCACAAGCTGAGTTTGACCGTGCACCTGAAAAATTTCTCCTGTCGGTCAGGAAAAAGTCAATAACTGAGAATTTTGTAAATAAAAAGTTTCGCCCATTGTTTGTTTTTTGATTCAACGCACTTTATGGCTTTTTTTCGCGGATTGACGATCCTACTTTTTCCATTCATTTACAAAGTCGACTCTTCTTGTCAGATCAGGGCTATTGTGTTTATATGATAAACATAATAATAAATAGTTGCTTGTAGATATAGAATATCTCTTCTCGACATCTCACTCGTTCCATATCTATAAGCGCCTATGTATTATTCTTTATTTTGTTTTTTTTAAAGCAACCTTCATTCATTTCGTATCCGAATTCTCCAAAACAATTTGTTTGTTTTGTAAAAAAAGGTTGTGGTTATTCATCGTGGTGGATAACAACAAAAGCCAAGTTTTTTCGTTTGTCTCACGATGTAGTCACGTGTGATGTAGATCGCGACGTTTCGACTGCATACTGCTAGTCTTCTTCAGGTAATGAGGTCGATTGGTCATGCATGATGCTCTGCTCTAATTGGTTGTTTTTAAAAAGCTCTGATTGGTGTATTTCGATCCTTGCTGTTTCACTTAGTGATTTGCTCCCTCGGCGGTCCGCTGTCGCACGGTTCTCCTGTTGTTTTGTTTTTTGATCGTGGGCATCCGCGCTTGTGGAATTTCTATTCCACTATCCCTGTTGATGTTGCCAGGGTGAAGTCCTATATGAATTGCCCTTTGGCCCTACGCGTGTAGTAATAAGGGTCACGATCACTAAACTTTACTTCGTTCCAGAGTGGCTTGTGTCCGTTGTTGTGGGTATGCTCTGAAACGCCGAGGTCTCGGTACGGGCGAGTCGGATGTCTCGATCGTGCTCCTTAATTCTGTCTTGCATAGGTCTTCCAGTCTCTCCAATGTACACCTTGCCACATTCACAGGGAATCCTGTAAACTACGCCATCTTGCTTAGCCGGGTCGACAACGTCATTTGGTCGTACTAGCTGTGATCTTAGCGTAGTCTCCGACTTGAAAACAGCGCGTACGCCTCGTTGTTGTAGGCAACGGCGAAGCTGTTCGGACAAACCTTTGACATAAGGTAAAACTGCAGTAGCTTTGAACTCGTTGGCGGGTTCGGAACTGTTGTTTGGTTTTCCAGTCTTGTAAGTTTCTGCAAGAAAGAAAAAGGATAACCATTAGAAACCAGAACAGATGACAGATGTTTTTCTCCTCGGAGATGACAGAGGATTTTGTTACGAGATGTTTGGCGCGCTCGTAAAGGCGCTTAACAATACCGCGTTTTACTGATTGAGGGTGGTGTGAATCATACGCTAAGTATTGATCGGTGTGCGTCGGCTTCCTGTATACGCTGGTGGTGAGACGGCCGTCAGGTTCTCTTAAAACTGCGGTGTCTAGGAAGGCGAGTTTGTTTTCTTTCTCTGTCTCTATGGTGAAGCGGTAGAAGACAGCTGGTCGTTTAGATGGTGTAAGAAGTCATCCACGTTTTCGCGATCCAGGATAGTAAAGGTATCGTCCACGTAGCGTTTCCAGATCCTAGGCTCGTAGGATGATTTAGTTATCGCCTGCTTTTCGAAACTCTCCATGTAGAGGTTAGGAATAACAGCAGAAACCGGACTCCCCATGGCGGTGCCGTCTTTTTGCTCGTAAATCGATCCGTTATACTGGAAGTATGTGGATCTCAATACGAAGGTCAAAAGGTCAGCCATCTGTGCAGGTGTTAGCATGGTGCGGTCTGCAAGGCTAGGGTCGTTCTCGAGTTTCTGCAGTGCGGTTAGTACAGCGGCGCCGATAGTACCGTTGGTAAACAGCGACTTTACGTCGAAAGATACTATGATCTCGTTGTCTTGGATCGTCTCATTGCTGACGGTGGATACGAAGTGAGCTGAATTGGTCACCGTGTACTCTGACTTTCCGGTTAAAGTGGACAAAATGTTGGCTAAGTAAGCGGATAAATCATATGCAAAGGTGTTTACGCTCGACAAAATAGGTCTTAGCGGTACACCGGCTTAATGGATCTTCGGTAGACCATAGATTCTAGGCGGCTGTTTGTGTCGAGGTCTGATCTTGTTGTAAACGGCTTCTGATAGATACCCGCTTAGCTTCCAGGTAGCAGGTAATTTAGTGTTAACAACTGGGTTGAAAACGTAAATTAGCCACCGTAAAGAGTAAAAAAGCTGACGTTTCGAGCGTTAGCCCTTCGTCAGAGCGATTGGAGGAATTGTGGGTTGTGTGTGGGTTTATATGCAGAAAGTGGAGCTACGCCATTGGTGGGAATATGGTTTACTCTTTACGGTGGCTAATTTACGTTTTCAACCCAGTTGTTAACACTAAATTACCTGCTATACTCTCCCACCGACGCAGCACCACAGTTTCTTTAGAAAGTTACCCCTAGCTTCCAGGTAAGCAGCTTTTCCGACAACTTGCGGGTCAGACGGTCTGTCGGATCTTTGTTGAGGAGCTGTTACGGTCCGTTCTCCATAAGCGTAGACATCTTAGCTCGGTAGGTGTCGGTATCCACGATCCATTCTCGCCCGAAGTCATGTCGCCCGAAACCTGAGTCATGTTGCCCGAAATTTAAGTTATGTCGCCCGAAAAAAAAAAAGTCAAGTCGCCCGAAGAAACAAATACTAAAAAGATCAGAATTTCAGACTGTTAATAGGCAATAACGTTGAGAAATTTTTATCACTAAAGCACTCTTTGTTTCCTACAACACCATGAAGATTCTTAAAGCGTCGTTTTTTCCTAACAACAAAGGGAAACGTTGTTCGTTTCCAACAACAAAATGCAGCGTAGTTCGTTTGGTATGTAATCGTTTCTTACTCACGGACGTTTCGTAAGCTTGAGAAACTCTCTCTTGGTTTCTAACAGTACCATGAAGACTTTGACTACACAGAAATCGATCGTATGCTCGAAATTGAGATACCTTTAAGTAACGATTTTAAAAGCGTTGTTCGTTTCTAACAACAAAGGGAAGCGTTCTCCGTTTCTGAAGCGTTGTTCGTTTGGTACGTACACGTTTCTTACTCACGAACATTTCGTAAGCTTGGGAAACTCTTTTTTGTTTCTTAAAATGCCATGAAGACTTTGACTACACAGAAATCGAATGTAAGGTTCAGAATTGAAATATGTTCGAGTAACGACTCTAAAAGCGTCGTTCGTTTCTAACAACAAAGGGAAGCGTTGTTCGTTTCTAACAACAGAGGGAAGCATTTTTCGTTTCTTTAACAACACATGCATGGATGCAGCGTAACATACAAGTAAAGTTCTTTTGTGTCTATTTGTGACTTTCTTAACAATAACAGATAAAAACACCTGATAAACGAATGTCGATTGTCGCGTTCGACAAGTCGGTAAAAGGTAAAGCGAGTAACATACAAATAAAATTAACTTGTTGCCTTGCGTGAGGTCAGTGTGATACTTTTAAGATAACAGTCTATTGTTTATGCTTGTGACTTTTTTCACAGTAGTAGTCTGATAGCATCATTACCCTAAGGATCAGAATAGGCAAAAATTATGTAGTTGTGCTCTGTTTTCTCTGGCGGTTGCAAGTATATTTTGATCCGATCAAAGTATATGGGATGAGGGTGAAGCTAGCTACAATATGAATACGAACTGATAAAAATGAGCATTCATCCTTGCATTGAGTGTGATGATGAAGTTAGACCACGTCAACAAGCCCCACAGTGCGACGATCACGATCGATTATATGGCCTTTCTGACCATATGATCGATTTCTGTGTAGTCAGAGTCTTCACGGCTTTGTTAGAAAACAAGAAAAAGTTTCTCAAGCTTACGAAATGTCCGTGAGTAGGAAACGTGTACGTACCAAACGAACAACGCTTCATTTTTTTTGTTTGAAACGGAGAACGCTTCCCTTTGTTGTTAGAAACGAACAACACTTTTAGAATCGTTACTCAAGCATATTTCAATTCACAGGGGCCACCGGCACTTTGGTTTTTAGCCTCCTTGACATCATTAGCTCAGCTGGAGAATAACCATTAGCCAATGGTGTCGCTCTATACTGTAGCAAAGCAAGATAAGGATCTTGAGAGCCAGCTAGGAGACGTTTAGCTGTTTGCACTGCTCTCTCTGCTTCACCGTTGCCTGAAGCATGACCTGGGCTGCTAGTGACATGTCGAAACCCGTAATCTAAAGTGAACATCTTAAATTCCCTTGATGTATAGTAGCTGGCATTGTCAGATTTTACTTGATCTGGAATTCCGAATCTGGAAAATGCACGTTTCATCCTGTCTATGA